ACTTTATGTTCCTTCTCAACTTTTTTGTTTTCATTGTGGGCAACTTTCTGAAGGAGTTGTGGATAATATTTCATCCCCAAAAAAAAAAGGAGTTGTGGATAATACCCCTTTTTCATTCCTTTTTTTAAGTACAGAGTATCCACAACGGACTTTCTAAACTACCTCAGCTAAAATTTAAGGAGGAACTGAAATAACCCACCTCCAACCATGCGCCATATTCAACTTTTAAAATAGGGAGACCAATAGGAGCTTTTAAATCTAAGGAGAAAAAAAGGACTCAGAGTATCCACAATGATGCTCTCTATTTTTTAACTAAAATTTAGCTAAGAATATAAGAAAGCTATTTTAGGAGCTCTCTAAAATTTTTTAACTCTAACCATACTCAATAGTTTGGAGAGTCATAAATGTTATAACTCTTTTTTGATCGGTCAATTTCTATTAAAAAAATAAAATAAAAAATAGTTAGCATTATTTAATGCCAACTATTTTTTATTGTTGCTTTTGTGTCTACACTTTATTCAAAAATTGAATTTAAAAATATTTAAAATATTTATGACTCTTTAAATTAGAGAGTATTATTGGAGTTAAAATTTTATAGAGGGCTCTTAAAATAGTTTTCTAGTGTTTTTAGCTAAATTTTAACTAAAAAATAGAAAGTTTAAACTGTAGGGGATAGAGGTTTCTCACACACATACAACCAAGATGTCACCTCTTATATGCGAGACAAGTCAATACTATTTTTCTCTGAACTAGACCTTAATATTGCTAATTAATTGGAGAAAGAACATGTAAGTTAACATTTAGAAGATAATCAGGTTTCAAGATTAGGTGGACGGGCAGCAGTGGTGCAATTATTTCTTGCACTATAGCTAGCTAATAATGGTTTAGACCAACCCAGACGGAGTGTCATTTCTCATATGCGCAAGGGTACTTTCTCCACCAGATTGGGTGTTTCCCACTTCTCCAATTGATCCAACCACTCAAAGACAAACTGTTATCCCATCACCAATAGGGTGTTACCAGGTGTAATTTGCTCGTTCTTTCTCTTAGGGTTTCTCAGGTACCGCAGTCATGATTTTCCTAGGGTTTCTCAGAGTAGGTCAACTTTTTCTTCTCATCTCTCTCCCGTAGATTTTGGGACAGGAAATTCCCGAATAATAATTTATGGTTTCTTTTCAGGTATTTTTTTCTTTTTGGGTGTTTTGTGGGGAGGGGCATCTCATCGTGGTTTTGTAGATCTTAGTTTTTCTTACAATTTGTTTCTCCTGGCTCTTCTTCAACTTCAAAAGAGAGAGCACGAAAGGTAAGTTCATGCTCAAGATAGTAGTTTCCATGAACAAATTTCAAGATCATTAATCTGTGGGTTTCTCTGGTATTCTAGTTTCATGGAAGTTAGATTGGAAAGACGATCTTTCTACTCCTTTCTAGGGTTTTCGTTTGCCTCTTTTCCACATTTAAAGCAAAAACAAAAAGTAGATGTTGATGGAAGAGATCTTGAGGCTGGAGCAATACTAATTGCTATGAACAGCTTCTGTACCCTGACTTCCATTATTATATCTCTTTCTCTTATAATCTCTCTCTGAAATATGCAAGATCCGGATTTGTGTGGCTTCGATCTATTCAGATGTTTTGTTTTGATACGTTTCTTTTTGTGGTCCTGCGCCCGCCTGCCCGCCTGCCTTTGTTTTGATATTTAAGAGGGCTCAATCAGATCTGGTCAAGGTTGCAGGGTTGGGGTAACCTGCAGGAACTGGTCGCATGGGCACCTGTACCTAAACAATAGAAAAGTAAAAGTAGGAATCAAAATTTAAGTTTCAGTACTACATAACTTTTGTTTCATACCAATTACACGTATATTTTGGGGAACTGAATATACCTTTTTTTCTTCTTCTTTTTATAAATGAAATTAAAATATTCAATATATATGTATGTGTAGGTCTTTGCTTTGGTTGAAGAAAAATGAAAATGAACCCGAGGATCTAGGGTGTGATATTTCTGGGATGTGCAGCAGGTACAATCGCACAATTACAATACGATAATGTTGCGAACAAAAGAAAATTGCAGTTACTTGCAACTTTTCAGTTATGAGTGACCAAAACACTCTGATGCAAATTATTAGAGCACACTTGCCCATTTGAAAATAAAAAGGTTTGTAATTAGCCAGTTGTTAGCCAGGTTCATGTCATCTTCATCATGAAAGATAAAAAAATCACTTATATTGTGTCTTTTTCTTATCGCTCAGTTTGGTAAGTTCAATAACGAGTGAGAAAGAGACCGTGAGAATAAAAATAAAAATATTCATTGGGAGTCTGAAAACAAAGGCGGAGATGGAAGAACTCAATCAATTGAGTCATATCTCACTGGCTGAAAAAAGATATATAGAATTAAACGACGGTAATTATAGCAAAAAAGAAGACGATAATTCATGTGTCGCCTTGTTAACCCTTTCTTTTTCTTTGTTTCGCTACATGATATATCATCCACAATTTCCTTTCTAGAATTTTTAACAGAAGACGAACGTTAAAATCCAGATGGGACGGCTATTCTTTCTTTAACCAATGAACCACCTTTTCTTCCTGGGACGACACCATCATGTCCTGTAAAAGTAAATGGGAATAATTGAATGGGGGAAGAGAAAGAAAGAGAAAAAACAAAACTGGTTTTTAAAAATGGATGAATTATGTATTGTATACATTGCATTTACTAATGGTGTCTTGTTTGATCGAATAATCAGAGATATGATTTTGAGTAAGCTGGTGCATGATGGTGCCAAATATGATTGAAATCGATTTCATCTGATAAATTCAAATGGTATAATTTCTAGCAAAAAGGAGTAAAGGACAAGAGCAGCAACTAGGACGGAGGCCACCATATCGCAATCTACACCGATCGGGAACAATATGCTTATGGGAGCCAACAATTTCATATGTTGCCGTCATATCATTGTTACATAAAATTCAAGCCGCAATCTTATTCCAAAATATCCGTACTCTTTCGGAAACAAGGAGGTGAGTTGAATCTATACAATTATAAATTAGGGATGTTTCTTTTTATATTTCAATATTGGGCTTCATTTGATGGCAAAATTATATATTTCAATCTTGGTCCATATGATATGATACGAATCTTACTAATGTGAAAAAATGTGTACGAATGTAATTATAAGGAACATAATGAACTTATTTTTTGGGATCTTTATAGAGTCTCTCGGTCTAAATTAGTGTCTATTTAGCTTTTATTGTTAGGTGTGACTCGTCCCATGTACCGAATATTTATAAACAAAAAAAGCTACATAGGCAAAACTACAAACAAACAAGCAAGTCACATCAAAACTTTAGTTACCTAAAATCATAAAATTAGCTGTGTTTCTTTTTCCTCACTTGAAATGGTACTCCAAAGAAAAGTTTTATTTGAAATCCCTCATAATTTTCTAAAAGAGTTAAATGTATTAATATGCACATTTACTATTTCCAAAAGCAATTTACACTGAAAACTCAAACTCAAACTCAAACGCAGATTTTAGATCTGCTATCCAAATAGACCCTTTTGAATAATCTCCTTTATAATTTTTATTATGCAAGTCACCTTCATTTCACGAAACCAGGCACCTCCTAAGATGAAGTGACTCTGGAAGGTATATATATATATATATATATATATATATATATATATATATATATATAGTCATCATCTGGCTATGAAATGCAGGTTATCTGTTGTCAATATTAAGATGAAACTAACTCAAAACAAGCATATCAATTAGCAGTTTGCTTATAATAGGATTGTACTTGAAAGATATAGGGAGGAAATATTAGCTTGCAACCAAAGCAAGCATAAATATCTCCTCTGAGTTGAATTATCAAAACATTGCCTGCCTGGATGGATGCTAAAAATCTGCACTCTCTTGTCCTAATAAATTACGATCGATCTTATAACCTCGTCGAGAACCAAATAAGTAAGATTCCAAATGCTATAAAAACACTCCTAATTAATTCAAGATCCTTCTATCATATAAATATAAGAAATCAGCTTCTATCATGAAACTACTACTTATGTAAATAGAACTCTCATCAGAAATTATATTACCTATATTGTCCCCCCATTCAGCAATGATTTCAGGATAATTTGTCTGTTGATATATTTCTCTCCTCATCAGGTCTCAATGGGCTTTTGGAAGCATGCAGGACTTGAAATTGGGAAGTACTAGTGGATCACTCAAGTGTCTATTCAATGATCGCTTCTAACAAAGATAAGCTGATCAAATGCCTGTATTCATTGACTGGAATGCACTTAGGGAGTTAAACAGATACATGTATGCATACATAGTATATGGTTGAGAAGTGACCCTAACCCTTTTTTCAGACCTTATATGTGTCTAAAATTATGGGGTGATATAGCCTAAAACTAAACCTTATACCTAGAATGCTTAACCTATACCCGAAAACAACATTGCTTGGATTCAAATATAGAGTGTCAACATAAAAAAACAGAAGCAAGGAGAGCTATTATTCAGAGTATGAGAACCGAAAGAAAGGGAACCAGAATACTAATTTTCATTTACATATTTTGTAGTTCAGAGGAAGATTACAATAAAGATACTTAATTTGCTATATTACATTATTCCAAACAGAAAGAAACGCAATACACAATAACAATAAGCTAGTGATGAGAATGTTTTGAGGCGCTTGAAATTAAGATTAAAGATTGAAGAGAGAACTCCACGTTAGAATAGATTATGAGGATTGTTGTAGACCTCCCATGGTTTTCCAAAGAATTGGATGTCTGCAAACTGATGGTGCTGCAAATTAAGAGTAGAAAATTCTTATTAATGTGCCTTACTTACTTATCTTGGACATATTGTGTGTGTGATTATATATATGTGCACGTTTGTTAGAGTACCAGAGATTGAGTGCGTTATATACATATAAATGTCAGACATTTTATTTGTGGTGAAAATAAATAAATAAATAATATATATATATATATATATATCAGAATATTCAAAACTTCTTGTTGGAAGTTACCTCTTGGGAAATTCCAATGTTTTGCTGCAGAGAACTGAATATTGAAGGGGGGCTCCACTTTCCCATAATCACCAAAGGATCATGTGTAGTTCCATGATCAACAACCAAGTCTGGATGATCTCCTACTTGGCAGCTGCTCATTGGTTCTTCAATCTCGTGATGAACCAGCCCCTCCAATGAATTGATGCTTATGTTGTTGTTGTTGTGGCTTTGAGTCCCAGCTGATTCTTCCCCAGTTTCAAAGGGGCTCCAAGAACCCAATCGGCTCAGGTTTTCCTGATCACCTCTTTGCTTCTTAGATTGATCATCAACATCAACTACTCTTTGATGCGTCCGCTGCTTTTCTCTTGCTTTTTCCCTTGCCCTTGCCCTTGCCTTTTCCCTCGAAGCTTTTGAAAGAGGGTGAAATGCGGTCTTCCTTGACAATTGCCGGCGGGCAACCTTTCTCTCTTTGGCTGAAGGCTGGATCTCGCAGCTTTGTATTAGTTTATCATCACCATCATTTCCCCCATCAATATTAATGTGAATGTTGGTGTTTGTTGCAGCCTCGTCTATGCCAGATATCACTTCGCATGACTCAGAAGTGGCAGGAGATGTGCTTTTGGTAGAGCTCATCATGTGTTTGCAGTCTCCTACTAGTTTCTTGATTTCAGGTGTGGCCTGAATGAGCAACCACTCAACGGTTTTGCTGGCCTTGTCAAAGTGCAGTGCGTCTTGCAACCAGAAGAACTTGCGGGCAACTTCAAGTGACAATCTCATTCTGCGGTCCCTGAGGCCTCGGGCAGTATTAATCTTGCTGTGGCGGTCTCTCTTGCAAGACCTTCTTCTCGGGATCTGTGGCTGATCCATATTCATCATCTCGCCATGATTTTTGTTGGAATCCCAATCCACCATTTTAATATTGAGAGTAGTGGAAGTGGTGGTGGTCTGACGATGATCATCGGCTAAGGTGTTGTTAGCAGCAACAGCTTCCCTCATAGTAGTAAGGGGTGGTGCTTGTTGTAAGTCATGGAGCGGCATGTCATGGACATGGTCATGGTGATGGTCATATTGATGGTGTTGTTGGAAGAGTAAAACGTCGTCGTCTTCTAAAGGAGAGGGGAAGTAGAAGAAAGACAAAGGATGGTGATGAGGGCCTTCTTGTTGTCGTTGTTCTTCTTCTTCTTGTTTGGAATTGAGATTGGGATGAAGGGAATTGGGGTTTAATGTAGTGATTTCATGGAGAAAAGGCCGGCTGTGGAAAAAGGATTGGTCGAGATGAGGATAAGACACGGGTAATTCGTTGCCAGTATTGTTGAGATTATTGTTTGAGTTTGAGGGAAACATTATATCCCCTCTCTTAGCTTGTTGGGGTTGCTTTCAAGAGTTTCAATGAAATAGCACCAAGCGATTAACCCTAGTTACCTAAGAGCAGCTAGTACAATTAGTACTGTTGGGGGGGAGGGGATGTTGGTCTAGTGATGGTGAGGCTTGAACTTTGAGAACGACTTGATGATGAGCTGAGCCATTGAATGAGTTGAGCTAAAGATGTTCAATTTCATGCACCTCCACACCGGCCCTTTTGAATGCATTTGCTTTCACCTAGCTAGCAGCTACCTCTTTGTCTGCAAGAGCAGGACGACTTGAGAAAGACAGCCATGTTTTACTGTTTTTGCGGCCAGCTGAGCTTATAGCTTGAGAAAGACAGCTGCCTGCTCATATCTATAAACACACATTAATTCATAGATATTAGACAGTATATACAGTTGTTTATGTGTATGTATATGTGCACCTTTATTTATGTGTATTTATTTGGTGTCTTTGTGTGTGTGTGCGCGCGAGAGAGAGCTATCTAGAAAAAAGAGAGATATATACACACAGATCGTACATTTACCATCATCATCATCGTTGGGGACACAGAGAGCTTGAGAAAGACAGCACAGCAACACTATGCCATATGTCCATGCTTTGCAGGTTGAATATATATATACATATATATATATATAGAGAGAGAGAGAGAGAGAGAGAGAGAGAGAGAGAGAGGGAGAGAGAGAGTAAAGAAAGGAGGAGGATGGTAAAGAATCAAAGGAGGTAGGGAGGCAATTTATTGCCGAGACAAAGGAGCTATCTTTTTCTTAATCTTTATATCATCTTTTCATCAAAAAGTTGGCTCTACACTTTAGAGATGATCACTGATATATTGTGGGAAGTGAGTGGATAGGAAAACACCTAGTATTTGCACCACTTCACGTGCTGTGCAGGTGGCCCGATTCAGATCATCTACACAACACAATTATATTCCCCATTAACTTCAATATATAACCAAGCCTGCCCTTCTCTCTCTCCTCTCTCTCTCTCAACAAATTATATAACCAAACTTGCAATATTGCATGGAATCCACAGTCCACAGTCAAGAGCTAGCTAGCTGTAGCTAGATGGAGAGTGGGCTCTGTGGGCTCTGTGTTTTGTTTTAAGAAGATTCAACGTACTACTTACTAACATTACTGTGATCTTCTTTCTTTATATGAATATTCCTTCCCCTAATAGTCGTCTTGAGTTTCAATCAATTTAGACAATTAATTTGAATCATATATATCATCATACCATGTATTCAAGAATTGTCACATTAGTTTTCACTAGTTAAGGGAAAGAAAAGAAAAGAAACTGAGACATTAACGTTGTAATACATGAAAAGTCAAACAACATATATATATATATATATCAAAAGGTAAACAAAAGATAAAATATCTTGCTCCAAGTTTTGCTAGCTAGCTTTTGTGTTGTGTTCTTTCTTTTGTGTTTTTGCTATGGGCTAAGAAATAATGACAACCAATATGTTGAACCTCTCCACGTGGCTTTGTCTAACCCTAGGAAAGGAAGGACAATTATTTCACTCAAAGGGGCATACAACTGTGAGGCCTGCCCTCTCAGCTCATAGGGCAAAACACTCCTTTGACTGGGGCATCTCTCAATTAATGTCGCTGTCACCAAAAGGGAGAAGACCCATCTCTCTCTCTCTCTCTCTCTCTCTCTATATGTAAGAATGTTGTTGGGTTGGGTTCCCTCTCCCATCCCATGCGTGTTCTTATCGGTTTAGCTTTTTTACGAAATGAAAGCTCAAAAGCTCTCTCACTCTCTCTCATTCTCAAGAAAAGAGTTGCTTATGCTTGTACTTGCCACTGCCCTGTACCAAGACCTTCTTACAGCACCAGCCAATGAGCAATTGCCACTAAAAAAACACCCATCTCATCAAAAGCTTATTACATGAAAATGGCAATAGTCCTATCGACAATTGAAAGCGAGCCCTCTTTGCATCTACACATATATTCGATCCCTTTCTTTCTTAAATTTTATTTCCATTTATACATGCCGTTCTTCTCTCCTCCACTTATATATAAACCACCTCTATCTGTCCCTCTCTCTCTCTCTCTCTCTCTCTCTAGAGTATATATATAGGCGCCTGACCTCTTTAGACTGGCATAATTACAAGGACCACATGATGTATAAGCCAGTGCCATGGGGTTGTTCTGAGGTTGCTTTCAAGGAGGAGATAACTATGAAATTGTAAAGGGTGATGCGTGTACCCATATCATAGAATAGAGTGGGTGATAATGAAAGCGTACGATAAAACCCTAAAAAGTCATGGTTACATTACATTGGTTACTAGTCTAAGTGCTTTCATTTCCTTGCGGGCGAGTTCTCTGCCTGTCTGTACCACCATGTTCAAATTTGTGGTTCAAACTTTAGCTTTCATTACATGACATATATGTCATATGGTTTCCTTCAGTTTCACTACTACTCTTCATCCCCCCTGTTTTTCCCACTACATTCATTTGGACTCCATATTTCTCTATGTGCATCTCTCATCGATCCCATCATATCATCATGTGAGTAGTGTTTTAGGGGATGCACCATTTTCCACACATAGGAAGGAATTTTTTAGACAAGTTTCTTTTTCAGTGCCCATTTCTGGTAATTACAATTTCATAATTGCTCTACCTCATTTAACTTCAGTCTCTTTACTTGTCCGGAATTTCTTTAATTGATCTTTGACTAATGTTTTGTGTGCTAAAAATATCTTCCTATCTAGTCCTATAGTTCATCATTTTCAACTCAATACTATTCAGTAATGCTTCTATCACCAACAAATCCACGTACACAACGGCAATACCTTTATAAGCAATATTAAATGAGGGGGGAATCAAACCTTGGACCTCAGGTGCATGCAAAGATAAATGTTTTTAACCACTTGTACTACAACCCCCTTGCCCTTTGCCATTTTTTATTTTATTTTATGATGAAACCTTGGAGAACCATCTGATCTGAGGGTGTAGACATATACACATATATGGAATGGAAGGACTATTATTAATGTAGCAATTAACATAGAAATGAAGCTGATTACAGGAGCCAACAAGGAATTATGCATCTGACCCGCAAGTCTCTGATTGCTGACACGACCACTTTTGTGGAGGCATGCGCGCTAGCTATAGCTAGATTCTATGGGCGATGCGATGCGATGCTGTACGTACCTTTATGGTTCCTGTGCGCAAAGTTTTGATTTTCTTCTTCCTTCAAATCAAATGTTTTTATTTCTCATTTTTCTGAAAAGCCCAACTTGGCCCAAAACATTTGAGATTCATATGCCTAGCTAGTAGTAGTAGCTACATCAAAACAAAGCATCTAGCTAGGTTTCTGCATTATGCACATCAATTTATATGACCCTTTCTTTTTTCTTTCGTGCTAACTGCTAAGTAAGAAGTTCCTTGTGGTGATTTGATTTGATGCTTCAAACCCATCGAATAACTTATTGTGATGCTGCCAAGGAGATACACACACACTGATTAAGGTTGAGAAAATTCCGATTTTAGGTTTGCAGAGAAGACTTTAGCTATGTTATTATTATGTCGTATTGCCTTTGTTCTTCAGTGTGTAAAAAGATGGAAATGTCCTCAACAGAGCTGAAATAGATGGTGCAATTAATGGTCTCACCCCAACTTTATATCTCGACACGTTTCAGCAAAACAGGGAATTTCTTTTCTTTCTTTTTAAAAAAAAACCATCGGGAGATAAGAAAATTATGAAAAGGTACATGTCTGCTCTCAGTACTATTTGATGTATAATTTCTTGTTTGCTCTTAAAGAAGACAGTTTTCTGCATGTTTTTATTAACATTGTCTTTTCCTTTGTTTCTTTGTGTTCTGATACGATTCCTGAAGAATAGGACAACTTCTTATAAGATGGATACAACAAGATGTAATTAACTATTTTGAGTAGCTATTCAGAAAGGTTAGGTATATGTATATATAGATAGATATATATATATATATATCCCACTTTATATGAGATATTCTGCGCCACAAATATTAAACTATTAATTAAACTGTTGAACCACTTTACAAGTTTACGAACTTAGAAGACCATTTTAGAATATAAATTAGTTAAGCAGACTTCTTCAGCTTACAAATTTGTATTATTTTTCGGATATAATTATGTGGGTAAAGTATAATTTTGGGACAAACAAGGACGATGACTGACAGCACAATCTCTATTTGGATAAGCTCTTGATTTTATGTGAAGCTTGAATTAGGGATATGAGGGACTTGCATGTGAGGCTGCATTGTCAACACTCTCTCTCCTCAGTTGGGTTGGGTAACTAAATTACAGTTTAGGGGTTTTATTTTTATTTTTAAATAATAATAATATAAGCGATAATGGGGAGTGGGGAATTGAACTTAATTAGGGACCTCAAATGCATGAGTAAATGCACTTAACAACTTGAGTTACAAGTCCATTGTAATTACAAACCTTCCCTACCTTTTCCCCTCTCCTTTCATCCCTTCTTTTCTCCTTCCCTATCTTTTCCCCCAAGATTGTTAGTTTATTTTGTGATGTAGAAGCATTGGCATTGAAATGACGTCGTCGCTATGATATAGTCATCGTATCTTGGCCCACATACACAAGGAGTTGACTCCCTTCGACATAGTTTGGAGCTCTAAGAGCAACTCCACCAATTTGCCCTTTGTCATGGCAAGTGAGGGACTAGAGCAGCTACTATTTATGTGAATAGTGGCTGCCCTTGCAAAAAGCAAAGTGTGTTTCCACCTACTGGCGGACTCATAATTTTTTTAGCATAGGTGCAATATTGACTAAGTATGAAAAATGATTTTTTGGAATAATTATTTTCTCAAGATAATTTTTGGCGGCTTTTATTCATTACACATCAAATAAGAAAACTTGATTTTATGGGATTTTAGTATGAAGTATATATTGACTTAATGAGCCATCATTTTTAGCCTGAATCGTATTTTGCACTAAAACGAATTTTCATATTTTGATTAGGTGGGAATTTGATTTTCTAGTATTTTTATTTGAATCTAAATGGGGGGTACTTCCTTATTTACATTGTAAACTTAAGTAAATAGAGTAATATAAAAATAAATAAAAGTAAAAGGACAAAAACATTGAAAATGGAAATAAGGTAATCTGTACACCAGTTGAGCAAATGGGCAATTTGAAGCACCCACAATGGTTTTTCCGGCAATGGAGGTGCAGCTGCACCTCCTTGTGCCTTACTACGTCCGCCAGTGTTTCCATCTGTTGCCATGACAACCACTATTCACATAAGATATGAAGAGAGAAATTTGTATAGAGTTTTGATGTGGGGAAATGAAAAATATGACTAAGTATTTATTTTAAAAAAATTCTGAAATTTTTAGTATTTTTTTATAAAAATTTTGGTTGCTGACGTCAGCAAACCCAGGTTGAACTGAGGGCTGATTTTGCCTGAGGGCCAGCCCAGGCTTGTGGAGCCCACCCACAACCTGAGTAGCATTTGTTTGCTGTAAGGCAGTTTTGGGCCTAAACCCCCTTTTGCCCGGGCACGCTGGAGTTGCTCTAAAGAGGGGGAAGCTATCTTGTTGTGTTGGGTTTGGGTTTAGCCATTGTGGGACTATGGGTTTAGCCAATATGACACTATGATTTTCTTTGAGTTGCCCAAAAGATGTGGAGCAGTGATCCTATTTCTTAGTTTTGTTTTAGACTAATAATTTTCAAAAATTATTTAGGATTTTGTAGTGATTTGTTTTCTATTTAGGATTTTTATTTCTTTTTAGCTTTTAGCTTTTGATAAGGATTTTCCGTTTTGTTGCTCAACGGATTTGTATTGTAGGTTTGAGTACATGTGCTTCTATAGTTGTTGGATCAGAGATTTAATCATTGTTTGGATCGTGCATGATTATCTTCAGATCAATTTAACATGTTGTTGTATTTGGTCACTAGAGAAGATTTACCCATATTCGGCACATAATTGCTTTGTACTTTTGTTTGCTCATCAATATTTTACTATTGCTTATTTTCAAAAAATAAATAAATTAGATATATAATTTCATGTAAGAAATATTTGTGATTAAATACATTTATATTATGGATTTCGAGTTCAAATCCCCCTCCTCATAATTTAGATTAGATTAAAGTAGAATATCATTTTAATTTCCATAAATTAAAAAAAACCCCCCTCTCTCATCATTTGGTATTCAAAAGAAATATATCATGGGCTGGGATCTAGAAATCTCTCGGCCTTCTTGGCTCGGCCCAAGAAGTCCAACTAATATCCGAAAATTCCACGCGACCCTCCAAAATCCCGCTACCGCTCATCCCTTTTCCCGCCAATCCCCGACCCCATTTATGTTCATTTCGTTTTAGCGTGTAATGTAAATCCACTTTTCCTTTTCCGCCTCCGAGACAAGACAACCCTAACGCCAAATCGGCAATGGATGCTAATTATGAGGATCAGAGCAAGCTTCCCGAGCTCAAATTAGGTAAGCCAGGCAGAAACCCTAGCTTTGCATTTTGACTAATTACTTTTATCATATGTATTATTAGTTTAGTTTCTGAATATGCATATATTGTTTCACTGAACTTGTTGCACTTTTTGTTAGATGCCAAGCAATCTCAAGGATTTCTCTCGTTCTTCAAAACCCTCCCCCATGTGAGTATTCTATTTCTGGTCCCTATGGGTGTGTCGCTCTGGTAGTGTTGGGTTCGGATTGTGAAGTTTAATGGAAAACCCTAGTTGTCTGTTTAACTGCTTGGAAATGAAAGGTAAAGTGAAAAAACTACAAAATTGTCTAATAGTTTTAAAGAAGTTAGCTAGAGATGGCAATGAACATAAGATTTAGTTATTATTTCTTTTCGTTGCATTTTCTTTGCGATTAAAGACTTATATTCTAAATATTTGGGTTTTCTCTGCTTCTGTTGCAGGACCCAAGACCTATCCGATTGTTTGATCGTCGGGTCAGTTTTGTATTCAAAGTCTCTTTAATGCATCCCCTTCTTTCGTCTCCCCCCACCAAAAACCACTTTCTCTCTAATGTGTGGTACAGTAATTCTGTTCCTGAATTTTCACCATTGCATATGTCTTGTTATCGCAGGACTACTATACTGCCCATGGTGAAAATGCTACTTTCATTGCAAAGACCTACTATCGTACCACTACTGCTTTGCGGCAGTTGGGTAACGGATTGGATGGCTTATCCAGTGTCAGCGTTAGTAAAAACATGTTTGAGACAATTGCCCGTGATCTACTACTGGAAAGAACAGACCACACTCTTGAGATTTATGAGGGTAGCGGCTCAAGTTGGAGGCTGGTGAAAAGTGGAACACCTGGAAATCTTGGCAGTTTCGAAGATGTTTTGTTTGCCAACAATGATATGCAGGATACCCCAGTGGTTGTTGCACTATTACCTAACTTTCGTGAAAATGGTTGTACAGTTGGGTTAGGATATGTTGATCTAACTAAACGAGTACTTGGATTAGCTGAATTTCTTGATGATAGCCACTTTACAAATGTGGAATCAGCTCTAGTCGCACTTGGTTGCAAGGAATGTCTTCTGCCCCTAGATAGTGGCAAAACAAGTGAAATTAGAACATTGCATGATGCATTGAATAGATGTGGTGTGATGTTAACTGAGAGGAAGAAGACTGAATTTAAGATGAGAGATTTGGTTCAGGATCTCAGTCGGCTTGTCAAAGGCTCTATTGAACCAGTTCGAGATTTAGTTTCAGGGTTTGAGTTTGCAGCTGGAGCATTGGGGGCATTGCTCTCTTATGCAGAGTTACTTGGTGATGAGAGCAATTATGGAAATTATAGCATTCAAAGATATAATCTAGGCAGCTATATGAGGTTAGATTCTGCTGCAATGAGGGCACTTAATGTCCTGGAAAGCAAAACGGATGCAAACAAAAATTTCAGTTTGTTTGGTCTTATGAATAGAACTTGTACTGCTGGAATGGGTAAACGATTACTGCACATGTGGTTAAAACAGCCTTTATTAGATGTAGATGAAATCAATTCGAGGCTAGATTTGGTACAAGCATTTGTGGAGGATCCTGCCTTCGCCAAGATTTGAGGCAGCATCTGAAAAGAATCTCAGACATCGAGCGACTGATGCACAATCTTGAGAAGAAAAGAGCTGGTTTGCAGCATATTGTAAAACTTTATCAGGTACAATCTTTAACAGCTTCATTGATTTGTAAGGTTATCTACAGTGTTTTGGTGTTGTTGGTATGACCATATATGAGTGTTTTTTTTTGCTAGAAAAGCAGCCAAAAGAGAACCATTTCCTTTATCTTCTTCTTCTTCTCTTTCTCTCTCTCTCCCCATATATATATATATGTATATGTTTCTGTCTCTTTTTCCTTTTTGCTTTCTTCTCTATGCAGCTACTAATACTGCTCTGTAGCACTTTTGCTTGAAAGTACCTCTGTCCTTGATTAGACTCTCATTTTTTGAATGCAGTCAAGTATAAGACTTCCATACATTAAAAGTGCCCTAGAACGCTATGATGGAGAATTTTCCTCGCTGATCAAGGAAAGGTATTGGGATCCCCTTGAGTTATGGACTGACGACAGTCACTTAAATAAGTTTGTTGCTCTAGTGGAAGCTGCTGTTGACCTTGATCAGCTTGAGAATGGAGAGTACATGATATCATCTACTTATGACCCTGCACTTTCTGCACTAAAAGATGAGCAAGAGTCGCTGGAGCACCGAATACACAATTTGCATAAAGAAACTGCTAAAGATCTTGATCTCGCTCTAGACAAGGCTTTAAAATTAGATAAAGGCACACAATTTGGACATGTCTTCAGAATCACAAAGAAGGAAGAGCCAAAAATAAGGAAAAAGCTCACAACGCAATTCATTGTTCTGGAAACCCGAAAGGATGGAGTGAAATTCACCAACACAAAGCTTAAAAAGTTAGGGGATCAGTATCAAAGAATAGTTGAAGAGTATAAGAATTGTCAGAAAGAGCTGGTTGACCGAGTTGTTCAAACTACAGCAACTTTCTCTGAGGTAGATATACTTTAATGTGTTTTGTGGTTATTCCTGTTGTTCTGGATTAAAGTATTTTTCATATCCAGGTGTTCTGGTCTGTAGCTGGGCTGCTTTCTGAATTGGATGTCTTACTTAGTTTTGCTGATTTGGCTTCTAGCTGTCCTACTGCTTACACTAGGCCAATCATCACTCCATCGGTAATCAGTTACTTGTTATTTGCCTTATATTTATTTCTTAGAGAATAACAAGATTCTTTTTTCCTTCTTATCAAATTGTATTCATTGACAAAAAATTATTGTCTTATTGTCTATAATAGGATGAGGGGGATATTATATTAGAAGGGAGTAGACATCCTTGTGTGGAGGCTCAGGACTGGGTAAATTTTATACCCAATGATTGTAAACTTGTGAGTATTCATGAAACCCAGGAATGAAAAATTCAAAAAGAAAAGATATTGGTCATTTGATAAGCTGGAGTGGGTCCTCATGTGCTCTTTACCATTTCTGCTGATTAGGTGAGAGGAAAGAGTTGGTTCCAAATCATTACAGGACCCAATATGGGTGGAAAATCTACATTTATCCGACAGGTGTGTTAACTTGGTCAAATGCTTCTTCTAGTGCTTCCATCAACATAATCAATTTTCCATGGAACTATTGCATTCTCTTTTAGCATACTACTCTTCTGTTGTGGGAACATCATCTTGCACTTAATATGTAGCTCATGCCACCAACTTGGACACCTCACATCCATGCTCAACTCCAAACGCTTTATCAGTTTCTTATTATTTGTTTCATAATCCTACTTTAATTACTATTAACAAGTCACTGGATTTTGTTTGCACTGGCAGGTCGGTGTGAATATTCTAATGGCACAAGTTGGTTCTTTTGTTCCTTGTGACAAAGCTAGCATTTCTATTCGTGATTGCGTTTTTGCTCGCGTGGGTGCTGGTGACTGCCAAGTGAGATCCCTCGCATATTCTTTTCTTGAAGTTTGAACTTCTTAAAAAAAATGGAAGCTAGTATTATACATGTTCTGCTGGGATTGTATATTATGTATTTAACTGATCTTTTAATTCTATGTAGTCTTATCTCATGCTGTGTATTGCTGGTCTTTGATATTTGTTGTTGGTTCCTTTGTTGTTACATTATCAAAGATTAGGTTCTGTGTTGGACTCAAAGATTTACAGCTTTTAAGTGGTGCATGGCTGGGGCAAGAATTGAGAGATAATAGAAAGATTCCATCACCAAAAGATAAAATGACTAATAGTTATGTCTCTTTCCGCACATATAGGGCTGATTGAGATCTTACTTGCCAACTTACATTTCTAGAATAATTTAACATGAAAACTGGTAAGCAGGATACTTCAACCAATTTTTGTTTTATCCTTGTCCTATCTGTGTTCCCTGGTTAGGACCATCTTTTCGAATATCTTTCCATTATATGCATGTAGTTCTCTTGAGTTTTTAATTCTGAGCAACATGTGGAGGGGACCATTACTTAAACGTATGTTGAATCTGTTGTCTGGCAAGTGTTCTGTTGTTGTGCAATATCTTATACAAGTTATACTACTGCTTTGAAACTATATGTTGATTGCCTTGTAAACAGGAGTCTAAAGCCTTTTGTTGTCCTCTTGTGGAAATTTAATTGTATGTTCCTTCTTTTTAGCTACGTGGAGTTTCTACCTTCATGCAAGAAATGCTTGAGACCGCATCTATATTGAAAGGAGCTACAGATAAGTCACTGATAATCATCGACGAGTTAGGCCGAGGGACATCGACTTATGATGGATTCGGTTGGTTTAACTCTTAAACCTTTTTTTTTATAATGTATTGGTAACAATCAATGATGTATTGGTTTAACTCTTAAACCTTTTCTTTGTACTTCTTTCTTAGTTTTCTAATATTATTAGTTCTTCAGGTTTTTTTTTACTACTTTCGTATTTCAATGCTACTTGTGTACATGGGTTGCATCCCTGTACTGCTTTCTGATGATAATTATTTACAAATAAAAAGATACATGATATTTTGATGTATGTGTTTGTTCTGAATGGGATGCATTTGCTTTGAGAATTTTGTTCCCATGGGGTTGCAGGATTCAATCAATTTGAGGTTTTATAATAAGATGTGTAGTCTGTAGCGTTTACATGCATTGAAGAATATGATGATCTAGTTGTTCTTTTTGGTCTTACTAGTGTACGTGCCATTAAATTTAGATGCTTAATATAAAGGTTTACAGCTTTGTCTTGTCATTATGGTCCTCAGGTTTAGCTTGGGCCATTTGTGAGCACCTTGTTGAAGTGATTAAAGCACCTACCTTGTTCGCAACCCATTTTCATGAATTGACTGCATTAGCTCATGAAAATAGTGTTCAAGAGGCCAATATGAAGCAAATTGTTGGTGTAGCAAACTATCATGTTAGTGCACATATTGACTCATCAAGCCACAAGTTGACTATGCTGTACAAGGTAGATGAATTATCTAGTTATTGTCCGAGTTATTAATGTTGTCTTTTCCAGGATTGCAAGTAGTAGATTTTGGAGGCAGATGTCATGGAACTTATGTGTGGGATTAAGTTCTATAATGTTTCTTCTATCTCCCCTTTCAGTTTTATGCTAGTGCGTGCATCTTGGTTGAGCAAAACTGAACCCACTCATTTTCTTGATGTGATCGTACTTTCCAGGTTGAGCCAGGGGCTTGTGATCAAAGTTTTGGTATTCAGGTTGCAGAATTCGCAAACTTTCCTGAAAGTGTTGTTTCCCTTGCTAGAGAGAAGGCTGCTGAATTGGAGGATTTTTCAGCTACTGGAGTTATTCCAAATGATGCTAGAGAAGAGGTGATCTCTATATTTCTTTAATGTTAATAGCAAGGCTATAACTTCTTGTGTTGCCTCACCCTGGCCGTTGATGATACAAGTCTGTTATGCATTCATGTCACTGAACTTCGTATGCATGCAATGCCAATAGGACTAGTGTTGGATTGATACATTGATCACAGCACCAAAAACATCTAGGCTTAGCCACCTATAATAATCTTATGCTATTTCAGTACTTTTTGGTTAGGATTTCCAAAAAAGCTATCATATCCCACGAAGTCTTCTAACATAAATCCATATTTTATGCAAGTTGGCATGGATGTATAATAAGTGCCATATTATTGTCAAGTGAACTGGGTAGGTTGGAAGGTATGGTCTGGTTCTAAAATCATGATTTACACACAGGTTGGATCCAAGCGCAAGAGAGAGTATGACTCTGATGATATGTCTAGAGGAGCCGCTCGGGCACACGAATTTCTGAAGGAGTTTTCTAATTTGCCATTGGAAACAATGGATTTAAAGGAGGCTTTGCAAAAGGTTAGCAAGATGAAGGATGACTTGCAAAAGGATTCAGTAAATTCCCACTGGCTCCAGCAATTTTTCTAGTGGTCCTTCAGATTTTGGGGGGTAATTTATGTTTTGGGATGTATGTAAAGCTCGCATCTGTAAATGAGTTGTGTTTCAGTGCAGTGCCCCCCACAATTTTGTGCCTGTATCAAGTCTGAAATGCAACTGATATTGGTGTACCTTTTGCACCCTTGGTTTCTCAATGAAAGAACACCTGTACATATTCGGTTTTTTTTAATTATTTTTTTTTATTTTTAAACTGTTATCTATCTATATATATATATATATAAAGCAAATGGTTGATAATGGTAAAATATTTAAAATATAATAAAATACTATTGGTTAATGTAAACATTAAGAATTAAAATTATTAATTAAATGAGGACAATATGGTAAATTCATATTTTTTTATATTTAAATAAAATTAAAATTAAAAGAAAAATAAGATAATTAATTATATTTTTATGAAACACAATTATTTATTATTATTTTTAATTATAAAATTATTATAAAATTATTTTTAAAAAGTTTTGTACAGACGCGAAAGCACGTTTAGATAGGTTAGTTATTTATAAGGTACAAGACAAGCGTCTATGTTGTCGGACTCATCTCTTGCTTGCTTATCCGTTGCTCATCGTCTGACAGCCTGTAACTTTTGAGCACGACAACTACCTTTTTTCCGGTCCCTCAAGCAAATTCTCAACTGTAAATCTCAACACGTTGCCTGTTACGATTGGGCAGTTCATTAACATACGTGCTTGGTGCTGTCACGCCAAACTAGTTTTTCATGCTGGTCACCTTCCATTTTTTTTTATAAAAAAAATCAATATCTTTTGATAATATTTAAGAATTTACTATTACTTCTTGATAATATTTAAAAAAGGGAAAATCATTATGAAGAAGGAAAAAAAACCCTACTAACACATCTTGGATTCTTGAAAATCTCTATTTTTTAGGTGTCTATATCCCCTAATTGTTCCATGTATCTATTTTTTTAGTTTTTAATTTGAAAGTGAGAAATTTCTAAAATTTTGAAAATGAGTGATCTGTTTTTTGGGATTCTTGAAAATGCCGTTGAAGTTAAATCAAAACTGGTAAATATATGTAGATCTTTTAAGATTTATAACAAAATCCTCCGAGCGAAAAAGAAAAAGGAAAGAAATTTACCAAATCCGAAATTCAGATTGATCATTAGAAGACCATTTAATTTTAAGAATCCTGTCAAGTCTTTACAATATTATTATTTTTCTTTATTCGGTAGGTCCTCCCTCCGCGTATGGATAATGGATATGGTGGTGGCACTGGAAACTTTAAACATGCATCCGAAATTACAGGGTAAAATAGGCATTTCGCCACATAATTTCGGAAAATAAAATAGAGCCCAGGTGGGTGCCCAGATCAGAAAGAGCAGACTGAGGCAACAGTGGCGTTACTTTGCCGTGGTGTGGAAGCAAGCAAACGGCCAAAAGGAGCACTGAGATAGAGAGAGAAAGAGAGAGAGAGAGAGAGAGCAAATGCGATTTGTTTTTTATTCATGAAATAGAAGAGAAGAAAAGAAAAGAAAAGAGAGGAAAGAGCGAGCGAAAGAAGAGAATATTTCTTCCCCTTTCCTTTCAATGGCGCGAGCCCACTGAAACATCAACCTCTTTCTCAAATCCAATTGTCTTCGTAATCTCATCCCAGCTCCAGGAGAAAGCGAACCCAGAGAGACAGACAGACAGTGATCGGGGTTTCTATATTACGTGCGTGTGTATATACATATATATATATATATATATATATATATGAGAGATAGGTTAGAGATAGTGAGAAAAGAAGAACGACATCGTTTCCGTTGATGATGAACTGGCGGAGTGTGTTGAAGTCCGTACAGGCCTTAGCAGCCCACAGCCTCCTCTTCACCTTCACGCTCTTGCTCGTTCTCAAGCTCGACCGTGTCACCTCCTCCTCTTGGTGGTCTGTTTATTGAACTCTCTCTCTCTCTCTCTCTTCTATTTTATATTTTGAGCTCTGATTTTTCTGATATATGTGCATGCATAGTCTTGCAATTGCATCTTAATTTGAATGTAATATCCTTCTTTTAGAGTGGGGTTGAGGTTATTTTTGGGGCTGAGACTGAGGTTTCGGTTATGAATTAATTTTTCTAATTTTTTGGGAGATGCAAGTTGGGAAAGTTTGGGAATCTATTGAATTGGTGATGCAGATGACAGGTTTTGTTTGGCTTCATAGAAAATTGGGTTGTATGTGAACAGTGTCTAGTTGTCTGTAAGAAGGAAAGGAGTCGGGAATTTTTTTCTATTGGGTTACAAAATGAAATTAGAAATTATGTAATAGGGTGGCAAAATGGCAGTTGGTGTATGATAAGAGAGAGAGAGAGATTACGTATGATTGCATTTACGATGGAAAAAAAGAAGAAAAAGCGTTGCTTTGCTTATAGATTGGGAAATGAGTCCACCGATGTCATATGCAGTACAAATTTAGGGACAGGGAGGGTCCTTTACTAACAAAGTGGTTCGAAATTATTCTTGTTAGATATGATTAGCTATTGTCGTGTAATTCTTTTCATTAGGCATTTAAATAGTATACCAACCGTTTGGTAAGAACTCTTTGATGCCAATGGCCATATCACCCATGGCCCATTTTGTGTGCTGCGTACATTTGAAAACGGTCTTCTAACAGATGGTGGTATTGGTATTTCTTTGAAGATATCGCCTTCAAGAGTGAGAGGGTTAAAGAGTTTTGTTGTGAATTTTTTTTTATAGAGAATAGGTGACTTTCAATTATATGCATATACTAGTTAGAACCACAAATCAAGGGCATTTATCTTTAAACTTCATTAGTATGTCAGTAGTTCTTTTGGTTAGATCAAACTCTCATGTTGGCAAGTATTGTAGTTTTTGAAATGCGAGCTCTATGGTGAGTCCATCAAATAAATTGATGTGATGGAAAATAGCTTTTGTTTGCAGGATAATTTTCTTTCCACTTTGGATATTTCATGCTGTTGTTGCCCGAGGAAGATTCTCATTACCTGCTCCATCAGTTCCACACAGTCGTCATGTATGTCATTATGCTTCTTGTCAATTCTGGAGATTATTTCCACTACTCTATCACTAATACTCTATGTTGGTTTGATTATAAGAGACTAATATTTATTATCTGGAATAGTGAATATGCACCACTAAGATTTTCTCTCTTGGACAGTGGGCACCATGTCATGCTGTTGTGGCCGCACCATTGCTTATTGCATTTGAGTTGCTCCTTTGTATATATCTTGAAAGCATTTATGGTATGCACCGAACTCTTGTTTTTTTTTTTTTCCTTAAAAAGATAATTTTGAGGACTCACACAAACTTTTCATGTGTGGGATATGCATGCAGAAGATGTAGAACTGAATGAAGTTTTAAAGTGTTTTTTATGCATCAAACTCTGAACTCTGTGCTGACTCAGTATGGCTTAAAAAAGAGTTCTTTGTTAATAGAAGGATTTGGCCTGAGTCCTATTGTAAGACCTGATTAATTATCTTTTGTGCAGTTCATGGTTTTGCAGCTGTCAACTTGAAGGTTGTCTTTCTTCCCTTACTGGCATTCGAAATAATTATTCTAATTGACAATTTCAGGTATCTCCTTTGGCATTTATTATTTTGCATCGCATTTTTCAGTATAGATTACTGTTGCTAGATACAACTAAGAATGCGATGTATTCTCGTAACCATACCCTCCCTTCTTGTTACTTTTTCCCCCAGAAGTGCTCTAGGTCAATGGGTCTATTTTGGTGATTTTAATTGACATTCATTTCTTTAACAGAATGTGTAGGGCTCTAATGCCAGGGGATGATGAAAGCATGAATGATGAGGCAATATGGGAGACACTTCCTGTAAGTTTCATTTCATTAGTTCATAAACTGTCCAAGGGTTGGCAAATCCTGTTCATATCACATGATTCTAAAGTGATAAAATCTAAGGTTTTGATATAAATTATGTTATTTCTTAAAAAGTCTTCAAGGATATGTAAATTCCTTGAAGAAGTCTTGTCATGTAAGAACAATTAGAATGCATTATCTATTTGGTATCATTATTAATGTGCGAAGAATATTGTACAACATAGTAATGATTATGGCGTGTCTATTTATGTTATCTTTAACTTTCAGCTAGAATGGTAAAATAACTTTGCATATTAGGTAGATTTCTAGTATTGAGTGTTGTACATATGTGTTAATGTTAATCTTAAGTGCATTTTGAAATTCCTTCCAGGCTTGCTTTCTTATTAACTTAACATTTGTGTTACATATTTTAAGTCAATTTTGGAAAGCACTGTTAATGGTTCGCCAATTTATTGCTTGTAGCATTTCTGGGTAGCAATATCCATGGTTTTCTTTGTTGCTGCTACAATCTTCACCCTGCTTAAGTTATGCGGTAATTTTTCTTATCCCATGTAGTCAAATGTAACATTAAAAAAATGCATTCGAATTCTTGTTACTCATTTTATGTGTACATAGATACATATAGAATTCTCCCTATATATGTATTGATGTATAGGGAAAGGGACAGAGAGTTTAATGTTTGCTAATTTAGATCTTGCTTATATAAAACGTGCAGGTGAAGTAGGTGCTCTTGGTTGGTGGGATTTATTTATAAATTTTGGGTACAGTTTCTGTGCACCTTGTACCTATATTTCCTATTCAACAGCTATGTTTTTCCAGAGCTTGCTTGAACATCGTGACCTGAAAATTTCATTCCTTTTTCGGGTGACTAACATAATTGCATAAATTTCACAGAATTGCAGAGTGCTTTTCCTTTCTTGTCTGTACAAAGTGGTCTAATCCAGTGATTCATAGAAATTCTCGCACAAGAGAAGCTACTTCATCTTCTACAACCATCAGATATCTTGACTGGAATAGTGGTTTAGTAGTTTCAGCAGAAGAGGATCAACATCGAGATAGAATGTGTGGTCTGCAAGATATTGGTGGGCATCTTATGAAAATTCCCGTGATTGGTTTTCAAGTTCTCCTTTGTATGCGCCTTGAGGTATGTTATGTTATGTTATGTTCCTGGTTTGTGGGTCATCATGGCAGCTATTTGGGGCATCTTATCAACTGACCTGTAATTTTAAATTTCAGGGAACCCCAGCAAATGCTAGACATATCCCACTTCCAGTTCTCTTCTCTCCTCTTTTTTTACTCCAAGGTGCCGGTGTACTATTTTCTGCATGTAGGTTGGTGGAGAAAATTATACTTTTGCTGCGTAGTGGGGCTGGCACCGGAATATATTTTAGAATTTCTTCCAGGGCTCACGACTGCTTTGGGTTTTTGCACCATGGTTCCAGGTAGCAATTTTGTGTTTTGTTTTTATTAATCCACAGTTCTTTGGTCTGGTGTGGGCAATGCTCTTACCTTTTCTGGAAGTATCTTGAATAAGATTATCAACATATTGGATTTATGTAAGTAGTAAATGTGGTGCAAATACTATGGAATGATTCTTAACTTGACAAACTTGTAGTGCAGGCTACTGGGCTGGTGGTCAATAGATGAAGGAAGTCGTGAGGAACATGCCCGACTATTTCACGAGGGGGCTTCAGGGTTAGTACTTAGTGTTGCTTTTATTCTCCATGTTTTCCTTGGTATTGTTTTTCATGAGGTGTCGTAGTAGCGATTAATGTCATTTTTTGGTATTCAATGTCTTTTTCTTATTAAAGGAAATAAAAGAAATTACTGCTTACTAAACAATTCTTGTCAACTTATCATTACTTTGGACAGATTTTGACAAATCAATCTCAAGAAAAGTGTTATGCACTTTCTATATTGACGGCTGACGTGTTGCTTATTCATATCAGCACGATAATGAAAAGTCTGCTATTTGTAGATTAATCTTAACTAAAAGCATCTAAAAACCCAGCTGGAACAGCAGAAGTCCCCTCCTAGCTATGTCATTTGGTGTTCTAGTGTTGGATGCATTGTATCTTATAGGTTATTTATCAAATTCATAAAACTTTCTAAATGTAGAGGCTTTTCTGATCTTTGTATACTTGGGTCCTGAAATGCAGATACAACACTTTCTGTGGCTATCCACCTGAGATTGTGAAGAAAATGCCTAAAAAGGATCTCACTGAGGAGGTGATCATGATTGCGTGAATTCATTTGTTGTTTTTTGCTAGAGTTATGATTTGTACCAGCCCCAAAAAAAAATGTTAATAACTTAGTATTATACTTGTGAGTTTTTCAGTCTTGTTCTTGTTTTGTCCAATGCTTCAGTTATGTAAATCTTCATTTGTGTCTTTTTTTTATTTTTTATGATCTAAAATATCAGGTTTGGAGACTTCAAGCAGCTCTTGGTGAACAGACAGAAATTACCAAATATAGCCAACAGGAGTATGAAAGACTTCAAAATGTAATGTTATCTCATCCATAACTGTGTATCATAGTATTGTGAATATGATTCAAATAACAACACATTGACTACAAAGAGTCATCATCTACCTTCTAATAACAACTCAGTTTTTTAAATTGTCTGCCTAGGTTCTTGCATATGTGCATGTGTGTGATTTCATTTTCAGAAACTGGAAATCTTTGATTGTGATTGAAATTTTCTCTGATACTGCTGATCAGGAAAAGGTGTTATGTCGGGTTTGCTTTGAGGGAGAGATCAGCGTGGTCTTGCTACCGTGTAGGCATCGCGTCCTTTGCAGGTACCATCACGTTACTCTTATGCTTGTAAATTTTTCAAATGTGATATAGAACTCATGCTCATTACTTTGCAATTATTGTGCAGTACCTGCTGTGACAAGTGTAAAAAATGCCCAATATGCCGTGTTGGTATTGAGGAGCGCTTACCTGTGTATGATGTTTAGGCTTTCATTTACCCCCACTTCAGTTTTTGTATTACATGGAATTGGGGTACATAGAGCTGGACAGCAACCTGATTCACATGTTTTAATACAAATTTTACTGTAACCTCTATGATTGTGAGTTTCACTTGTTGTAAGTTCTAACTAAGCAAAGCAAAGCAAGCTGTAGGAGATACAGGAAGTGCAGTCGTTTTGACTAAATTCGGGTAGCTTTTCTCTCTCCTTTTCTACCTTTAAAATTGTAAATATACGAGGGGAAATATAACAAGTTTGCTTGTGCTATGTGGTTAGCATCTTGATTACGTCAATATTCCGAGCAATCTTTCGTTTTACTCCATCCATGTTTTTGTGTTAGAAAAGATGGAAGCCATTGTTCTCTCTTATGTTTGTTTTTTCGTCTGAGAGTTCCGTATTAAATTCTCATTACCATAAAGTGTAAGAATTAAGATTAGAAATTCGACTCTGAATGCAGTTTTGTTTGAAACTCTGCCTGCACGAAATATTAAATAATAGTTTCCTTACTACAATAATGCAAATTTATTTATTTTTCCAATGATGGACAAGGGGGGGAAAAAAGGGATGCATTCTTGATAAAGAAAGAATAATGTTGATCTTGACGCAGACGGTGGTGTAATTGGCAAGACTTCTGGTTAAGCATTTGGCGCGAGGATAAAATCGTTGGTAGTTGATGACTTTGATTTTTGAGCTGGTTTTGGTTTTGAAACATCAACGGCAACCCTTGTGGCAAACTCTTGGAAGCACTCATCGACGGTCAGAAATGATGTGTCCGGATACAGAGAACAAACTTCAATGTCATTAGGCTTCTCTATCTCATAATTTACTTGGCAGCCCTTGATGAAAATGTCGTGGGTGAAGGATGCCACAATGCTTTGTGGGATTCGCATTTCTGCAAGTTTAATTTCATTTAACTTGCTGTTTATATATGAATTATGAAAAACAAATGGTAATTTAAATTTGAACCTTTAGCAGCAGCAAGTAGGTCGTCCTCGCTAATAGTGACTCTCGGGAGTTTGCGTCCAATGCATTGCTCCCACAAGGAAGCAAGCTGGTTGATGCTGAAGAGGTTGCTTGGTGGTCGAAAATGAACAGATTTGTTGATTGTTCGGACGTCGTCGATTATTTTCATCGTGAACTTTCCGATGTCGGAACCCGCCACGAAGTAAGCTGTGACATTCACTTAACCAATCAATTAGGTTCTGAATTTGACAAATTAATTAAGTCCAAAGAACAAGGGAAACAACCAACCAACCAAGGACGGGGATGATATTATATTTATTTAAAACCACTTAGAGCACTTGTACCCTGCCAAAAGGGGGCCTACCCACAAAAAACAATTCCCCTTAAAAGGAAAGGTTCCCATAACAAGCAGTGGACTCACGAAATTGAATAAATGCGAAAGCAAAACTTGTCTGGACAAGTTAACGTCATGCTGACGTTTGCTGTCAATTTAAATATCAAAAAAATTATTAACAAAATTTAAAGAACTGACGTTAGCTTACGTCGTTGGATTACCATGACAATGAATGAGAATGCATCAAAAAATTGCTAAAGTAATTACTATTCACATGAATAATGTTTGCAATTACTTGCCATTATCCTTTATCACGACACAATGGGTGAAAGCGCTCTTATTACCCTTTAATCTTGCAACTCAAAAAATTTTGACAAGATTGTCTCAATTATAACTCAAAAAAGTTTTGTCCCCATCTATTTTTGTCATTTTCCTCTATAGTCTATTATGTTTGTTTTCGTTTTATTATATGTAGTTGTTCACATGTTTCGACCCAAAAAAGGAGTAATTTAAAAGAGTATAATTTATTTATTTATTTTGTTTGGTTAGGAGCATGAAGTTTCCATACATGAACAAACATAATCGAAAAATGCAAGGAAACAAGATTTTTTTTTATTTTTTATTTAAAAACCCTGTGGCTGAGATGAAAACAGCAGGTGGGTTAATTATATAAGTGAAGTGAAGTGACGAAAAAGAACCTTTAACAGTGCCATCACCGTAGATGTGGAAGCGATCCAAGGGTGGGAGAACATCGGTGGGGTGAATGTTGTCATGATAAGGCCAACCAGCAATAGAGTTGCAGCAAATGTAAGTGTAGGGAATTCCAGCAGCCTCAATGGCCCTTCTCACTTTTCTCTTCTCATTGTACATGCTCAGCCCGGGCTCCACCGGGTCAGCTATGTCTATGTCATGCCCAAATTCAGATGGCAAAAACCTCTGTCACACAATATTATTATCAGTTACTTCATATCCATGACTAAGATCCAACTCAGTAAGTTACCTAATTAAGCATAAAATATGATTTATTGTACTTTTTAGATTCCAAAAATACCTCCAACTAAGCCATTATAGATTTTGTATATTAATGTAGGAATCAATATGGAAATAGTTTTTAATTGGATTGTATATAATGACAGATGTTGAATTTGGAAAGATCTCCAAATGGTTGTAATGGATGTAGGAATTAATTTGGAAACATTTTTTTTAAAATCTAACAATAAATTCAGATTGAGGTAATCGGTTTGTTTAATAAAAATGTTTTGTTATTTTCTTTTTATGAATTATACATGACTAATAATCTACTTTATAATTGTTTAAGAATAATACTGTACATACTAATTATGTTGAAAAAATAAGTACCTATTACTTGTTTGTTTTATGAAAAATATAATTTACCTAGTACGAAAAGTGTACCTATTTTTAATTTATAAAAAGCATACATAATTATATATTCCAATATACCTACATTATACGACATCCAATATACCTACGTTAATTTTGATGTACTTACGATTAGGATTTAGGTATTATATGTCATCCAATATACCTACCATTCGAATAATATACCTACTATGAAATATTTATAGGTAAATTATTATATGTAATTATGGTTTATATGTAAAGCTATATATACATATTATTTATGAACAAACATATATTATATGTATTAAGAGAATGTTTTGATTTGTTGAGTCCAAGCAACACCATAATAATGGAAAGGCTAGATATTAGGGATTGTTTAGGAAAAATCGTTGGATAACAAAAATGGCAGGGTTTTGTAAATAAGTAATAAGAAATGGGCAACTTTTATCCTTCATGGCATCCATTTTCAAAATTGGGTTTTGGTTGGAAGTAAATATGTGGATGAATTTTTAATAGACTATTAGAGTTGCAAGGGCCTATTACATAATGACCCGTTACCTTAACAGTGCCCGCAGATTTAATGGCTTCTAGCAAAATAAGCTGGTCTAAAATTCTTCCACCACCCACCACTGATATGACAACTTCAATCTTGTGCTCCTTGAGCACTTTCTCCAGGAAATCTTCATCATCAATGGAGCCCTTCATTTTATATGTGTATCACAAGCATCATCATCATCATCATCATCACCGTTAAAGCATGCATATATATATTTATATTTTTTAAGAGAGAGAGGTATAAGAAAGGTACCGTTAGGATTATAGCTCCTCTGTCCTGTAAGGAGTCGATAGTGTGAGTGGTCTTGGAAAGGCCAGGAGAGCCGGGGCGCATAAGAAGATAGGTGGGGTGGCCTGAGTCAAGGCTAGCTTCTGCAATGAACCGGCCGATGAACCCTGTTGACCCAATGATGAGGGTATTACTATTAGCACCCTCCGAAACCATTGGAGTTGTTCCGCACATGTTTCTGCTTTATTTGTTCTGTCCAAGAGAGAGAGAGAGAGAGAAGAGGGTGATGGAGGCAGAGCTCTAAAACTTAAAATATGGGCTGCTCTGCTTGCTTTGCATTTGCATGCAGGTGTCTGTATATATAATATAGCTACACACATGTATATAGTCAAAGAGGGGAGGGGGGTTGGTGGGATATGTGGTCTCTCTCAGTCTCTCAGCCTCTCAGCTGGTTCTTTGCAATAAATGTTTGAATTATATATGCGCGACATTTTACTCAGATATTTACCATGACTCTCTGAGTGGTAGGTCTGTGGAGAGTGCGCATGGTTTGTTACATCACATTCTCGAGTGGTAGATGATAGGCATGTGCCTCCATCTACGAACGCACCCTCTTCCAATTCTTTGTGATGTTGTTGACTTTTCTGTGCTTGGTGACCAATGGTGACATGATTGATTGTCTACTAATCAAAATCCGAGTATAGGAGAGAAACTTATTTATTATCGTTGCTGCTTTGTCTCATTTATTTTATAGAAAAGTTGTTACAGATTCAAATTTTTATTGAGGAATTGAGTTTAATCCCATTTTTCTAAATTGAATTGAAATTGAACCATTATAATTAATTAAACACATGCAATGCCATGCCATGCAGGATTAGGATCGATTAATTAGTAATTTCCTAGCAAGTTGAAGTGTCCTTATTATCGAACGAGCTTATAAATTATAATAATAAAGTTTTACAAGTTGATCGTTGAATAATAATAATATTATTTCCTAGCAAGTTGAAGGGTACTCATTCATTATCGGACGAGCTTATAAATTATAATAATAAAGTTTTACAAGTTGATCGTTGAATAGTATTATTATATTGGTTCAATCTATATTTGATACCTTAGTTGTTTTGTATTTGTTTTTGTTTATCTTTTCAATTAAAATAGTATCGCTATTTATTGGTTCATAAAAATATTAAAAAAAACACAAACGTCCTTGTAAGTTGGAGGAAGAGGAAATAGATAGTCAAGTTGTTGAAAAAAAGAGGTAAACAACAAAAACAACATCCATTTTTCTTGCTTAATTAATAAGATCTCTAGATGTATTCTCATTGAGAGCTTTCATTTTAAAACATGGAAGGAGGGAGCTGCTTCAGGCATTATGCATGTTAGGCTGATTTCAAATTAGAGTAACACTTATCACATTTTTATCTCACATTTCTATATCACATGATGTGACCCGTTCATATTATATACCACATCAATTAAATTAATGAAGTGTATTTTAATTAAGGCAATTAGAAAAAACAAATACTTGAATAAATCATAAAAGAAAAGAAAATATTAAATAATTTTAATTGATGTGGCTGTTCATCTCAACTACCACATAAAATGGTATAAAAATATAGTATGAGTAACATTATTCTTCAAAGAATATTCACGTAATTAATATTGGAAATGAAAATGGCGAAGAAGACGGGGTGGGATGGGACACATATAAATAATACAAGGACCATGGACCACGGTCCATGGAGGGACTAATTAATCATGAACCAAAACTAGTGCTATATTTATGGCATGAGGACGACAACGAGAGACAAATATAGCTGGATATGTCTGCAAGTAGTATGTCCATATCCAATAGTGAGCTTCGAGAATCAATATATATATATATATAGGGAAGGGACTTTCTCTATTGCGAAGTCCAATTGTGCGGAGAGTGGATGCGGACTTCCATTTGTGATCATTAGATTCCTTGTACGCTGTAGATTTAACGTGCTTACACCTCCAATCTACTAACCTCTGTTTCCTTCTTCCACCACAACACCTTCTCTTCCCTGTGCCTTCATCCGATGATTTCATCAATTGCTATTTTTGACTATGTATATGCAATACGTCATTTCCCTTCTTCTCTACATTGATTTTCTTTTTATAAGGATATCCTCGCTGATTTGGGTTCTTGTTGTACTTGGTCTTCGTATGAACTTGGCTCACTTCTGTTTGGTTTTGAGTTTGGTGAGGGGTGTTGTACTGCTGGGTGGGATTTTTTTTATATGACCTTGGCTGATCTGTTGTTTAATTATACTCTGTATTTACCTGATGTTTACAATTACTAACTATATTTCATTTGCAGATGGGGATATTGAAGCTAACTATGATCTCCTGATATGATTCGAAGAGTCATGCCTTCTTCGGATGATTTGCAAAGTTTGTATACATGATATCTTCAAAATTTTATGATATAAACAGATGAATGATAGAAATAGATGGTCCCAAGACTCCATTACAATTTACAAGACAAAGGAATTGAACCTACAACAATAATTGACGTTGTGGGTACAAGTACAAAATTTCAGCTTCATACAAAATTATAGCTTGAACAATAATGAACTAATGCAGCCACAACTACATTCAAAGTTCAATTTCCACCAGCATCGACTATTACTTCACAGAAGGATTATTGATATTGGGTGAAATATTTTATGCATCCTTGCACAAAGAGGACATGCATAAGAAATAAGAAATTATATATTTAAGATAAAATAATCGAATAAATCGAAATAAAAAATTCAACTTAGTTTCGTACTGATTAATGTGAGTTGTACAAGTTCTTCTCTCATGTCTTGTTTGTCCACACCTATGGCAATGGCGTTTACTCTTATTCATTGCTTTCTCTTTTGCTCCCTTCAATCTTTTACCGCAGCCCTTCGCCCTTACTTGAAGAGGGTCATTCAAATGTGGTGAAAGATAACTACTAGTTGCATTTTCATTATTGCCTCCACATATATTGTTACTACTACGCACCACAAAATTTATCTTTTCTCGCATACCTTCAAAACTTTCTAGTAGAACTTTACTTGCCTCTTGAGATACCAAGGCACCATCAATAAAAAGCAAGTTTAGACAATCTTGTTTGCCTCATTAATAATGAATTATCACCACTTTCAGTAGTTATTTGCCTTCCACCCTCTTCCACGACTATATCAGATTTTGCAGCTCTTGTCCACCTCTTTAATATATATATTTATTTGACAAATACTCAATTGTCTCATTTTCATGTATGCCAACACATGCCTGCATAAGATTCCTTCAAATTCAAATTTCTTACATATACATGAAGCATAGTCTGCAACTTTGTCAACCATAACTTCTCGCACCTTCAACTTGAAGCTATCATCTTTTTCCTCTCCATTACCTTATAAAAACATAAATTGTCATCCTCTCTTGCAAGTTGAAGTACACATGCCAAACATTTCCACAAATCTTTTTGAAACTTGTAGAAAATTTTACGAGTATAAATGGCAACCATTTTTGCTTCTCCATTATCAATGGAGATTTCAACATAGGCTGCTCATTGATATCAACATGATCATCAATTATCTCTTCATGACGTTGCTGAGCAAGCGCTCTATTAAACCCTAGTATGAAATCCATTAAAGAATTTCTTTTTGAAATATAGAGCTTGAAAAATGCATGAACCTACTCGTTGGCTACTTGACATTCATGCTGAAAAAATATATTTCACGTATGTTGGCACCCATCTTGAACGTATTCTATAGATTGAAGATAGTCACTCATCATCATTTAGTTTACCTTTGTGGACCACATCCATCCACTTTGACTCAAATTCTTCCTTTGTGTCTGATTCTCACACACGACTTTGAAGTTATCTATTTTCATCCTTATAAATGCAAGTGTTTATCTTTTGAGAAAACTTATCCAAAATGTGCCAAAATATATATGAAACACACCTGGAAAAGCTTGTGAAATAGCATTTCCCATCTCTGGATCTTGATATGTAATAATTATTTTGGGGGGACTAGCAGGCATAGATTTCTTAAACTGCTCAAACAACCAAGGAAAAGACTCAAGTGGTCTCATTGCTCAAGAAACCACAACCAAAAAGAATAGTTTGACCATGGTTATTAACCCCTACTAATGGGGCAAATACCATACCATCGATTAGTATTGTAAGTGGTATCAAATACAACCACATCATCATAAAACTTATAAGCTCTTCTAGATGTTGGATCAGCCCAAAAACAATGTTTAAGCCTATCATCATCGTCAGCCTCTATCATGAAAAAGAAAGATTCATTTTTTGCTTGCTCACTCAACATTTGTGCATCATGCCCCTTCATCTTTCTCTGCAATTGTCTTTTGTAGTTATATAAATCTTTCTTTGTATATCCAATGTTTTGCATCCCTCATGCTTGCACTTCAAGAAGACTAAATTGTTGATGTGTTGGGATATTAACATCACCAAATTGTTGTGCCAATGCTTTATTAACTTCAGAAATTTTGCGATGCAATCTCAACAAATGTACCATTTGAGGGGCTGTCAAAGCATGATTATGGCCCTCCACAAAGTTGGAAATTATGTATTTTGTTCCTTCTCTTACCTTCAAAAACGCAGTCTTAGCCTTACACCCACATCGTACTACACCTTGCCGCCTTTCACTTCCATTAGAAACTTCTTTGGAATATACTCCCTCTTTGTAGCACACATATTCTTTTCTCAAGATCTCATAAGAAGTTTTACTCCTTTGCTGACAATAACTTCGAACACTAAATCCCGCTTGTTTTGCATAGTTGTTATAGAAGTTATAGGCATCCTCAAGTGATTCAAACTCTTGACCAATTTTTGGTACATGCTGATCTTCTCCTTGAGGATTGAAAAATAAATCTGAATTATTTTCATTAGTATCTTCCATAAATTCATATGTCCCGAGTCCTTGTGGGCTTCCCATCTCTAAAGTTTCATCTATTAAAGCAAAAAATAACAAAAATATTGGTCAATGGGACATTGGTAAACAATAGCAAAGAATACTGTAGCAATGCTTAAACCAAAAGGCAAACTCGTAAGTGCATATGAAACCTGAATTAGATAAACTTTCAACTAGAAAACGAAATAGAATAACTTAGCCAAAACCATACAAAAATAAAGACCAATTAGTAGCCAAATCCATATAACCCATACATCAGTGCTTTTTGTTTTTCCGATTCCAACCTTCATGATTTCCAACGAAACCCAAATCTTATTAGTAAACAATCCCATGCCATAAGAAAATCAGAAAACTTTGTATAAGCAAAATGGAAAATACCCATATATCATAAAGCAAAAAAGAAGAAGAAGAAGAAATAAAAATATTCTAACCTGGAGGAGCAGCTATGATATTGCCATGGATGAGAGCACACAGAAGAGAAGGTGTTGAAAAGAAGAAATAAAAATATTATAACTCAGAGGAGCAACTATGATATTGCCAGGGATGAAAGTGTTGAAACCAATTGTCCCACATCGGAAAGAGGGAAGGAGAAAGAGTGCTTTAAATAGATTTTCCCCACTCTAATTAATACCGAGACCTTTTGTGATAAAACCCCACACCTGAGGATTGTGCAGGTGGTTAAGTGGGGACAGTATCGGTGTTGTTGGAGTGGGCCCTCGGCCCGTCGACCTGAAAATTTCCACATGGTATCAGAGCAAGGCGCGGGCCCGTTCTGCCACGTGATTGGGTGGGTCCCCATTTGGCCCCACGCGATGGGTGAGTCCCGACATGGCTCCACGTGGTTGCCGATGTGTGGATCTCCACGTGTGACCCACAACATGGGGTCTCACGTGCAGGGGAGTGTTGAAACCAATTGTCCCACATCGGAAAGAGGGAAGGAGAAAGAGTGCTTTAAATAGATTTTCCCCACTCTAATTAATACCGAGGCCTTTTGTGATAAAACCCCACACCTGAGGGCGATGGGTGAGTCCCGACATGGCTCCACGTGGTTGCCGATGTGTGGATCTCCACGTGTGACCCACAACATGGGGTCTCACGTGCGGGGGAGTGTTGAAACCAATTGTCCCACATCGGAAAGAGGGAAGGAGAAAGAGTGCTTTAAATAGATTTTCCCCACTCTAATTAATACCGAGGCCTTTTGTGATAAAACCCCACACCTGAGGATTGTGCAGGTGGTTAAGTGGGGACAGTATCGGTGTTGTTGGAGTGGGCCCTCGGCCCGTCGACCTGAAAGCACAGGGAAGAGAAGGTGTTGTGGTGGAAGAAGGAAACATAGGTTAGTAGATTGGAGGTGTAAGCGCGGGAAATTTTGGCTCTTACCAAAAGACTAAAAAGCTTTGATAGGAATAGAAGTTCTCAATGATGTTTTAAATCTACAACGTACGAGGAATCTAATGGTCACAAATAGAAGTCCACATCCACTCCGCACACTTGGACTTCGCAATAGAGAAAGTCCCATATATATAGTCCCATATATATATATATATATATTTCATAATCACGTACGTACCATCGATCCAAGAAGCATTACATAATTCATAATTCAATTGGAATCACCAAAAATCTAGTGTGATATAATTCATTGAATAATTATCCCCCAAGACATGTCTTGTATGTCTATAAAAACAAACAGATGAAATATAGTTTGCAATATGGTCAGTTAATGTACTATTATAGTATTACTCCAAAGTAATTAGAACTGAAACCATGATTAATTTAGGTGGTAAGTAAAACCCAAACCTTGATGATTAATTTAGTGTTTTAAATATCCATATATTTAGCTAATTAAAATAAATAAAAACTGTAAAAAGACCAATTGAGAGTGTGCCGAGAAGCTTAATGAAAAAAAGAACTTATGTTTCTTGTTAATTGGCCGACTTTTTTTTGTCTTTCTATTTTTCATATTTTTAATAAAAAATTGTTATTAGCAGTTCAAAAAAGTCATCACACACTATATTGGTGGTGAACTAATATACGGAAGGAAACCTCACTCAGCCTTCACATCTCTCAATAAGGAAATGAATAACGTGACAGATTAAGCAAGGTAATTGGGATACTCACATTGATTAGCCCCAATTATTGGTTGGATAATGTGTTTGGACAGAAAAATAAATAAAATAAAGGGCTAATATTATTTTACTCATTCAAGATTCGGAGCCATTCTTTAAATCTGTCACGTGGTTTTAATTTTGTCAGTTTACTCTTTAGTGTTTTAAAATTTGATCAATTTACATGTTCGTGAACTTGACCTTTTAATCTTCTGTTAAGGGATGACGTGACAAACACGGAGTCCACTTTTTAAGCTTAGATAAAATATGTAACAAATAATATTAAAAAATTCTTTATTTTTAAAGTGAAATAAAATCAATTATTTAAAACAACAAAAATTTAAATAAAAAAACCCAACACTCCGACCAAACTCCCTAGCCGTCACCAACCAACTCCAAACCTAGCATCGCCACCACCCCATCCTTATTCTTCCTCATCTTCTTATTCTCTCCCACTATCCTCACCTTCATTCTCAACACCCATTTCTCCTTCAGACACCCATGCTCATCTTCACCCTTCAACTTCACCTCTTTAACCCGCCATTTCTTCCTCATTCTCATTCGTTTTCTCTCTCTTGCACGCTTCAACGTAGACATTGATCGCCTGAGATGGGTTGAACTTTGGAGGCATAGTTTCTTCATCGACGATCTAGGTTTTGAGGGGTTAGCGTTTCAGAGGGAGAAGGCTTGGTGTAGGGATGGTTTCAGGTGCGATGGGTTTGGGAAGGGGGAAAATGGATTGTTTGCACGTAGTGGTTGTGAGATGATCTAGTTGTTTGCAAGCGATGGTTGTGAGGTGGTTTGGGTTGAAAGAGAAGAGAGGGTTTGGTGGTGTGGTTGGTGACGACTTAGGGGATTTAGTTGGAATGTTGGTTTTTTTTTGGTTGCAAGCGATGGGTTCAATGATGTTGTTGGCACTATGAGACGATGGCCTGAAGTAGTATACTCAACAATGGTAGTGGATGGAAATTTTCATATTCGTCGTTTACGCTGGTTTCCAGGGGTTGGCGGCGGTACTGGGCCTGTCGGTCAGAGATTCTGGTCTTGGTGGCATAACTCATGTCACGCATGGTGGCTGCGGTGGTTGGCTCTTGAGGAAGACAACGATTGGAAGAAACTCCGATGTCGCTTGGATATTGTTTCTTTGTGCACAGTAGCCATGAACAATAACATAAATTTTTAGTAACTGGTATGTTAGTAAGTGGGTCCCACAGTAGACACATCAACATTTAAAGATTGACCACATGGTCAACTTAACAGAAGGATGAAATTGCATGATGTTGCAAACATAAGGGTGTAAATTGACAAAATTGATACTCTAGGGTCTATATTGAGAATTACCTCAAATCGGCATGGTGTCTTTTATGGTTAGCCTTTTTTCTTTTTTTTGTCAGAGGCCTTTAAGGGAGTCATTCGCACGGCTATGAAATACTATGATAGCCCATTACAAATTCTTGGCCCAGACCAATCACAAGTCTTAAATCTTCCACAGCTGAAGGTTGGCCTATCCACCCCAAGCCCATTAGATTGATATGTCTCCAGTTGGGTTACTCAGCCCTTACTTAGAATTAGAAATAAATAGCATAACTCATCCTACGGCAGAGAAGAAGAGAAAACAAAAAGATTTTAACAAAACATCTAAAGCAGAGAAGAAAGGATGAAAATGAAAAATAAATTCCAACCAAAAAATAAAAGCAATTATAGCAGCTTAGCAGGCATATGATTATGAGGTAACCGCACCACCGCAGGGACCAAAAAGATAAACGGTACAGTAAATACAATTATTTACCAGATAGATACATACAGATGATGAGGCATTGCTCATGAGGGTTTTGATACAAAAGCGTCAAATACTTTCCGCATTGCGGTCTGAATCGATAGCGACCCTCCCTGAAATTTTGTTACAACTAATCAAAAGTGCGAACTTGTTCAATTTGGATACTCCGCCTCAGCAACACAAAAAAGAAAAGAAAGAAAACGATTTGGATGCTCTGCGATGGCACCCTCCAATTCCTGCAATTTACATTGAGGCCATTACGTTCAGGCCACCAACCCGTCCACAATCTCCAGTGCTTTGTTGAACTTCTTCGATTTCTGACCCAGTTCCATTTGTTTTGGGCCAATTCGGTGTCTTTCTTTCGCTGATCCAGATTGGTTCGGCAAAAATTTGGTTCAGGGTTTCTTGATTCAGGTAAAGTTCCAGCAACCCATTTACATAGATCTTTTTCTGAATTTTAATTTCTGATTGTTGTGTAGAATTTCACTATGCTTTTTCTTGGCGCTCTGTTTAGTTACTGGGAAATGGAAGAAAATAATAGATGGTTGGTGTTGTTATGTGATAATTTCACCTGAAGTAAGCAATAAGATAACTTAGATTCAACTGGGCCCAGGAATCCCAATTGATGAAAAAATGAAAATGCAACTTCTTTTTGTTTTTCATTGTATGCTCAACTATTGTGAAGGAAAACTGTAAGCCCCCAACCCAAATTTCCTTATCTGGGTTAGATTCTTATCTGGAAGTTAATGAACTCTTCTGGGATATAACTTGTAGGCTCTGGTTTACTCTTTGCAAGGTTTGAGCGAAGAAAATCACAAAACTTCAACTGTGAAGGTTTGGCATTAGCTTTTCTACGAATGAAAACATCAGTGATTTTGTAGTGGAAATGGTTGCTAAAGATGATGGGGAGTGGCCTTTTAATCAATAAAATCCCGCTTTGATTTTACTGGAAATGAGTCGTTCTCCTTCATTTTCAGTGAAGTCAGAACTTAGTCCAAAGCTTGATCCAGAATCTTTGCAGCAATGGGTTGTGGCCTTTTGTATTATCAGGTTCGATCTTGAACAAGGTCAGCTCATTGAAGAGTGCTACCCACCTGGTTGTCTTACACAAGACGAGGAGCTTGAAGTTGCCTTCAGTTCATTCCCAGATTCTGTTTCCCAGCATCAGAACCGCTCAAGCATCCATGATTGTATATTCTTTTTCCGGTTTCGAAGGCGAGGAAGTTCTCAAATTGACGCATCCTCGACTGAGATGACTGAAATTGATAAGAAGTTAACTCCCAAGTCCCCAGCTGTAAAAGTCCTTAGAAGGTCAAAAAGTAACAACGATTCTAATGATTCAAGATACATGTATGGATATGTTTTTAATAGACAGAGACATGATGAGAGGTTAAAACGAGGTGGAGAGCAGAAGTCTGTGGTGATTTTGTCGCACAGTCCTTACTCTAGTGTATTTAGACCTTTGTTACAAATCATGGGTCCTCTATATTTTGACATTGGAAGGAAAGCTCTTGAGCATATCGCTGCTTATGTTTCAATGTGGCCTTCTCCTGTACCTGGTAAGCTTATGGAACTTCCTATTGGGAATGCTGCACTGAAAGTGAACTTGCCACCTGCACATAGCTTGCCCTCAGAAAATGGAATGTTGTTTGAAGAGTCTGCATCCTCTATGGCTCCTTTCCTTCCTAATAACCAGTCAGTCCCACAAGGTCTTTTTCATGACTCAGATCTGTTTGGCATCTTCAGGGGTCTGTTATTACAGCTTTGGGTTTTGTGGGAGTTGTTACTTATTGGTGAGCCCATGCTTATCATAGCTCCAACTCCTCCACAATGCAGTGAGGCTGTGGCTGGTCTTGTGAGTTTAGTTGCACCTCTACTTTGCAGTGTGGATTTTAGACCTTATTTCACCATCCATGACCCTGAATTTGCCCACCTCAACTCCCTTCAAGAAGGAGACACCTTTCCACCTATGATTTTGGGTGTAACTAACCTGTTTTTCCTTAAATCCCTTCGTAATATGCCCCACGTTATTTCAGTTGGAAGCCCTGCTCCTAATACAAACCGACTTCCCCTTGCAACTAGGTCCTCTACTGGAAGAATTTCTCGTATACCAGAAGGATTTGGTTTTCAACAGCTTTCCTTGAAGAAGTTCTCTCCTTCAAATTTATTGAATGCTGTGAAGTTGAGGAGAGATGGTCCTCTTTGTCTCATGACGGAACATAAGGAAGCCATTTGGAGCACTTACTCTGCAACAACTAAGCCTGACACTTCTATCTTAAATAGGCTAATAGATGCTGGGATGTCACCAAGGGTTGAGGAATCAATGTCAGTTGTTAACAATGAGATATTGCGCCGGCATTTCCTGGAGCTCACCACCAACTTTTTGGCACCTTTTGGCCCATATTTTAGGACTAGAACACCGTCAGAAGGATCTTCTCCTTTTGTAGACCCTCCTCCTCTCATTCCTTTTAATGCTGATGAATTTCTGGGAAGTTTATCAGCAAGAGGACCTGGGAAGTTTGTATCAAAGCGAATGAGATCTAATTGGCTGGACTTATACCGGTAATAAACGTTAAATTCCATAATTGTCATGTACTAGAACTCCTAACCAACCATTGCCAGTCTTGTGTCTTTTCGGGGTTATCTTTACCTATGGTAACCATCAGTTTGTGTTTCCTGTTTGTTTAGGCGATTTCTAGAAGGGCCAAACTTTACACCATGGTTTCAAAGAAGGCGTGCCGTTGCTGAACAGGAACAACATAGACTGTGGAGGCAGGCGAGAATGAAGACTGACATACAACAGTTAATATCTAAAATGTCTGAACTAGAAATTGTTGATTCCTTCAATGCTATTGAGAGACATATTCTTGAAGAAATACAGGTAATGTCCCCACTAAGTATGGTATCTTCTATCAATGTACCTTCCGCCCAAAACAAGAAAGTATTCAGGATAAAGCATGCTATATCTGCTAATATCTTAGTGATGGTCCATGTGGAACCACTTTTAGGATAAATTTCAGATTTATTTTAACTTACTAAGATGACTCTGATATCTTTATGAGAGAGGTCAAAAGGTGGAATTGTTCAAGTGTTCCCGGATGTTTGGTTTACAAGGCTACTAGATGTTATTTATTTTGTCACACGGTATCTCTTGTAGGAATCTGGTCTTGGGAGAATTTTGGTGTGGGATTGGTTTGAACTTTCAATGATGTTTTGACTGGATAGTGGTATATCTCCTGCTGATGTAACTGCGTAAGACTGGTGTAAACTTGAAGCAAGAATGATCAGGACATCACTGACTAACCCTATTCTTAATGCGTCTTTTTTGTGCCCTGATATTTGGACCATTTATCCCTGTGAATCTATTTCCCTTGCCACTTAGTGACCACAGAAGTAGCAACAAAGTTATCTTTTTAGTGGCAGTGGCATCAAATTTAATGGATGCAACACAAGTAGCAATAGGCATTATATCAGAGAAAATTCTATCTACCAATGCTTCTCCCAGGAAAATCTGGTGCAAGAGTCCTGTTGTACATGTAAGCTTTTAATAGCAGTGAGAAATGAGGAGTACCCAAAACAGAATAACATCAAGATATTTTACATTCTGTACCCAAAGCAGAAGGCGTAGTAGAATAGAACTTAATTTCAACTGAAATGCTAATTTTCATGTTTTTTTTGGGTCTATGGATATTAAGTAGATGAAGAAAGATGTATTATATTGATTTTTCCAATATTATTCAATTCTCAGCTGGACCAATCTGGAAGGGCTTCTACAGACTCTGGTGCAACTTGCCAAAAACTAAAGGGAGATCTGCAGTCAGTTTTCAATGTACTTCCCAAGGACATGCAGCAACTTCTACTTTTCAATCCACAAAGGGCAGCTCTTCTAAAAGGAGCTCCTGAACATACAAAACTTCCTGGGCGCCCGCTTATACAAGTTGGGGTTGTGTCGTCAACTTCACCAAGGTAGTGTGCAAAAATGGCTGGGAATCAGTTGCCTCTGATATCAACAATCTTCTTGTGCTGTTAAAGGACGGCACTTGTGATTATTTTGTAGCTTCCTTTTGTTTCTGGTCTGAGATTACTTCGCCGACTTCAAGATCCATTTTTCTACCAGGTAATTGATCTATACTTGGTGCTTATTTGCTTGTTGGTTATGTCTAAAGCTTTCCATTTCTTTTCTTTGTAACTTGCTTTCTTCCTTTATAAAAACAGATGTGCCAGAATCAAAGTATTGTCAAATGAATGAGTGATCCGTTTCCCAGTAGACGTGAGATGATTTGTCAACTTTTCAACCTTTTTACAGTTTGGGTCGTTTATAAATCATGGGAACTCAGTACTTGACTTTTTATTGGAAGTTGAAGATTCAAATTACTTTTATTCCAAACAATGTGTAAGCTACTACTGTGTAGAAATGACTCTGGGCACAACCTCCCACTTGTAGTTCACATAAATTCAATATCGACTTCAGCCCCCTCCCTTTCAGAAAGTGAAAGATCGAGTTATTGTTTTGTTTTGGTGTTCATTTTGTTAAACCCTTACGAATGTGAGGGTTTTTATTAATTATTTTTTTTCTTGTGGTGCAAATGACCAATATGTAAGAGGAAAACCTGAGCCCCTTTCTTCCACGGCAGGCATATAATGCCAAAATGGTGGAGAAGCACCGGCCCTATCTTTCAAGATGGACCAAAGATGACATTTCAGCTTTGTGGAAAATGACCCCTTGGATTGGATTGGAGAATAATTGTGGGGGCCTTGAAGGTGGCTGGGCAGCTGCTTAGGGCATGAAGAAAGTATCTAGCTCTTTTACCACAGTAAATTAGAATTCTGACCGAGCATGGCCAGTAAGTTTTGGTTAAAGATTCTTTGTGAAAGGGAAAGGGAAAGAGGAAAGCAAAAGTTGTGGTAAATTGGAGGACCACAATTCAACCGTAACCCGTTTATTATACATGTCAATTTTCTGAGCAAGAATTGACTGTTGAACGTGACATTTGTTCATAATTGTCTACCCTTAAAATCCAAAAGATTTCTTAGATTCCATTGTTTGTATAGTCGTCACAAATCACATGCTGGGTCCTCATCATCTGCTCCTCCACTACATAATATTTGTTGACTCCCAACAACATGTCATCACCTTTTGGAATTGCATGCCTAAAGTTAAGTTTTAATCGAATATATAATCTATCTTATTATCCATCCATCATTAGCGGATTAGTGGATTAGTAGGTTGGGTTTTTATCTCTTTTGTCAGAGCCACAAACACTTCATCAATGAAGAACGGTTAAGATGACTGATATGATGGTTAGGACAAGATTCAATTCTCATCCATATTGAAAGCTATATCTGGCCTAAACCACAGAATCGTTACATCATTCTAAATTTCATTCTTTTGTTTTCTTCTGAAGTTGCACAAAACATTACCCTAATAAGCCAGAGTTAGATTTTTCACGATTTCTATTCTAATTCAGCCCTTCTCTTGCCTTAAAAGAAGCACTATAAGGACAACAAAGAGACACTGTATGAGACCGGGGCTATTATAGAATAAAAGAAGTATTCTATAATTCAATCTATCTTTCAAAACGCACAAATTCTTTTAGCAGAGACTAAAAAGAAAAAGAACCATACATATTTGACGAATCATGATCAACTGTATTGTGATGCTGATACATTTGTATAGAGAAACAATCTGAGAGTGTGGAAAACACAAGAACATGCTGGGTTGAATCATACCAGTAAATTTGCCAATAATGCTGGTCTAGATTTATATGATATTGCTTTCCATGCTTGGAAGTATCTGTGGGCGGCATTTTTGCGAGAACTTGAAATGGAGAATTGGCCACGTCTTGGAGATATAGACAGAGAATCTTTCTCTGCGGACCAACTTTTACCAAATTCACCAGAGAAAATAAAAAGTGCAGCCTATTTCTTTTCAGAAAAAAGTCACACTACTTTTTTTTACTTCATTCTGCTGCCACAACAAAAACCTCTTGTGCAAGTGCAATAGTAAATCGTTGATGGGTTGCACTCACGGGTCCCAGTGAAGAAAGAATTGTACACAAAAGAAAGTTGTGCTCCAAAGCAATTTTCATATCTTTGAGTCTCAAATGAATTGCTTTTCTTCTCAGTTTCAGTTCAAGCTACTATTATAAAGTAATTAAATAGGAAACTTTGAAGTTTAAAAGGGGGAGTTGTACCTGAAAGTCAAAAGGCAAACGCAGGATTTGTATTGTTATCTTATATGAGACTTCTGTGAAAAGGTACTATAATTTTGGAACAGTAACGAGTTAGGAAATTTGGAATTGCCATAAATATTCAACATGGTTCATGAGCAGTGAGGTTGCATGTGTGATGCTGCTGGTTTGAAAATTTCCATGGGCCTCCAAAAGTACCCAAATTTCACTCCCTCCATGATTGCCAATGTCTCTCCTCGCCAGCAGCTAGTGATACAGAGACAGAGAGAGGAGAGAGGAGAGCGAGAGATTTTTTGCCCAAGTTTCCTAGATGACAAAGAACCCATCCCTTCAATTCTAAAGTGGTCCTCTTTCTCAATTGATAATTTGACAACTTCTCTCCTTATCCTACACACACACACCTTCTCTCTCCTGTCCCCCTCCCCTCCTAATCCTACGCACCCCCCCCTCCTCTTTTCCGATACAAACAAACCCACTAAACAGAAAGTGAATCCAACTTGTTAGCATTTTCACCATTTTCTTCAAACTCTCTAGGCTAAGAGTCTTTTTTATTTTAGTTAAAGAACCACCCTATTTGCAGATTAATCAAACGTACACTCCAACAGCAAGACCAATAACAACCATGTCAAGTGCCAGTGTTTGGAACAAAGAGGAAGACAAAGCTTTTGAGAACGCAATTGCCATGCATTGGATCGATGAAGAATCAGAAGAGCAGTGGGAGAAGCTTGCTGAATTGGTTCCAAGCAAGAGCATGGAAGAGTTGAAGCAACACTACCAAATGCTAGTGGATGATGTAAGTGCAATTGAGGCTGGACATACACCTCTGCCTAACTATGCAGCAGCAGAGGAAGCTACCTCATCCAGTAAGGACACTGCTGCTCGTGCTTCTTCTGGAGCTTCTGCTTCGGATAAGAGATTGAATTGTGGTCATGGAGGTGGGTTTTCAGCGTTGGCTCATGACACGTCCGGCCATGGAGGCAAAGGAGGATCAAGGTCAGACCAAGAGAGAAAGAAGGGAATTCCTTGGACTGAAGAAGAACACAGGTACTTTTATATATTGCTTGTTCATCATATCATATCTAAAGACTCAATCTTTATTACTTTTTCCTAGGCAATCCGAAGCCTTTTTTTAATTATTATTATTAAATTGAAAAGCTTTGGGTGAGATGGGAGCTTTTCCCTTGCCTATAAATTGGAATTAGGTTTCATAAACAAAAACCCATGTGGCAATGAAAGTTTTTTCGTATTTGATTTTATGTGCAGACACTTGACAGTGGCTGATTTGTGGGTTTTTATTTTCAGGTTATTTCTACTTGGTCTTGAGAAATTTGGCAAGGGAGATTGGAGAAGCATTTCAAGGAACTTTGTGATTTCCAGAACTCCAACCCAAGTGGCCAGCCACGCACAAAAATACTTCATCCGCTTGAACTCCATGAACAGAGACAGGAGGAGATCAAGCATCCATGACATTACCAGTGTGAACAATGGAGACGTGTCATCTCATCAGCCACCAATTACAGGACAACAGACGAATACATATGCGCCAAGTGCCGCCGCGGCCGGTGCCACCACCATAGGAGTAGGACCACAGTCGGTGAAGCACAGGGCTCACCAGCCACACATGGCAGGTTTAGGAATGTATGGAGCACCAATGGGGCACCCAGTTTCAGCTCCTCCAGGGCATCATATGGGATCCGCTGTGGGCACTCCAGTCATGCTTCCTCCAGGGCACCATCCCCATACACATCCTCCATATGTTGTGCCAGTTGCTTACCCAATGGCACATCCAACAATGCACCAATAACAACACCACCACTTTTCTTTCCTTTATCATTAGAGTTTCAGGTCTCAAGTGGATTTTAAAAGGGAATAATATAATACACAGCAGAGAGCAGAGAGCAGGGCAGAGAAGAAATCACGAGACATGGATCCACCACATTTATTTCTGTAGCAGTATTGAATAAAACATTCCTAATTTGAAGTTGCATTTCTCGTTGTATATATGAGAGCAGAGATGATGTTCATAAATGCCATCCGCGTTTTTGTAGGAACATGTGAAAACAATAAATGGCTGCCCCCTTTTGTTTCGTATGCAATCGAATTCTGCTCACATGCATCGACTGCATTTGTGTTTAGGGTTGGAAGTGTAGAAAAAATATAGGTGTTCAACGCATTTGTAACAGCAAGCTGCTGGATATGCAATCTAACCATTGTTTTCCGTCTAGATCTGTTTAAGAAAAAACGTCAAAGGGCAAGAGAGAGAGAGAGAGAGAGAGCTGTTCTGAAATTAAATTTATAAATTCTCATAATATATGATTAAAACATCATGGATAAAAACAAATGACATCATCCCGAAGCTAGCTGTCTAAAAAAATGGACCAAAACTACACCGTCTCGATCCTGAAGCTAGCTGTGTACAATCACAGACACCTTCGTTTCAGATGGAAATGCCCATTTAAAAGATGATACAATAGAGTTTTCCTTCCCCCTTTCCACCATATTGGTGCCATAGCCCGCCGTCTCTTTTTAATTTGTTTTTCTGCAGGCAAAGATATGAAGGATTTGAACTTAGTAATGTGAAAAAAATATGATCCCTCGGCTAAACTAGCTCCATACAAACGAAGGAGAGAGAGATCCTCACTTTTGTTTTGAAAAGTGTACATGCTACATTGTGACTGAAATTTTGTTAGGCTGGATCCCAAAGCAGGCCAGTATTTATTTTGAATTTGAAGGACCTCCAGAACAGTTTGCAGGCCGGATCTGGAAGGTAAAGTGTTGTCCAATTCGCATCCTGGACTTTCACCCAGCAATACCTATCTCATGGAAAGGCAAGTCAGAAACACATCGAATATCCAAATACAATGTATTTCCTCGCGTTGATGTTCTATTAAATGATTACCTTAATTACTGCAGTAGCGGAAGAGGATATTGAACGAAGATTGTAACTGCAAAAAGTAATATTATTTAATTAAATTCGCTTCAGATGGAAACCTAACCTCAGAGAAAAACAAAAGTAAAAGACTGAGCCACAAACCCGCCCTCGAGAATAACAAGCAACTTTCCTCCAGACAAGTCAGTCAGCATGTGTGTCATCTTTGCATAGCCTGCAGGAGTAACCTACAGGAACAAAATCACTAAAATGTAAGACACACTAAAGAGATATATAAGTCCAGTCTCCAGCAATGTTCTTTTCTACCAGAAAAGACAAGGATAAAAATATTGCAAACAAATAAAAGAAATCCTTACATCACAGCATCCTAGTGGATCACCTCTTGCTGCATCAAATCCTGCTGATATAATGGTGAAATCTGGAGCAAATTCAGAAGCTGCGAAAAATCATTCAGTTCAGAATGCATTAAATAGATATCAGAGAATCAAATCCAAAACATGGCAATTGTAGATATCAAACATGATAGAAAACATTATGTATTCATGTGCGTGTGAGTGTTGTGGGATGTGTTTATAATCGAGAGAAAAAGCTAAACCCGCATAATTTATTTGTCCCAAAATGAAAACAGGATGATTAAATAGTAAAGATTATAGTTATCATTATGATAAAAGTCCCTTGTTAGGAAATAACAACCTATAGGAAGCACAACATGCTGAAATGCAAAAATATAATCATTGTCTCCAACTCCACCACGACTCCATGGAACATTCACACAGTATCCTTCAGCCCCCATGGTACCAACCTGAAGCAGTCATCACTTAAGTCCATTAGTTGTAGTCCAAAACATAAGAGAATAATATATGAAACTGCAAGTGTAGCTGAAAATGAAAACAAAAACCAATTGTAATCAATTTAGTACCTCATCAGCAGCTCCAGTACCAGGATAGAACTTCCCCCCTTCATGTCTATGTAAGGACATGTACAAGACCTACAGAACAAGTTCAACTTATCAGCCCTAAAAACTAAATAAATGAACAGTACAAACAGAATGGACACATTACAACAACATAATTTTTTTTAATACACACTTTGTACAAAGGTGGGGGAGGGTTAGTTCAGTTCATCATAAAAGCTTCTACTCAACTTGCTTTATGAAATTGCTGCAATGACTAGAACAATTTTCATAATATTCATGATATTTATCTCTCTTCAAATTGCCCAATATCAAAGCTCCTCAGAGTTATAATACACATAACTGCCCTAGCCAACCCTTGACTACCTCCTCCAGACAACCATATAACTGGAAATGAGTAGGGCATTAAAAAGTTAATGCACATAGGAAGACAAAGTTTTAACTACTATGTTGCTCACCGATTTGTTCTGGTCAAATATTTCTTGTGTGCCATTCCCATGATGAACATCCTGCAATTTTTATTGGATACTTTTTCAGGTTTGAATATTTATCCAGATATGAGCAGCTAAAGAAACATTGTAATCAGATGATTACATAAGAGTATTGACCTTACCCAATCAACAATTAGCACTTTCTTAGCCCCGGAAGCTTGAGCTGCTAATGCAGCAACTGCTGCATTATTGTGGAGGCAAAACCCCATAGCCTGTCTCACACCAGCATGATGACCAGGAGGACGGACCTGAGTCATTCAGTAATGGTGCTTAACATCAAGAAGAATGAGATTTTCAAAGAGTTCTTGTTACATCCATAACTCTGAAACACACTAAATAAGAGTATTTATTTTTCATACCAGGGCAAAACCATTTTTGGCACGTCCAGAAACAATTTCTTTAGTAAGATCAGCACACAAACCTGCCGCAAGCCTAGCAGCATGTGCTGAATGTTCATTGGCATATGTGTCAGGAGTGAAATAACTGCCAATCATACATAATTTATCAATAAAAAGACAACATCTACCAACCATACCATTACATACCAAAATAAATGAATCTGATGTTGTTAACTCAAGAACAGGGTAGGGTGGATAAATACATTAGAAGTGTTTTGTGCATAGGTCTGAACAAAATATATCCAATTTTGGGATACCCTCACTTCAATGTTTGCTCATATCATATTCATGCTGCTTCTTTTATGAGGCATATGCTTCGATAAATACAATTTAGTCTATTTTATTAGCTATATTTCTCCCATGTGTTTCTTTTCTTACATTAATATCAATTCCATAAACTCAGGCAGCAGGAGAGCAGATATGGGCTTCAAAACGTTCTAAACTGTTTTTTTTTTTTTTTTTTTTTTTTTTCTGTTTTGTCACTGATGCTTTGATTTTGAGTGTTGCAAATTTTTTCTCTAATTGGGAAAGCAACTCATGTAATCGTATTATAATATACAAATATGTAAAATTAGTCCAAGGATTGCCACTTAAATCCTGACAACTTTGCTGCCTACTATTAGCATGAGAGAGAGAGAGAGCAATGCCGCAAAAGAACATACCTAGAAAACATATGGCTTGTATGGTCAACTGCTTCAATATGCTCCAAAGAATGAACCTTTAATTTCAAAATGTAAAGCCAAGAATTACAAATCATAGGCCAAGGAAGACATTATAAATTATAATTGTAATTTGTTTCCCTTTAAAGGACAAACTAGCAACACGAAGTCTGTTCTTCATCGTCATGACAGCACAGAGAAAGGTTTGTCATGAAGTGAACTACAAACCCCCAAATCTTCCAAAATCAGGACTCAACCAACAGACATCCAATTTCCTTAGTTGTGTGCATTCATAAAATACTAGGTCAGATGTGTGCCCTTGCCCTCCAAGTCCAAGATGATGGGTGACTACTTACCATCTGAAGTTCTTCACGAGTAATCTCTCTAGCAGAAATTGGATAGCATCTTCCTGGAAATATACCTGCATAGGTTGAAATTTTCCATTTGCTTATCAATCTAAAATAAAATAACACCAAGAACCACTATTAGACAAATTACCACACAGCAAGCCACAGTTACAATCCTTTAATAGTACCAATTGGCATGCACAAAGAACTTCAACGAAGGTTAATACCAGCTGTAGCAAGGCTAGCAGCAATCGCTCGAATACGATCTGGTCTTTCTGGGTGTGGATGTGACTTCATTTGAACCTGCTCTAGCATAACAACCACCAGAAAAGAAAAAAGAATAGAAGTATTACACAAACAGAAAAGAGCAGTTTCCAACTTGCAACATTAATGTCACAAAATATAGTGAATATAAAATGCAACAATAGCTACTAAAAAAACACATATAGCATATTAAAACTACTGCAGCCTGGGTATGCAGATAGGATTGCCATGAAACTTCTAGTAAAACTGCTTTGTGGATCTTGGCTTAAGTGATGTGTCATGGAAAATGAACATTTGCATCTAAATACAAAACACTGAATTACAAATAAAAAGAACAATAAATGAGAAAACTAACAGAGTATGAGGAAGACATGTATTACAACAAGACCGTACTTCTGAATGTAGCAACATTCTCTCGTCAAAACCTACAGCAGTGGAACTATTTGATGCTGAATCTTGAGAGCCTGCACTTACCAGGGAAAAAAAACTATTAACTCCACTGTGATACAAGTTTGGCAGGCTACCAAAACTCAATATTAGTTTCTTTCCCTAGTGTCAGACTCAATCTCAGTAAGGTCTGAATCATGTACCCACCTCTGTGTCTTTCCCTAGTGTCGGCCCCAATCTCAGTAAGGCCTGAATCTTGTAACAAGGATGATGCAAAAAACCCATGCCTCAAGATACCAGATTCTCTATGTTCCCCGCATATCTGCACGGAAATAATAGCACCAAATTATCCTTCCACAACCAGGTCCCCTTAAAAAATACAAACAGATGATATGAAAGGAAGAATTGTATGTCAGAATCTTGAGGAGGGAGAGGGGGAACATACATCACAATGGGCAACATCATCAAGGTTGACCATTGTACAGTTAGTGCAGAACCACTTCACAATTTCTACATGTTGTGGGAAGGGCTCCCAATCACTATCATCATCGTCGTCATTGAGGTCTTGGTTGTACATATCTTCTAATGTCATTTCCTTTTGCTGTGTTGCCTTTTTCTGCAGAACAATAAAGTTCCATATGTAAAGGCAATCATTTTAGGGTAGATAAAGCATGAAGTTTGTTCCAAGAAACAGTATTTTTGAATGTGAGTAAATGCGCCACTTACACTTAAAACATCAGTTGATGCGTCTCTGCTGGATACTCCTATATCTTCTTTCCCACAATTTTCATCACGGCAAGGTCTACCATTCGTTCCATCAAACCCCAAGTTTCCATATCGCCCATTAGAGCCTTGATATTGAACTTGATTGTTCGGTTTGTGAAGACCTATCTCGGCCTCCCCATTTGTTAAACGACTCATTTGAAGTGTTTCTGATGCTAAGCTGTGTTCAGAGCTTACATGGGGGTTTTCAGCAAGAATCATTCCTTCAAAAATTTCAACCGTCAAAAAGTTGTTTTGAAATATATGGTCAACATGTTACCCAAAAAAGAAAATAGTCTAAAGAGAAGAAACTAATGAAGCCTGAAAACAAACTACCAGCTTCACTAGCTTCGTTAGTAGTGTGAAGCCTTAAATAAATATATATAAAAACTGAGAGAAAAAGAGAAAAATATCTTCTTTATATTGTCATTTAACTTAATTAATTTTAATATCTTACATAATTTTACTGTTCGAATGTTCATTTTTCAAAAATTTCTCTAAGTTTGTTTTAGTGAACTAATGAGCTTAAGGTGCAGTTAGTAGCCTAGATAGTCTATGTTTTGAACTTTCTATACCATACAGTAATTTTTGTGTGTGGGTGTGTGTAAGCCGGAACTAGAGACAGAATGAGCAAACCCTAGATTGTACGGAACGCTTATATACATGACATATATACAGGTTTTTGAAATTACTCATGGAAGAAGGAAGAAGGAAGCAGGAAGAAGGTGAAGGAGAGGGATTGATAATCTTACCTGGGATAGGACACACGTGCCGGAATCTGCTGTAGATGCAAAACCACTGCAAATTTCAAAGGGAAAGCAGAAGCCCAGAAGGCTGCGACCTATGAACTATCGTATTGACTGTTTTATTTTTTTGCAATGATACCCAAAAAGCTTTTTATTTTTTATTATTATTTATCTAGCGTTCTTTTGTAATTTTCATTCTGCCCCATATATTTTTAGTACTTTAAATGTACGCACCTATAAGGATAACTATGAGTTACAATTAATTACCATGTTACTTTCATCTCGCTCTCTCTCATATTCTCAAGTAAGGTGAAACAAAAAAAAACAAAAACAAAAAACAAGAGAAGAGGAAAGTACAACAATCCCCTTACAAACAAGAAGCAGAGGGAAAATATAAGAGGAGCAACCAAGGGACTGGATGGAAGGTTGTAATGATCTGAAGGAAAACTGCATATAATAAATTATTGGGGTTTTATTGTCCATGAACTTATATTTGAGTTTCAATTTGGTCTTCCAATTTTTTTTTTATAGTCGATTCCAACTCTCTCATATCCGGAAATTGTAACCCTAAAACAAAGGGTTATGTATTAGTTTGTAAATGGGTATACAAGATACACTTCAGATATTACACATCTGATAGCCTTTTATCATTCTTCTGCAGAAAGAAAAATAGTATGGTAAAGCGTGAAATCAAATGTAGCAGTAAATTTTTTATTTTTTATTTTTTATTTTTATCAACAAGAATAATTTCATTAGTAACTGGCAATTTGTAGACAAAGCTGTGGTTTTGGCCAAAATGTGAACAGGCCCACACAGGGATCAAAATGTGAACCTCACTGATTGGATTCTCTACTGCCATCATCTTTTTTGGCTCCTTTTTGGACCAAAACATATATATATATATATATGTATATCCAGACAATACATGCAAAGCAAGCTCATGTTCATCATGTGTTTCAGGAAACCATATTACTCAACAATAGTCCCACACCGACCATGGCTCAAGGAAAAGACTTCACCAAAGTTGTATATTTAGGAGAGACAAAATGAAAGTGAATACAGACATTTCATTACTATACATAGTCCATATTAACATTGAAAATGAAAAAGGAATGAAAAAGGAAAGAGTTTGGAGGTGATCGTAGCTCCAAACACCATGCTTTGCATACTAATCATGCCAGCAAATAAGCATAACAATACATCTTCTGAATATGTAGAGCCTTCCTCTTCCTTCTTTGAGAAACCCGCACGACCCTTTGCATGAAAACCTTCTCTTGGAGGCTTCAACAGTATCGTCACTATTCTTCATCTTCATCTCTATTTCCCACAACACTAGCTAGTGGAATCCCATGGCTCTTTCTTCACTCTTCTGTATGAATCATTGTTAGATATATATACGTGTTAGGTTCACCTTGTAGAGATGACTAAATTTCATGAGAAAAAGAGAAGGAAGAGTGTGTTTCTTATAGGGAGAAGATAATGTGTGGTCCCAAAAGAAACCAAACATGAAGCGTCATCAAGACGAAGCTACATGGTGATAACAGGACCAACTTTGTTTTAAATAAGTACCATAACGTCAGTTATGAGTTCTTAAATGACAACTTGAGCACTTAATTTGACACCGAAAACTAAAACTTGGGATGAATGAACCAAACCCTACATGGCCAATTGACAAAAGGATTCAGCTTCTTTGTTCTTTTCGGCTTTCTAATCATCAGAGGACCGGTGGAATTTTTATAAGGCGCGCTGTGGTGTGGTCATGATAATTGACAATAGAGAACACTTGAATCAACAATTACCATCCAAATACAAAAGAGGTAGCTAGCTGTATGGTACGGCCGGGGGCCATGGTGCACGTGAAATTCACCATAGAGACATGGTCACTGTCCGTGACATGGAAGACAAACTAGTTTTATTCAAAGGCTTTGAGCCACATTCTGTTTATTAGGTTGAACTATCTATCACCTCCACGACTCTAATTTCGTCTCCTTTTAAACATGGGAGCTTCCCACTACTTTCCATCTTTGTGGGTTATACAACAAAGGGTACCTAGCCTTTTCAAAGTCATCAATTTGAGTTTGAAACTTTGACATTGCGGTTTCTTTCTAGCCAAATCTAATCAAGCTGTGTGAACGAATATGTCATCTAACTATACATCAAATCAAATGGACATACAGTGAAAGAAGCAGGACATTATTGTAGTCACTATGCCTTGTCTCTGCTAGCTTAACAATCAGAAACGGGAAGAACTAATAGATAAGGGAACAGAAAAGAGAGCGAATCCCATTTGGAGTTTTGACTGGTAAATGGCGCATAAGCACACAAGGTTTCAGCAATTCCTGAAGCTGGACCCCTACCTAAAGTTGAAAGTGACAGAACAAGGACAAGTTTTACCTGGATAAGTACGGAAGGGCCGGAGCTGGACCCTACCCAGAGGTCAGAACCGACCCAAATGAGAAGGGGAGCCCTAACTTTTAAGTATATATGAATTGGAAGACAGATGACCTACAAATGTGACTGAAAATCTGTTCCTGACCGACCTCCTCAAGAAGAGAAAATTTTGACGTACAAACCCAAAATAAATTGCAGCAAGTCAAAAATTTTGACCATCTTTCTTCCACTTGACAAGAATCAAAGCCAAATGTATTCAAACAACAAATGCTGCATGCAGCATGCAGCATGCCTGACTGCAAAAGCCTGATGCTAGAAACTATTTATGAAGGAAAGATTTCAGCAGTACAAGTTAGGCCTAGCAATTAATTGGAGGACAGAGTAACACCTTTTCTTTGGGTAGAAACAGAGGGACACCTTCAACTTACAGTACAGTCCACGACCGTGCACCTGGTATGACACATATTGTTCAGAAACTGTGCAGCAGATATAAATACATTGATGTGTGGGGTTACAAAACTATAAATGCCAAGTTCACAGCCACTAAAATGATTGAAGATAATGTTTGGTATCATATATAACGTTTAGCAATAGTGCATATGCTTATCCATTTATTATATTGTACATATACAGAACAGAGATCATAACATCACATGTGATCTTAATCTTCATCCTTACTAATCAGACAAGATATAACATGCCGGTTTCCAATTCGAAGAAAAGAAACAAGAAAAACACCACTGGTTATTTTGCAAACTTCAACTTCCAAGATCACACAACAAAAGGTTTCAAGAAAACTGTATCCATGCTAATATATATGAGCTTTACTAGCTCTGCATGCCTTTATTGCATTGTATCATTCTTTTTCCAATTTGCTATGGGTACATGCGTGCCATTCATTAAAGTGTTATCTAGAAATCAATACATCTCCTTAACTAATTTTCCACTCCTGTTGAATTTTTTTAAAAGACCTTTCAAGAGAAATAAGTATTCAAGTGCATGGAACACACAAGCTATGGTGCCGTCACTCCCACTTCATCAGCTGGACTGCTACCATTTTACAGTGCATAAATACAACAAAAACCCTATTGTTGTTGCTACTACCACCGGTGTGTACATATCACTTTTACATGTCTTCCATTGACACGGCCCATGTAGAAAAACAATCACAAAGGTCTGACCCTTTTTACTCAAAAATGAATAAATCCATTTCAAAATCTAAAAAGATATCGTCAATTATCTCAATCATTTATATCACAACAAAAACTTACCTCTGATGTCCTCAATTGCAATAGTTGAAAGCAATGAAGATTTCATATTATGAATATCCTTCAGCAGTTTATCGTTCTCCTGACTCCCACTCTGTATCTCAACTTGTAAAGCTGCATGCCAACAATTTGTAGTAAATAAGTCACTTCAACAAAGAAAACTACAAGAGTAATATATGCATTTGATACAACATATTGACTAGAGACTTGCTCACACTTCACACACTAGGGTGATTTAACACTCTTAAACCATTAAATATTAAATTAAATGTGCAAAAATAAGGAAGAAGTTTGTACCAGAGTTGCTACTAATAAGATCTTCAAGAATTCCTTCAACAAATGCCAGCATTGAATTCTTTAAAGCATTGTTCTTCTCTTCCAAGATATGAATTTCATTTTCAAGGAACTCTTTTTCTGACAGAAGAATGCATAGGTCATTATCATTCGCCTTGTCAATGTCCTTCTGGAATTCTAAGCACATCGCAATAAACCTTTCCCTGTTAAAAAAGAAAAAGAAAAAAAAGAGCTGATTCAGTTACCTATCTGTACCTAATGCAGATGTCAGTTACGTTCTTAAGTTCTAATTCCTACTTTGGCAAGAATTTTCATGTACAAAGAAAAGAAAATGTTACAATTTTTGTGAAATCCATAAACATTCATATCAGAATTGAGACTAAAAACGTTCATAATCTATTAAAAAAGGAAAATACCGCTGGTCGTGGATTCTATTAAGAGTCTCATCGCGCTTCATTCTCAGACGACACAATTCCTTCTCCATAATCTCTACCGAGTTCCTTAAATCTTCTGTTAATAAATACATTAATAAAAAAGTCGAATTAAGTGACTGATAAACTATTAATGCTCCAATTAATGTGTATAATAAGAAAAAATGGAAGGATTAGAGGAAATTAGAGAATTTACTGGTGACGGCGAGCAATCCAGTGAGCTCAAAGTGCGAGACGTAGAGCGTCTTGGTGAGGTCCGATTCTTTGGCGGCCAGAGCGTTTTCGATTTCAGAGCATTTGACGATCTCCGATTCGATCTCTCGCGTGATCTGAATATTCGCCTCGATTTCTTCGTTCACCTAATTTCACAAGCAGTTTATGAGCGATCGGAGATAATTTGGTTGAAAATTGAAACTTTGACGAGATGGAAGCTTCGACTGAGATAGGAGATGGAGGAGGAGGAGGAGGAGGTGCAGTTTACCTGGTCAAGCATGTCCTTCAAGGTTGAGATGTGACAGAGGATCGCCCCCGAATCCTCCATTTTCGTATCTCTCTGCGACTCTGCGAGTGAGTGTGTGTTTGCTTAACGGTCCTCTTTCCAAGTCTCCCGCGTTTTTATATATACGGTCCTTTACTCCTTTTAAGTTAAAACGTGGCGTTTTGAGTAAACCCTGCCCAACCCTATTGAGAGAACTTGGGTCCAAAAGTTCATAACACTTATACCGCCTCTCTCTCCTTCTCTCCCTCTCTGCTTCTTCTACAATTCTTTCTCTTTTGGCGGCACGGCGGAGAGTGATCGGCTGCGGCAGGGAAATAGGTAAGCTTTTGCAACCCATGGATTCCTCTCTCTCTCTCTCTCTCTCTCGCTACCCAGCTTTGCTGCTAATTTCTCTATGTTGCCTTCGCAGACTGTATAGTGTTTCTCTGCAAGAGCCGCCATGGGAGGCTCGCGAGCTCAAGTAAACAAGCCCCACAAGACGCGCTTTGCCTCCAAATCTTCGCGTAATCTCCACAAAACTTCAGGTTCTGTATGCTACTCCCTCCACCTTCTTTTGTTTGCTGGAAAATTAGACATAACGGCTATGCAATGCAATTGGTGTGTATAAATTGAGTGTTTTTGGTGCTTCAGATAAGAGTAGGATTGGCAAATCAGAGCACAATGTTGCCAAGGGAGCTCGGGCAGCTCGAGTTCAACGTAACAAGATGGTAATTGATTTTAAAAATCTCCCTCTTTCTCGTGCCAATATTCATTTTGGGTACCTAACGCTCAACTTCACTATTCTGTAGTTACGAGAACAGAAGCGGGCAGCTCTTTTGAAGGAGAAGAGGGCTTCAAGTGGATCAGCAAGTGCTCCCCGTGTGATTGTGAGTATTTTGTTTTCAGTTGGAACTGATAGAGAAAAAGGCTTTGAGGGATTAATGCGCTTATATTAAAATATAAGAACCTTTTTATCAGCTATATTATCATTCTAACGTCCACTAATGTTAGGTTTTGTTCGGGCTTTCTGCTGATGTAAACCTAAATTCACTTGCCGAGGAACTTCTTTCTTTGTTATCTCCACAAGGTTATGATGCCGCCTTGCCAACAGTTGCTTCTGTTGAATATAAACTGAGAACAACGGTACCCCCCCTCTGCTGCTGTATTTTAATTATGGTTCACAAAGTTGTTAACATTGATGACTGATGTGAAGATTTCTAAGTATCTAACTCGAGTAATTCTTTAGGTATTGAAAGCACCTCATGGGGATCTGCTATCATGCTTGGAAATGGCCAAGGTAAGAAATTCTGCAGCTTGTGTATTCATCCTAATTTTCTTGGGTTTTCTGACGCAGAAACTCTTCTCTGTAGGTTGCTGATCTCATTGCTTTTGTGGCTTCAGCGAGCTCTTCATGTGAAGGAAGCACATCTGACTACATTGACTCATTTGGAAGTCACTGTCTTTCTGTCTTTAGGTCCCTTGGTTTACCGAGCACTGCTGTGCTAATTCGTGTATGTTATTGTTGATGTGGTTTTTATGTTCATGGAAATATTATCGAACTAGGATAATTAGATTGTGCCCAATTTGATATAGGATTTATTCTCCTTTTTTGGTGCATGTAGGATCTACCTACTGACATGAAAAGAAGACATGATTCAAAGAAAACATGTACTTCTAGTCTTGCTTCTGAATTTCCTGAGGATTGTAAATTTTATCCAGCTGACACAAAGGATGAGTTGCACAAGGTATGTATCGATTACAGATTCTTTAACTTAGCCTTCAATGTTAAAAGTCCAAAGGGGTTATAATACACTTGGCATTTTGTTTTGTTTCATATTTACATAATTTGATGCTTCTCATAGCTTTCGCATCATCTTACTATATTTGCAGTTCATGTGGCTCTTTAAGGAGCAAAGGCTCTCAGTTCCTCACTGGCGAAGTCAACGGCCTTACCTGATTTCTCAGAAGGTGCTCATTTTCTATTTATTTAACTTTTTGTTTCATTCTATGTTAGGTAAAGGTGGAAAAAATAGGGAAATATATAGTAGAAGTGATGCAGAATGGTTCTACATCAAGAAGTTTTTCTTATATGGCATGGCATGTGTGCCTTGTAGAACAACTACTATTCTTGTAAAGAAGAAAATTTGAATTTGATAAATAAGAAAGATTTTGTAATCACTCATTTTGTGTTTATAGGTTGATATGGTAGCAGATGATTTCAATTCGGGAAATTGTACCCTTCTCCTTACTGGATATCTGCGTGCTCGCAGTCTTTCTGTGAATCAACTGGTAATTAGTTCAGCCAAATACTTTCCCTTGGTCGCATGATTTGGCAGTTGTCTTATTTTCTTTTATATCAGGTTCATGTTTCTGGTGTGGGAGATTTCCAGTTGTCCAAAATGGAAATTCTCAAGGATCCATTTCCTTTGAATGCAAGAAAAGAGCAGGATTTCATGGATTCAGATGAAGTGTGTGACGTAGAGGTATTGGCTGTTTCATTTAAATATAAGCAGAAGATGTCTATAGAATAAGTTATTTCCTTGTAGTGATAAGATTTGGATGCTTTTTATTCATTTGTGAAGCATGTTCATGATGATAAGTTTATCATATGACGTATATTTCTCATTTGAAATTTTACCTATTTCAAGGTCCTCCGTTCTTTAGTTCCCGATCCTATGAGGCAGGAGCCTTTACTAGTTGAGAATGTTCCCGATCCCCTGGCAGGTGAACAGGTAACAACACTACATCTTCATTCTATTAATTATTATCTTACTCAATTTCATTAAGAATATGGGTTGTATATTGCTTATCCAAAAATGAATAAAACAAAGATGGGTGGTATTTGAGTGGATGATACCTGAATTACAAAAAAAGAATGTCAATTGGAATACTCCTCCTATCTCAACCGGTTAATATGTTTTATATTTGGATTTTCTTAATTTTACTGTGAGTTTTGTTGAATTACTGAACTGCCATTTATAAAATGGATCCTTTTTGTCAGACATGGCCAACAGAGGCAGAAATGGCTGAGGCTGAAAAAAGTCAGAAACAAAAAAAGAAGAAAAAGAGGACACTTCCTCGAGGCACTTCAGAATACCAGGTCTGCAGTTCCTGTCAGTTTCTTTTATTTTTTTTTGGTGCAGTGGGGGCCAGAGCCCAGGGAAAAAAAAACACAACTTAAAGCGAAACAGTTTCATAATTCTGAATGTTTCTATATTTCTTATGTTCTTTGACATTTTTGTTTGTTCATGTTTAAGAGGTAATGGACAGATTTTTTAGTGATACATCAGAGGCATGATTTCTGTTCTTGCAGGCTGCTTGGATTGTGGATGGTACAGATGAAGAGGGATCAAGTACTGATGAGGATGAGGAAGCTGATGGTATGGTATTGGATGAGGGGGACATTGGTTATCCTGGTCAAGAGGGCACCAATTATTCGGATCTCAGTGATGACCAAGCTTCTTCAAGCTTTGGGGACTCTGATGGAGAAACTGATGTTGATTCAGTAATGATGGTGAGTTTAGCATGTATATTATTTATGCATCAAGGTGATTTTAGTGCGTTACCAACTTACCAGCATTAATCGGTTTCTCTGATTTTTCTCTAACATGAAGACACAACAAATAACAAATGGAACCCCCATTATTATGCTACTGTCATTTGCAAATGTGAAAAAAAGTAAGACTTAAGAATACCAACCACATTCTAGATGGTGAGAATCCCTAGTGTTTCTCCAGGTTCAGCTCAATACATACCACTTTAGACAATACGTTTTACCAAACATGTGTGAACCACTCACCTTACTGGCTTGAACTAGAATGCTGAATAGCAGGGGTTCACTGATGATTTGGTCAGTCATTGGTGCTTTGTCAACCTATTTGTAGCATTTTCATTAATATGTAATGCAACAAAGGTCCTTTGATTCTCAAGAATGCCAACTAGGTTATACCTGGATCTTCCAACCCTCAATGCTCATAATTAGCTTTAAAATTCAAAGAAATCTTCCAAAAATAGAAAGAAATAACAGAATACATTGTGTATTTGTCTCTAAGGATTCAATTAACGTTATACTTAAGAATAGGTCATAATGGTAATATTAATGTGCTGTCGGCAAGAAGAAATTTATTTTTCTTTTGTTCCAATTCTGTACATTGTAGGACTTACTCATTTTGTTTCTGTTTTACAGGAAGGTGAAAACTTGACCAAGGAACAGTTGGCGAATGAAATTCAAAAAATAAAGCAAGCACATGCTGATGATGAGGGTAATCTTTTTAAAAAGCTATATACTGTTGATTTTTAAAGACAATTTATTTAAACTCTTTCATTAAGCCAAAGCTTTCCTACACATAGAAGCTAAATACTGCTTGAAATAACTTGAAGTTTTTGTTATATTCATTCTGTTGCTATATGATTTATATTGTTAAAACTATATTTGTAGCACCTTGAAGTCAACTATATTACTACTGCGTTGTTTAGTTCGCTTTTAATGGTTGTTTGTTATGTTTTTCAGAATTTCCAGATGAAGTGGATACACCATTAGACATTCCAGCAAGAAAACGTTTTGCAAAGTATAGAGGCCTCAAGTCCTTTAGGACCTCTACATGGGATCCCAAAGTAATATTCCTGTAATTCTGTAATAGTAGTTCACTCTATTCTGAAAATCAACTGTCCAACTGACTTTCGTGTCTGATGAACTTCAGGAGTCTTTGCCTCTGGAGTATGCCAGAATCTTTGCATTCGATAATTTCAATAGAACACAGAAAAACGTCCTTGCTAAAGCTTTAGATATGGAGCAACAAAACAGGGATGACTGCGCCACTGCTAGCTCATATGCAAGGCTGTATATCAAAGACGTGCCAACTAGCGTTGCTTCTAAATTATGTAATCAGGCAAAGACAATGCCTGTTACAGCATGCGGTCTTTTGCAGCATGAGTCCAAGATGTCTGTACTACATTTCAGGTATCTTGTAGTTGGGAAAAATTTGCAGTTTTGTGGTCTTCGTAAAGGAAGGTATTTTCATGACCCTGGGTGATCTATGTTTGCAGCGTAAAGAAGCATGACTCATACAGTGCTCCTATCAAAGCCAAAGAGGAATTAATATTTCATGTTGGGTTTCGCCAATTTATTGCTAGGTAGTTTCTCTAATGCCATCAACTGTTCTTCTGGTTGAGTTTTAGTGATTGACGCTTTTGCTCCACTTTGCAGGCCAATATATTCTACTGACAACATGAATTCAGATAAGCACAAAATGGAGAGGTTTCTTCATGCAGGACGTTTTTCCATGGCTTCAATTTATGCTCCGATCTCCTTTCCTCCTCTTCCTTTGATAGCTTTGAGGAGTTCTGAGGGAGCGGGCACTGCACCTGCAGTTGCTGCTGTTGGTTCACTGAAAAGCATCGACCCTGACAGAATTATACTAAAGAAGATTACTTTAACTGGGTACAGTTTATTATTAAATTTTTTGTGGTGGTGACCTTTATGGCACAGATTTTTTCCTTTGAATGTTCGGATTGATTGAACTTGAAAGAATATTTGATGCAGTTACCCTCAACGAGTATCAAAACTAAAAGCTTCTGTAAGGTATATGTTCCATAATCCAGAGGACGTGAAATGGTTCAAGGTGTGAATCTCATACCATATCTTTTTAATTTGTGCTGTATCTTATCGAACAATCATTATTGTGAATATGTTTCTTAACGTGCGTGGTGATGGCAGCCTGTGGAAGTGTGGACCAAATGTGGTCGTCGGGGTCGCATCAAGGAGCCTCTTGGTACACACGGTAAGATTATCCCAAATAGTGGAAACCTATTAATCGGAAGATGCCAATTCAGACCTTTCATTTCCATATTCCGGTTGTGCTTTATATTATATTAAGTAGTTATTAAGGGTTTCTTTTGTTCCATATATAATTGTCTCAGGGGCATTGAAATGCATCTTCAATGGAGTCCTCCAACAGCATGACACAGTATGCATGAGCTTGTACAAGCGTTCGTATCCCAAGTGGCCGGACCACCGGTTCCCCATTCTTGATGCTTGATCAAATAGTGTCCCGCCGGCCATGCGACACTTACCCTTACAGTGCTTCCCAATTCTTGACGCTTGAGAAGATAGTGTCTTGGACGCCTGACTTTTTCTTGCAGTGATTTGCTTTCGAACACACAAGAAAGTCATGTGTCTTGTATGGGAATGAAGCTCTGGTTCAGATTGTTGGTTCCAATTTTCATTTTTGCTCTGCTAGGACACCCGAACTTTGAGTGCCGAAGGCTTGATTGTAAAATACCTGTTATTCTTCTCTATATTATTTTCTTCTTTTTTGGGTTACTTTTTTTAACACAAAATTTCTTAATAGTGTAGTGAGGGGGCTGACCGTTTGCTCCTGTTGCGTGAATTGATTCTCCACTATATCACACTTTCATTTCTATCCCAACAATTTATAACCAAGACGGAGTTTGATTCTGATGCATAAGATGTTGCAATACCAGCACAAAATTTCACATGCAATATTCTTGAAAGCAAATTGGCTTGATGGGTCGTGAAAGTTGGGCTCTTCTTCCTCAAATATAGACACTCTCATTCGAATCAAACTCCAGTACTGGCTAAGTCCAAATACAAAAACATATGATTCAAAATTTCAACATTTTTGTGTTCAACAACCACAAGCAGAAGAAAAAAGAAAAAAGAAACACTGGTAGGTTACAGTCTACATTGACTCTTCCAACTCATTCAATTTCTCTTTCTTCTTCAATTCACTTTCGTACTGTCTCAGTCTCTCCTTCACTTTCTCCTGTATTCATCAAAATCCAAGATTCCATATGAAAATCAATCAGATTACAAAGTTATATTGATAAATTTCTGCTATGATTCCATTGTTCGAGTAGCTCAGGAAGCTATAATTTTCATTTCCGAAAATCAGACAGAGAGTGAGCTTAATAAGAAGAACGATAAACAGAGAGGGGGAAGTGAGAAGACCTTGTAGCTTTTCTCGACGCGGTCCATGACGTAGAAGCCGAGAACGCCACCGAGAATGGTTCCGGTGATGATCCGGGCATAGGCCCAAGTATTAGAGCTCCCAGCCATTTTCCTTCTCTTTCTCCTTCGCTTTCTTTCCTTGATTTTCTCGGGAAAGTTTCGACTTTCAAGCGGCGCTTTGACGGTGGACGTTGGCCCCTGCCTTTCGGCCTTTTACTAATTAAGAATTTAAGAGAGTAAAAGTGGATGGGTCAAGTCGGACGGGTGGGTGAGTGAAACCGGGTTAAGGTTTCAATAGTTGTGGCCTCGGCTCAAGGTTTGTCTTACCATTGCAGATTTCGTTTATTTGGGTTGTGCATAAAGTTTGTCACTCTCATTTGGGCTACGAGTTAACTTTATTGTACATATATTTGGAGCTTCGGTTAATTCACAAAATACTCTAAAATTATTTAGAACCGAAAACCCACATTTCCTTGTGCTTCTATTCTATCAAACAAATGGTCGGAGGCTGATGCTGCCCTTACTCCGTCTTGAACGAATACGTCGTCGTCTGATGGCCATGGCTCTAATGGAGTGTGATTCACCGTCAGCAATAAAATGCCCCAACTGAAGCAAGAATTGGGAGGAGATCAAATCCATAGGAGTTCTCAGGTTTTGGCAACCCAAAGCCACATGAAAAGAATTAGAGGAGTCAGTGGAGACTGCTTGTTTTATGGATTAAAAAATGATGATTGTTCAAGTTCATTGCATTGCCAGCAGTGAAGCAGGAGGGGCTTCTAATGAAATTATACCCAACAGACACAATATACTTAGAATGTCACAGTACAAATACCAACATTGAATAAGCAGTGTGTATTAATTGTTCTCTTGTATAGATACATGTTTCATGAATCCAATTACTCTTACAGAATATACATATATGGGTTTTTGTACAAAGCTCAATCCAGGCATAAGCCTTTCAGACAGTTTACTCCCCACGAAAAAATTGATGGGGAAGAAACCAAACACTAATTGCCCTGGACTAAAGATGTATGAACATATTTAATCACAGTAATCTGCACCTAAGGGCATGCCAAATCCTGAACCAAAAAAATACGGAAATGCATGGGTTTTCTGACTTTATCAACTATTGACCTGTCCTTTCTTCTTCAACCTTAGACCCTTCTGGCTTGATTGCTGGTTTGGAGAAGGCTCCACAAGCAGCAAGCGTGACATGACATATGCTAACAGTTCTTCTCTATGCGAAAATGTAAAGTCCAAATGGGCGTACTCGAACTCACTGTATGATACATCAACACCTGCATCATTCATCAACTTATAATGCTTTCTGACCATGGATGGCCGAATTACCTTGTCCTTCCGCCCAGCAACCAGATCAACAGGAACGTCAATAAGCCCATAGTACTCACCCAAGTCCAATGGCTCCGTAGATCCATACACCTCCATGTTAGCAGACGCACTCCCATAATCAAACATTCTAAATTTTCCTGAACGCTTCATTTGTGCAAGGTGGAGAGCCACTTGGAATGATACCCCCGGCATATCATTCATGTTATAATGTGGTATCCCTAACACGCCAACCCAATTTGAGCTATCCCCGCCAACAAAATAACTCATTAGGGTCTGAACCAGTCCTCCAACGGCAGGGTAGTTATGGAAGTCTCGTGCCAACTTGTTCAGAAGCATTCGAAAGAATCTGGTTGGTATGTAGAAGCCTGGCACAAGGGGTGCCAGAAAAGGGGCCAATAGAAGAAAGACATGTTCCACGACCGTAAACATTAGGCTGGAATCACCATGGAATCCAGCAGGTGACAGTAAAACCAATCTTGAGAGTCTATGGGGTCTCTCTTCTATCCTCTGTGTTACAACATACATCAGTATAGCTGCTCCTCCCAAGCTATGGCAAATGGCACAAAGCTTGTAAGGTTGCTCATCATTGGTTTCTTCCTCAAGATCAGGTTGGCTAAGCTTCAATTCAGCAGTTTTAACTTGGTGAATCTTCTCTATCATTGCAGGTATATCCTGAGTTGCATGCTCATTGATGGAGTACTGCCAATACCTGCATTGGTTGCTACATTCAGTAACTCAACTCATACTGCAATACTTTATGTAATTGCTGCTTTATGCTTAGAAAATATTGCAGCCTCATTCAATCCCCACCAACAATCTGAGTCGAGAGGAAATCAAGGATAAAAATTTCATAAATAAAATAGCAATCAGATCTCATATGTTAACTTACTGTCGTGAGGATATATTTTTGTTAACATGCTCCCTAGAAACCAAGCCACGGAAGTTCCCGAGGAAAACATCATATCCTGCAAAACTAAGAAGCATTAGCATATTTCTAAACCACTACAGTGCTCTCTAATGCAAGCCGCACACACTTGCAAATGAAACATGCAAACCTTGATCATAGGCTGCAAATGCCGGTGAACCAACAACCCCATTAGACACCCAACTGGACAAAGGAAATAACCAATTAGAAATCATTTTTAAAGGTAGTATATATCAAACAAAACTCCTGTAAAATGTGTGATTATAACACAAGAAGTAATGGTTACCCATTGCCTCAAAATAAAATCATGTTGTAAGATGCGAATATAGTTGTAGTAGTAAAAATCGTGGTGGTGGGAAGAATTATGCATCACACTGATTACCCACCTAGGGCACTGGGGAGGAAGGAATCTTAAGAAGAAATAGCTTACCCCATAGATGAATCCAGAATTCCATGTTGTAGATAAACAGCTTTCCGTGAATCACGCCTGCAGCATCGCAGTACGGTCATTAGACACCATTGACTTAAAACAAAGTTATCACTTGACCAGGGATAAAGAATACAAATAAATCCATCATACCTTGGGAGTCTTTCCAAGAGAAGAACATATCCATCACTAGTGATCACATGTATAGCTTCGTATGGGTACCTAAGGCAGACGGAAAGTTCAGCAATTTTAAGAGCATGTGCAACACTCAAAGAAAAAAGAAAAGGTTCTACAATCAAGTAAGCTGTAGCATAGCCTTACCCAAGCTCTGTTATGACATCCTGGCATGTCCGAGCATCAGTATTTAGCGACTGTTGAAATGAAGTATTCCTTTCTTTAGGAGCTGGATCATTCTCTCCAAGTGTAGCTGTGGGGACAGAAACTTCTGAATCACTATCATGACTATCTTGAGTACCACTACTGCTCAATGAATACCATCCAGATAGAGTTTTAAAAGCCACTGATGGGGAAAGAATAAAATGTGCTGCCTTATGAACAACATCAAATATAGCTTCTATGAATATCTCGATTGCTAGATGAAGATCCTGTTGAACACAAATTGAAGATGAGAAAATATATTAAGAGAAAAGAAATGATGCATGTAATTCCCAAACTGGTATGAAAAAGAGTTTATGCAGAAACCTCAATGACTCCACGTCTCCTATCAGTGGTTCGGTGCACAATGTGATCCTTGAGAGTCTGCATTTTATTAATAGCTCGTGCTTGCAGGACCTGACTGCTTCCTGGTGCAGAAGAGCCGTTTGACGACCTAGAATAAGACAATTGGAAAATACGAACTGGAATCCCGAGCAGAAACCTTGCGGGAAGCAAAATCCAGAAAAATATGTATCTGATCCACATCCATCCCATCCAGCGCCTATCGTTCCTACTGAAACTAGAAGCCCGAGAGACTCTTGAACTTTGAGATAGTGGTGATCCAGGAGATGTGTCTACATCACTATCTTCATCTCCATATGGGTAATCAAGGCTCGAGCCATCAGAATCAGAATCCACAGAAAGCTCATGTATGAAATGATTGAAAGAGGACACTCCACTACAAACATCAAACAAAATGGACATGTCATTTCAGCAACTAATATATATGTAATATGTCGGTTGCACTACAATTTACAAGAAAGATATCAATCAAATTAAAGGAACTAATTCTACATACAAAATAACTACTGCCCACGAAAACAAGAACAACCATAACATTCATTTATCATGAATAACCCCCAAATTCCCAAAATTTCAAAACGAATTGCCAAGTACTGGACAAATTCAAAAATCTGAATTATTCAGTATGCTTGCAAATTTCGATGGGGTCAAAACACACAACTTACTTTTCCATCCAGCGCGGAAATCGAGGTCCCCGAAAGGTAGGCCTGAGCTCCCAGCCATGAATGCCTTCAAGGATGTTAGCCTTCCCAGGTAAAAATGTCAATAAAAGAGCTGAAACTCCATTAATCAGCCTCACAATATTGTTCAGCGACTCGTATGTGAACGTCTTCACTGACCTGCACTACCAAACACCAATCAACAAACACAAACAAAAGCTTTGATTCCAGAAACAATACAAACCAAAATTCAAACCCAGCACCAAAATTTGAAATTTTTTTTTTGGCACACATGAAAAAGTATCAATTTTTATATGTATAGATAACGGGAATTAAACCAATTCCAATCAATTTTGTAAAAGGGGAAAGGAAGGAAGAGGAGGCTCTCACTCTTTGGTGACAGCAATGATGTTGTCAACGACCCGTTGCATCATCTCATAATAATTATCAGTAAATTTGATTTGTATCAGATATCTGCGACAAGAAAAAAAGAAAAAATTCTGAAACTTCGAAAATGCAAAGTAAAATGGAAACGAATCTGATCGGCAATTAGGATAGGCGTGAGAAGAGCGAGGGAAATCGAGAGAAAATTTTGGGAGCTCCGATATTTTAGGACACTCAAATTGACAGCAATAGGGGGAAGGCAATAAAAGGAACGGCGATTCTCGCCGTAGAGGGAAGGCAGCCAAGGAAATCCACGTGGTGGGCCCTTATTGGGTACCTCAAATGCGTGTCGGTCTCTGGTCTTTTAGTGTGGATCACGAGTACACCTAAGGCTGCGAAATTCAGGGCTTGTTGTACACGTGCTTCTGGATATATCATATCATATCATTTTTATTATTTTTATCTGAACCACGACTAGTAGGGCCCATTAGGAAGTGAACGGACTGGATTCGAAGATTGACAAGGGCCGATACGATTTATGACGTGTCGCATGCGGATTTAGAGACTACGTGACCTTATGCTGCCGTGCAGCCACAGGAATACGTGACGCGGCGGATGCCACTCGTTCAAGTTAACATCTTGCCGACTAGAATGAGTGGCAAATTTTACAATTTTCTTTTAATCTAGAAAACATTATATAATTAAATGGCTTATATTATAATGAGATCTATATATAGTAAAAGAACATTATGATTGAATTTTTTTTATTTTTTATTTAGAAAAATAAAAATAAAAATAACACTCTACGGGAGAGAGGGTAATGTCCACTAAGGAGCTATGAAAGGGTGCCCCCCTCACATGAGCCAAACGCAAGGGCCAGCTCAAGCTGGATCACCGACCTCCGGGCCACTCTCATGCATCTACACACTTTCATCTTTAGGGAATTGGCCTGCCCACCCCAAACCTATTGGTGGAATTAAACTCCAATTCCACCCCAAGGGTTTGATGGTTGGTATTATGATTGAATTTTTAGATAACACAAATTTACCTTATTTAAGAAACTTTTCACAAACACAATTATTTTACTATTTTTTTGGTCGGAAGTAGAATTTATTAGAAATCCACAAAAGGGCACAACAATACACAATAAAAGTGAAACCTAACCAATTGAGCTCAGCAACAAAGCAAAAAGGCCAGAAGCCCAAATAAAATGCAAAGGAATCAACAACAAGCTTAAAGCCCAAAAGGCAATAAGCCCAAACCAATGCCAAGATAACAAACAAAACTCAGCCAAGCCGCCGCTACCAACGCCTGAGACGACATCACCAGGACAAGTTGAGGGGATGAGCTGCCATACCCAATAGACACAAAATGAAAAAACACAGAAATTTTGAGAATTCAAGAGCGGAGTAGTAGAAAATACATAACAAGTTTATATTTTGTTGCATATTCTTTTTTTTTCTTGCCCTTGCCCTAGCCTTTTGGGGTGGAACCAAAAAATGCAAGGCTGCCACTATTCACGTGAATAGTAGCAGCCCTTGCCTTGCCTTTGCCTTAGCCTTAGCCTTTTGGGGTGGACATGCTCTTAGAGTACTTTAGACTTTCTATAAAAAATAAAAAATAAAAAATGAAAAAAAGAAAATCTTTCAATTAAAAAATTATACTAGTTTAAAATGATTTTTAATACAAGGACATAGAATTTTTTCACCTGGCAAAACCATGACATATTGAGCTGGGTTACAACCTGTGCTTTATATTCCCTGTACTTGCTATTCAAGCTATAGCATGTTTGTTTAATGAAGTAAATATAAGATCCGAGGATCTGCTTCCAAATGATTTTATGTGGGATAAACATACATGGTGTGACAAAAAAATTGTTTCCTTCTCTCTAAATGCTTGGACAAGATTGTTCAGATACTTGAGGCAGCTGTTTTTTTGTCTCCATTTGTGTCCAGTGTGAAGGCAAACTCAGAAACTAAGGCCAAGTGGTCGCTGCCCACTTTCTGTGTACAAGCATGATAGAAATAGAATATTAGATTTGAAGATAACATTATACGCTTATCCACAATCATAATAATTCACCCTTGTTCCAGGTCTTGTTGCAAACTAGACCAGAATTCAAAGTTTTCCTACCTTGCAAGGGAGGCTACCAATCCTCTGGAGAATGTCAACTGGAACGGTATCTATAACTCCAGTGGGCACAAGGCCATCAGAGTACCTGTATGAAACAGAAGCATTTCATTCGTTTCATTGTCATCATAACCAACTCCTCCTCCAACATTAGAATTATTGTTACAAGAGACGCAATTTACCATAAGTAGTCAACAGTTCCAAGAAATTTTGAGTGGTAGGAAGTCGCTAAAGGTTCGCCATTGGATCCTCGTGTTCTAGTCGAACCCTGAAAGTATGATATGTTGTACTTAGAATAACACCCCAAACCAACTTGATGCATACAATAGGAACATAATGTAGCAGCATATTAAAAGCTGGAGTATTGAACAACCAAGTGGTATTTTGTACCCGCACTGTGGCATAGCAACTGTTAAGCTTCAGGGGATGCACAACTAAATTGCTCTCAGCATCTCCAGTTGCAACTCTAACCTCCTCATCTGTCCAGCAATGCTTCAACAATCTGAAAATGAAAACATTCAAGCAACATAAGACATATAACTCAGTCATCTTATTCAAAGAAAAGGGCCTGACTCTGCCTGACAAATTTCTCATTGATGCTTGTTATGCACGTCGTCGGTTTAGGAACTAAATGAAAACAAAATAGAAAATATGTTTCTGCATTATAAGATATGAGAAATACCCGTCTATCAGTGTAAGTGGACTGCTAATTTCTTGTTTGACTCCTAAAACTTGAGCAGGATGACAGTCTCTCTGCCCAGATAACTCTCTTCTGTCATATGACATGATATTCAGCTGTAAAAAGAATCATACGGATGTCAAAAAAACCATCATGGATGTATGTAATATATCTATTCTGATTGTTTGCATCACCAATATATATTAATTAAGTGGATAACATCATAAAAGCAAGCAATTCACCTCAGATGTTGACAAGAACTTGTATATTGCACTCTGTCAATAAGCAGGAAACTAGTTTAGCTTTAGCTTTGTTACTGTAAAAAGAAGAGCAAACAATGATGAAGAAAGTTATCAAACCTGCGGAGTGCAATTGAAATCACCACAAAGGACAATGGGGGCATTGCCCCATCTCTCTGAGAGGATTTGTGCCCTTGATATGAGAAAACGTATCTGAAGAAACAAAATGATTCAATTACAAACCAGATTATCATAATGCCCCAAAACGTTAAAAATCTGTATTTTTTCCTCATGTCTTTGTTCAGGTGGCCAAACTTCTATTTAGTACTAACACTAGTCATTAAGCATAAGGGAAATGACATCAATGAAAAGAAGTTACCTGGCCCAATTTTACCTCCCCTCGGCTTGGGTTATAAAGCACGTGTATGTTACCAATCACGAACCTTCTTGATTCGGCTTTCTGCATCTGCCTGTATGGAATGAAATTAGAAGTGGAAACGATGGATACGATCTTGTTGAACAGAAGATTACATCAAAACAGGGTTGATTAACTCAATCTGAAGTGAAGTAATCTCAGAAGTGTGACAGGTATAGAACAAGTTATTAGCAGATGCTTGCAAGTTGTACCTCAAAAACCGAGAGTTGAGCAACATTGTCACGAAGTCCATAACCCTTGAATTCAATGCTGTGTTCCTCTAACAACTGAAAACTGACATAATGAAGTGGAAAAGCTATTCAATTTGTCATGGCATCACAAACACTATAAACCGATAGATAAAATGAAAAATAAAGCACAACCAACCATCTTACTTATCAGCCTTCCAGAAAATAGCGCAACCATCAACGGTATCTCCCGTGCGTCTCTGCCATTGCAAACAACATATTCAGAAAACATTTCTTATTTCATAGACAAGATTGGTACATAATATGGAAAATCTAACCTTATACGACCCAAGATATCCCACTTTCGCTAGAATTTCCAATAGCTCAAAATACTTATCTACTTCCTAATAAGACCACATAAAATAAAAATAATAAAAATTAATTAACAGGGCAATAAAAACAAACAAATTAATCAAGCTTATTACTTTACTTACTTGCAAACAGATTATATCAGGGTTCCATTGGGCAAGTTCATCGCATATGACCCCCTTGCGATGGTCCCATTTGAGATAATGGGAAGGCACATTGCGGTACATATCTCTATGCGCGAAAGCATTTCTATCCCCCAAAATGTTATACGAAGCAACCGTAAATCTATCTGCAGCAATAACAAATATATATATATATATATATGCTATGATTAAATAAATACAAAGACGATGCATGCATAATTAGTATAGTAATGTTAATTAGAAGAAGGATGATATGGACCTTGAGAAGACAGTGGTTGTTGATTATCGGTTTGGATCCAATGGCGTACAACATCCGGAGCATGACTTGACTGTCGCCGCTTGAGGGGGTTGTACAATGGACGAGCAGTGTTGGAACATGTAGACGATGAGTCTTTGGAAGCGTCGGTGCAGCAAAAGACGGTGGGCTTGCTGCAGAGGAAGAAGGAGGATGGGCCGGTGGCGCTTCTCGTCGGTGCGGCTGTTGTTACGGATACGTGGCGCCCGCAGAGCCAAGAGGAAGCGTCGCACTGCATCTTTCGTTGAAATAGAAGATGAGGTGAGGTGTGTGCGTGCGAGCGAGAGCCTTTGGGATGTCTTCAGAGAGAGATTGGAATTTCACCTCTTTGACTTGTTGACTTGTTTGCTTACGTAACTTACGTTATGAGTTTATTGATGGATTTATTGTTACTGTTTCATTCTGAGTCTTTCAGATATTCTCAGGGCCACATGGGGGAGAGAGTGTGTGAGGGTGCATAGCTGCCAAATGCCATCCATCGAGCAGTGAGTTTCTTGTCTTTGGCTGCATTCATCTTTCATTGTCGCATTCTTTTGATTTATTCTATATTAACTTCGTAACTTATACCAATACCCCTTTGCTAACTAAAATTTTAGGGGAAAAAGTATTTTCAGTCCTTATAGTTTGCTTTTTTTTAATTTTTTTAATAAAAATAGTATAGCCGAGCGGCTATACTGACTTTGACACGTAGGCCCCCAATTGCTGGATGGGTCCTCTTTTGTTTTTTATAAAGTGTATAGCCGCGCGGCTATCCTACACAGATAGTATAGCCGCTGGCTATACTTAATTTTTTTACAAATTTATAAATAAACTCAATCCTAGACATGTATTTATAAAAAACCCCAAGCACTATTTAAACATAGAAACACACCCAAAATCAACCTCAAAATCAACAATTGTATATTTTTTGGGTGTGTTTATAAATGGGTTTTGAGTGTGTGTAATGATGGGTTTTGGGTGTGTTTATAAAGTGTTTTGGGTGTTGGGTTTTTTTATAATTTCAACCCCCATTTTGGGTGTTTTAGTGAAACTCCCTAATTTTTTTTACTTAATTGTTTTTTAAAAATAGTGTAGCCGGGCGGCTATACGCTTGATGTATGGTGGGATCTTTTTTCCCGTATAGCCGAACGGCTATACACGGTTCTGTTCTAATTTTTCTTTGTAATAGTATAGCCGCACGGCTATAACCGAATTTTTCTAATTTTTTTAAACCAGTATAGCCGCACGGCGATACTTGATTTTTTTACTAAATTGGTAAAATAGTATAGCCGCACGGCGATACTCTTTATATAGTGGGATCTTTTTTGGTATATCCACGCGGCTATAATCCGTTCTTAGGCGCTGAGCGGGTCTTTTTTTAATATATATAAATATTTTATCCATTCATCTATACACAGTTTGAAAAAATAATAATAATATTGCCACACCATATTCGGTTTTATTAATGTTTCTTAAAAAAATAGTTTTTGAAGTCCAATTGTTTTTGTCCCCTCTCACTTTGAGTTCATTCTAATTAAGTTGCTTAGCTGTTGTTCTAAATTATATAGTCCATTTTTAGTTTCAATGGAGCAGAGATTTTTCAAATTACAAAGAGGTTGGCTTTGCACTTGACTGCTAATGCTATGTTATCTCATCATGTCATTCACAGTTTCTATGTTATGATTCAAATTAGTCTTAATAAAAACTATCTATATTGTGGAAGATGCATCTTCTGATATAAAAAATAATAACAAGAAGCGACAACTCTTCTGGCTGGATCTATAAGTTTTATTGTAAAGTAATTGTAGATCCAGCAATATGTACTGCCATTTATACTTTGATTTTAATTCATTACACAAATGGCAAATTAAAATCCTCATGCATTTCTACCGCGCACCCTCACTGGCAATCCACCTTTTATCCTGAGAGTCAGCGACAACAGATGCTCAGGACACGTGTTCTTATTTGGTACGTCGATCTCAAACCTCTCCATCACAGACGCTGCAATCGACTTCATCTGAATATAAGCCAGATCTTTTCCGAGACACATCCTCGGCCCGGCGTGAAATATCGGAAACCGAAACGCACTCTCCACCTGACACGTGCCATCGTCGTCCTTGAGCCACCTCTCAGGCAAATACTCACCGCAGTTCTTCCCCCATATCCCCTCCATCCTTCCCATGGCATACGCGTGGTACGTCACGAACCACCCCTTCCTAAGAATCGTCCCATCCGGCATGACGTCGTCGTTTAGGCAAGCCTTTGTGTCGACCGGTACCGGAGGATACAGTCTCATAGCCTCCGAAATGGCCGCGTGCAGATAGTGCATATCTCGGAGCTCGTCGAAACTATACGTATCGCCGATACTTTTACCGTTTCGGATCCGAATCGTTTCTAGCTCCTTTAAAATGGCGAGCTGGACGAGTGGCCTGGACGACAAGAGCCAAAAGAACCAAGTCAGAGCCGAAGATGTGGTGTCTCGGCCGGCGAGAATGATGCTGATGATGATATCTCGGAGAAACTCGGGCGAGTTGTTGTCTTCAGTAATCCCGATAAACCGGGACAATAAATCTTGATGGTCTCCCAATTCTTCGACTTCCATTCTGGACCTTATGATATTATCCGCGAAGTTATGAACGGTTGCGATTGATTCTTTCAACTTTCGCTCTGATCCAACGTTGAAGAACTTCTTAATCTTGAACACAAACGCAAAAGCATACAAGAACCTCCCCGAGATAAGCGTGGATGCGTCGTCAAAAGCCTTCATGAACTCATCGGAACCGGAAGCCGTTTCTCCATCGCCGCCGCCAAGACAAACCGGGTCGACGTTAAAAGCCAATTTACAAACATTGTCAAACGCAAAGCGTTCCAAAACGTCTTGTAAATCCAAACGACATCCCGTTTCGGCGGCTTTCGCCAAACACGGAATTAGCCTGGACTGAATCTCAGTTTTCACATTTTCCATGACAAAGTTTCGGAGGGATTTTGTGTTGAAGGCATAGCTGGCAGTCTTTCGCTGGACTTTCCAGAGCTCACCGTCAGCGTTAAAGATTCCGTGGCCGAGAAAATCTTCAATAAGCGATATGAACCGGTCGCCTTTTGGGTAGTTGTCGAAGTTGGTCTTGAGCATGTGCTCCACGTTTGACGGGTTGGCGGTTATGATGCCTCCGATTTTGCCTGGGCGGCGGAAGACGGCGGTGTTGGTGGGGCAGGTTGTGAGGATTTCGGTGGTCCAGTCGAGAAATCGGTGGCGGTTCTTGAGGAAGGAGGGTAGGGTTCCGACAATCGGGTAGACTGTGAAGCCTGTGGTTTTGTATTTCTTAAGTGAAGTGAAGAAGTGCTGGTAGAGATAGATGGAGAGGAAGATAAGAAAGAGGAAATATTGGAGAGATAAGAGCTCCATGGCATTGGCTAATAGTATTAGTGCGGTGACATATGTTCTTCTATATAGTGGACTTGGAATGAAGTGTAAGTGGCTCCTTTTTTTTTTTTTTTTTTTTTTTTTTTTTTTTTTTAAAACAATATCTAAGGATAGGATCTCCTAGATATTTGATATAAAGTTGCCATCTCATTAAAACATAATCTAAGGGTTAATATTTGGACACGTGTATATTAAATTGTATTTGGCAACATGTGAGATGACTCAACATTTTGAAAATACTAACAGAGGATACGAATTCCTTGTTTATATACGTAATTGAGAAAATTGAATTTAAATTTCTCTTTAGACATTAAAAAAAGAAGTACCACATCAGAGTTTTTGTATATATTATCTTATTAAATGTAACAATTGCATTTTGAATTTAATTCAAATTTTGATGCGATTTAAAATGAAGTTTCTACAAGTTGGAAGCTTAATTTGATAGTTTTTAGATAAATTGACTGAAACGTTTTGTTGCCTCTTGCTTTAGCTTCAACACTATTCCAGAGAGAGAGGTGTAATTTTGTCTTCATTCGTTTGTCTTATACTAACAATAATGTAAAAAAATATGGGAATTATATTAGGTACACGATGAGTAGGGGTGGGCATTAATTCGGTTGAACAGATAAAACCGACCAATTTAATTGTAAAGCCGATAAAACCGACCTTTTTTATTTATTTATAGAAAAGATGGTATTTCATTCAATCGAAATGAACATTATATGGTAAGAATTAGCATGCTAACGGCGGCCTCGTTAAAACCTTCATAGAGAAACAAAATCCAGGAATGGGAAAGAGTACCACTCATGCTATTGACTAAACAAAAGAGTTAAACAACTTATACGAAACAAACCAACCTAAACCCCAACCACAAAACCCTTAAAACAACATCTCATTACTACGTAGGTACTGTCAGAGAAGTCCTCCTATGATCTAGAAAAAACATCATAGTTCTTCGTACATAGTAAAAAACGTATTATGGGTATTATAATAGATTCAGCCAATCACCCAACTGCAAAACTATTGAAACACATCCTATCACTACGCATATACTGTCAAAGAATGCCTCCTATGATCTAAAGAAAGCATCATAGTTCTTTGAACAGAGTCAAAAAACATATTGTGAGCATCATAATAGATCTAACAAAACACCAACCACCACCTCCAATTTTCTTGATCCAGAACCCCACCTGACAAGCAAGGGAGACCAAGATTGGCCTCTTAGCTTGAAGAAAATTTCGAAGAAAGATCTTCATAGTAGGAACGTTCATCGGTTGCCAAGCCTATGAACGTTTCATAGGAGAATTATTAGGGAGATGTTGGAGACCCCTCGAGGCTAGTCTCCTCCTCCTTGTCAACAAAATCATCGATACAAAAATTATGCTTACTAGAAAAATCCATGCAACTAACAATCAGATGCCCAACACCAGTTTTTGCACGCTTCTGATTCCCGCTTGGTGCCACATACTTGTCATCCCCTTCAGCAGAAGAGGCGATGTCCATCTACATAGCATTAAGATGGAGACCACTCACCAACGACTGGCTCCTTGGGAACCCATAAAGGAAGCCAACCCACCCACCACAACAAAAGAGAACAAAAAAAAAAAAAAAAAAAAAAAAAAAAAAAAAAAAAAAAAAAAAAAAACAATTCAATTCCCAAGAATAACCCAAAGAGACAATTAGAGAAAACTGAGAGAGACGGCGCAAAGAATGAGTAAAGAAAATTGGAGAAACCCTAACCCTAGCCATCAAGGCTCTCCTCGTGTGAACGAGAGAGCGACCTAAAAATCGATCAATTTAAATTGTAATTATTGATTTGATCTGATTTTGAAGTGAAATCGATTTAATTTAGATCGTGCCCACCCTTAACGGTGATTGACTGGCCTGCTTCATTTGGTGACATAGGGTTCAAAAGCTACATTTGTCAATTAAACAAGCAGAATCTTGTAGCTCTCTACTCTATGTCATCATTTTCATTTGAAGCATTCAATTCAAGCATCTATAGAGATAATAATAATATGTCGTATTGTTTTGGCTTAGCACCACACGGTTACTGTCTGTGTGTGTGAGAGAGAGAGAGAGAGAGAGAGAGAGAGTCTACTGTTAATGTATATCCTGGTCCATGAGAGAATCTCTGTGCCACACAGAGCCCAGAACCGGATATTTTCCATTTCCACAGAATGATTCTCCTACGACGTGTCGTTAATTAACACCATTAGAAAATCGAAGGCACTGCCCACGGACACAACCTGTATATGCCACACGTTCCGTTGCAATCATTTTGTGGCACAGACACAGAGTGAGCAACAGAGAGAGTGAGAGAAAGTGAGAGAGGCTCATGGCTGCCATCTGCGGTCGAGTCGCTCTTTCACCTAACCAGGGATTCAATCTCGCTAAATCAGGTACTTTTCTTTCTGGGTTCTTTGAATTTTGAGCAAAAAGTTGAATTTTACTCAAGTTCTTTATACCATAAGTTATGCGTTCTGTATCAGGTGGAATCCATTTATTTATAGAGATGTGTTATCTGAAAATATACATGATTATGGCTCAAAGCTATAAATTTTGCGGTGAATTTTTTTGGAAATTGGAAAATAATGAATGAAATAAAGGCTAAGAAAAAATTGATAATTGAAGCTTCCGTTTTGCGTATTAGGAACAAGGCACATAAAGATTTCGTGCTTTAAATTTAACAGTGGTTTGTTTTCTCAGTAAACAATGCTGGATTTGTTGATTTCAATGTTTTTTTTGCAATTTATATGGCAGGGGATAAACATTATTTTCATAAACAATGCTCAAGCCGGAGCATCTTGATGACAGCATCAAGCACCAGGCTTGGAAAAGGTGGTGGGTTGCTGGAAAAGCCAACCATAGAGAAAACAACACCTAGTCGTGACTCTGAATTTGACTTAAGGTATGTATTATCGTGCCTTGATTAATGGGTAACTGTAAATTAAGTAGAAAAATTTACCTCAAATTCAGCTCAGTACAAAATTAAGATGTGAATGCAACAATGAAGCTTTCAAAGAAACAGAGCACTTCATGTTCATAATCTGCATTTCTATATTCGATTGAGGGTTGAAAACAAATTGTTTAAGTCACCCTTTTGTTCTATTTGCATGTATTATTTCATATGTTAGTTAACATTAGAAAATTGAAGTAATTTTCAAGATGGGTTGATCAAATGTTGCAGGAAATCGAGGAAAATGTCGCCGCCTTACCGTGTGATGCTGCACAATGACAACTACAATAAGAGGGAGTATGTTGTGCAAGTTCTGATGAAGGTTATCCCAGGAATGACAGTTGACATTGCAGTGAACATAATGCAGGAGGCACATCACAATGGCCTGGCAGTCGTCATTGTGTGTGCTCAAGTGGATGCAGAAGACCACTGCATGCAGCTCAGAGGCAATGGCCTTCTAAGTTCCGTTGAGCCCGCTAGCGATGGATGTTGAGGAGTGCTTGCTTGTAGTCTATTAGTTATCATATCATAAACAAAATAATTACCTACAATTTACACAAAGAATTGAACTTGTTAGGTTACAGCCTTATCAGTAAAAGCTATATATGATGGCATGCTTGTTTATATGTACATAAACTTGCTCATATTAAGGTGAACTATTTCAGTTCAGGCATGTTTTGTTTATGTTCTTCATTTAATTAAAGAAACAGAGAGAAGAGAAAAAAAAAAAAAAAAAAAAAAAAAAAAGAGGATTATATGGACCTCATTCTTTTATTGCTCATAGTTTTCATTTGATTAAGAACAATACTGGTTGGCAAGATGGAGGGGGTGTTTGTGCAGCCACCCATGTCTGCATTTTCAATCTGGTTTCAGACGAAACGATTTCATATAACAGAAGCTCCATTTTCATCTTTCATTTGAGTAAAAGGAAGGGTATTGTCTTCCCTCAAAGAAAAAGGAAGGATCTTGCACGAAGCGTTTGTATGATATCTGAAAATGTTTTAGCCAAAACGAATTTCGGATGGTTATTATGCGTTTGTGAAAGTTCAAACTGGAAAATAAAAGATTTCAGGAATGGATCACGAGATGCACGAGCAGCGCCATGTATTGGTGGTAAAAATGAGCACAAAAGGGAAAAATAGCTGAAACTGGAGACGCGGGGAATCGAACCCCGTGCCTCTCGCATGCGAAGCGAGCGCTCTACCATATGAGCTACGTCCCCATGTCGTTCCTTTCCTGAATTCTAAAATATAAAACGACAGTAGTAATTTAAAAATAAAAAATAAAAAAATACCCTCAAACAAATCACATTAGCTTTGGCAACCTTCTATGTCCCTCTAAAATCAGCAGCCCCAATAGAACTGCAGACTAGAAAGTTGTGGCTTTAAATTATGGCAAACATATTTGTTTTCTTCCATAGTAAACCACAATGACAAGTGAACTGCAAGTCATCCACGCAGATGCATAGAATTAGATAGCATGCCTTTGCAAGAAAACCCAATTTTATCTTATTGACATGGGCACAACCACAATTTACTGCACTAGCAAGGTATCAACAAGCTCAGACACATTTGAAAGCTTATTCTTCTTGCATACCATCGAAATCACCATTGCCCAGGTGTCCACATGAAGAACATTTCCGTTTCCCAGACTAGTTAAAACTGTCCTTAACAACTCCATATCACCTTCCCGACACAACCCCTCAACAAGTTTATGTGCACTTAGACGATGGGGTGCATAACCCTTGAAGATCAGCTCATCTAAAATAAGTGCTGCTTCTCTGAACTGCCTGCAATCACAAAGTCCAGTAAACATTATTCGATATGAAACCACATCTGGAGTGCATCCACGTCTTGGTAAATCTTCGAACAAATCATTTGCTTCACTCCATTTCCCTTCCTGACATAGTCCACCAAGAATTGCATTGTAACTAATAACATCTGGCTCACACCCCTTCTCCACCATCTCATCCAAAACTTTATATGCTGCTTCAAAATCCTTCTCCTTGCAAAACCCATTAATCATTGCATTGTACGTTACAGTATTAAGTTTGCACCCATACTCGCTCATTTCCTCAAGAAGCCCAAAAACCTCCCCTTTCCTACCAAGCTTGAAAAGCCCGCTGATTAAAGTCGAATAAACCGCTGCATCTGGTTTGATTTTTCTCATTATCATCTCCTCCTTAAGCCTAAAAGCCAAACTTATTTCACCAATCTTGCTGAGTCCTTTCATCAAGGAGGTATACACGAATATAGTAGGCGGCACCCCATATACCCTCGCCATATCCTCTTTCAACGTGAAAGCTTCTTTCAACTTCAAATTCGAACAAAGGCAATAAATCAAACTCGCCATTGTCACCGAATTCGGGGGAATACCCTTTCTAGACATTTCATCGAGCACCGTCCACGCATCATCCAAGTACTCATTCGAACAACAAGCTTTCATCAGTATATTATAAGTACATGCATCCGGGGTCGCGTATTTGTCAATACCCACAAAGAATTTCCACATTTTCTCAAACTCGCCACACCTGAGAAGCGCATTCAACAATGAATTCAATGATTTCACGGTCCGATGGCAACGAAATGTGGGAATTTCATCGAACATTTGGAGTGCACGGTCGGGGAGATGAGCGCGACCGTAGAACGAAATGACATTGCAAAAGATGATTTCGGGGGGAGCAAAGCGGGTTTCTTGCTTCAATTGGTGAAGGATTTGGTCCATTTGGTCGAACATTTTGGCTCGGCCGAGCTTGGTGATGATGAGGTCGTAGGAAAGGAGAGAGTAGCGGAAAGGCTTTTTGGGTTGAGGAGTTGAATCAGAGTTGGGATTTTGGAAGAGTTGGAGAGCGAGAATTGGGTCCTTCTGGAGACGTAGGAGAGAGGAAAGCCTGAAGGGAGAGATAGATTTTGAAGCATTCATTTTCTTCTGTTTCGAGGTCAATCTGGTGCTTTGGTTTGGCTATACTGTTATAAGTTCCCGCCACATACCGGCAACGGCTATTATTGGAATTCGGAAGCGAACGAAAACGAATAAGAGAATTAGATCGGCGGTTCTTAAACTGGACCGTTCCGGCAGTGACGGCCCAAACACCCCCCAGAAAATGAACCTGTTAAGCCCAATTATTTATGAGCTCAAGAATACAAGCTCGTTTGGGAGTGTGATTTGGGAAGGGCGAAAATCACTTCCTGTTAAGTATAATCACTTTTGCTTAAAAACTATTTCATTACAAATAAGCAAACTATTTCTACAATTTGCTTTTCTGAAAACAAAATTAGTTAAATCTATATTTTACGCTTCCCACTCCAATCATCCAAATCAAAGTTGGAAAAACGATTTTTTAATCTGTTGTCCTAGACTTTGTCTCCCTTGATAATCTGCCTATATCTAATACGACATCCACCACCAACTTACATGAGCCCGGTGCATTGCATCCACCAAACATTTTCACATATAACCAATCAGTGAATATACGACAAAGTTGTCTACTCTCTCCTGATTAAGATTCAGAATTGACATATGAAAATGAAGAATGGTGTCAATTTGATGCTTGCTTTTAAACCGCCAATACAGCTGCATGAAGAATTGACAATACTCTTTTTCTACACCGCTGATTCTCAGGATTTCTCAATACAAGTAAGGAATTGTCCACGTCCATGTGTTTGTTTCTAGGCATTGTAGAAACTTGGATTGGATGGACAATCTTTAAGATTATACATCTAACTAATTCCGACCTTCAAATCACAAGTTTCAGGTAAATTCCGGACACGTATAAATTCGAGAGTATTTTGAATGCCTTTGTGGTTTTTATTAAGGATGTTTAGTGTTTTTGTTTTTTTAACGGCTTGTAACTCACGTGCTTAAAAAAGATATTTAGTTGTAACTCAAGATTATGGCCTTCCTTTGAACTTAGAAAGAAAGTGACGGTTCTTGACCTCAATTATGAATACCACCTTTAATCACATCATCAATTGAACCCAACCGCTAAACTTTTACGCTTGCCCAAAAAAGGAGTATCAAAAAAGCAAAACAGAACACAAGAAAACAAATGACTCCGTTCCGGCATTGATTAATTGCTTGCTTCCATATCCAAAGCACAGAATTAAGCAGAAAATTAAGAAAAGAATCTCGTTGTTAATTACAATTTTCTGCATGAGAAATTCGATTTATTTAGCTTATTGTGCTACAGGAAAAAATATATATAGATTAGGCATAAATCAGAGGTGCAAAAGCGATTTTCTTTATCAGTGGTCCATTTGCATATCTGTAATATCATATCCGCCTTCCATTTGCATGATTCTGCTGCATACACAAAATGCTTTCACATTTAGAAAGGTCTGGGTTGCTATTTAATTTTCGGAACTGACCTATGATTTGATGTGATTAATTTATAAATGGGGTTGGAAGTTGTTTTCATGGTGTAAATGAACATTCATTCATTTTTCCTTTTAAACGAATCGGCTACAATGATAAGATACCAGTATTGTCATGAAGAATTGACAATATCTCTTTCTGGTTTCTACACCAGCGATTTCTGTAAGATTATGTATAGTACGTAATGAACAAAAGAGGAAAAAAGAACTCACAGTTTCTAAAGTCAAAGTTCTTTTTCGGAGAATAGAAAATTTTTCATAATTGAATCGCAAGTAAGCGAAAAGTAAAGTCTGAATATACACAAAAACAACTTCATTAATACGAGAGTTATTTCTTTCTTTCAACGAATCCTGCTCATGGAAGCTCATTTTTTGACTGATGCGTACGTTTTGCCAAGTCCTCAATTATGTGACAAATTTTAAATTCTTTCTTTGGATAGTGATATTATTCTGGCTTTCAACTTTGATCCTACGGAATAAGATTGTTACCGTGGCTTCTTTTTGTAAATTAAGTTTCTCAAGCCCAAAAAAATAACAGAGATGCAGTAAATAAATTATGTTTTACATGTCATGGCCTTTATCACTTGCCACCGGTACGGATCCAGAAAGAAAGCGAGGGCTCATCATCACTTCATTTGGACCCAACCCAATCACGAAACTTTTACCTCTGCCCCAAAAAGGAGGAGAAAATAGTAAAACTTGACACACAGAGAAAACAAAAGACTCCCGACATTGCCGCCTGCCAGAGAAGAGAACAGCACACAAGCAGAAAATTAAAAAAATATTATCAATTTCTGCAATAACAGAAGGAAAATAAAATAAAATTGAAACATAGATTTAACAGTGGCCTCCATTCTCCACCCAAAACAAGTTAAATTACTTTGGGTCCACTCCACTTCCCAGCTCCCACTTTAATGCTTTTCCTCTAACTAAGCCAAGCCTGACGTGAGCACCTTCTCTCTCTCTCTCTCCCGTTCTCTGTCTCTTTCTCTACTAAATAAAGCCAACCTCCACTTCACTCTCTCTCTCTTTCTGAGCTCTCTCTCTCTCTCTGCTTTCTGCAACAGAGAAAAATGGCTCAGACCGCATTTCTTTACTTGGCCATTTTCTCAGCCTTCACACTCACTGCGCTGTTTCCTTCCACACTCTCTCGCAGCTTATCAGAAGAAACATCCACACTTCTCGACGTCTCTGCCTCCCTCACCCAAGCCCATGACGTCCTCTCCTTCAACCCTGAAACCCTCGAACCATTGGACCGCCAAGAAACCCAGGCCCAGACCCATACTCTCACTCCTCTCAACTCCTCCTTCTCTCTCCAACTCCTTCCCCGCGACGCTCTCCACAACTCACAACACAAGGACTACGAATCCTTAGTCCTCTCCCGACTCGGTCGCGACTCCGCCCGAGTCAACTCGCTCCACACCAAGCTCCAGCTGGCGGTTCAGAACATCAAGAAGTCCGATCTCGAACCCATGCACACCGAGATCCGACCCGAGGACCTCTCCACCCCGGTCGTGTCGGGTGTGAGCCAGGGAAGCGGCGAGTACTTCACGCGCATCGGCGTCGGCACCCCGGCCAAGTCCTTGTACATGGTGCTCGACACCGGCAGCGACATCAACTGGCTCCAATGCGAGCCTTGCTCTGACTGTTACCAGCAAACCGACCCGGTTTTCAACCCCACCGGATCCTCCACTTACCACCCGGTCACGTGCGACTCCGCGCAATGCCATTCTCTTCATGTGTCCGCCTGTCGTGCCGACAAGTGCCTCTACCAGGTGTCCTACGGCGACGGGTCATACACCGTCGGCGATTTCGTGACGGAAACGGTGTCGTTCGGGAACTCGGGCGCGATCCATAACGTCGGCTTGGGGTGCGGGCACGATAACGAGGGATTATTCGTCGGGGCCGCCGGGTTACTGGGCCTGGGCGGTGGGTCTTTGTCACTTCCTTCGCAATTCAAAGCGACGTCGTTCTCGTACTGTTTGGTGAACCGCGATTCGTCCACGTCGTCGACCCTGGAGTTCAACTCGGCACCACCCAGTGACTCGGTGACGGCGCCGTTGTTGAAGGACAGCAGGGTCGAAACGTTTTACTACGTGGGGCTCAAGGGGTTCAGTGTCGGCGGGCAACCGGTGTCGATCCCACCTTCGGTTTTCGAGGTGGATGAGTCGGGGAACGGCGGGATCATTGTGGACTCGGGCACGGCCATAACTCGGTTACAGACGGAGGCCTACAACTCGCTACGGGACGCGTTTAAGAGATTGACTCGGGACCTGCCGAGTGCGAGTGAATTTGCACTGTTCGACACGTGTTACGACCTGTCGTCGCGGTCCAGGGTTCAGGTCCCAACGGTGTCGTTTCTGTTTGCTGATGGGAAGTCGCTGAGTCTGCCGGCGAAGAACTACCTGATTCCCGTGGACTCGGCGGGAACGTTTTGCTTCGCTTTTGCTCCGACGTCGTCGTCTCCGTCCATCATCGGGAACGTCCAGCAGCAGGGGACACGTGTGAGCTATGATTTGGCAAACAACCGCGTGGGTTTCTCGCCAAATAAATGTTAAATTTGTTAAGTAAAAACAAAAAGAAGGTTAAAAAAAGGTATTAGAAGTAAAGTTTAGGTTTGGAGTTGGGTTAGGAGGTAACAGGTTGGGATTGTGAGTGAAATATTATGTACGGGGAGCCGGGGCTACCTATTTATCTCTCATAAATTATAATCAGGTGAAAAAGAACAAGGTTGGTGGCTAAGGCTTTTACACCTGAATTCGATTTCTATCCCGTATTTCTATCAAAGTATTTATTACAGGTGCGGTGATGGTGGTTCTTGAATTGTACACAAGACAGGCTGAGTTTATTTTCAATGTCAATATTAATGTATTTGGGTAAGAGTGGGGCCCATGCCCATCTACTGTATAAATTCGGAGCTGAATTATATGCTTGAATTGAATTGAATCGCTACAGCAATGTATTGATTTTGTTGGTGGCAAATTAGTCCAACTTGAGGGCTCTCACACTCCCTCACTTACGTTATACAATACGTTGTCAAAGGCTTGCTTGCTTGCATGTGTGCCTCGTGGCATTATATATATATTTTCTTTTCTTTTGTTTGATTAGATTTATATATATATTGGTGACTCTCTCTGCGTATTGCATGTGAATTTTGGAGGCGTTTAGATACGCGCATTATTTGTTTGGCTCCTTCCCTTACCCGGTCCTCCTTGCGAATTCGCTTTCTTTCACTTTCGCTTGTGAATGTGGGGGAGTCGGTCACATGCATTGCTTGTAGGGTCCACTTTTGGAAGTGGAAGACAACGTATGCCATGTAGGATTCACGCACTTTGACCTTGGGTCCCTACACTTTCCTTTGTGGGCCTAAGTACCGTGATTGTCGGCATGGGCCCTTTGTCTTTTCTGACGCGTGGGAGTGTTTCTTCATCATCCACGGTCGACCTACCCACATCAATCTACTAATACTATACCATTACCATTACCATGCCCAGCCCAAATTCAACGTACAGTTTCATTTTCAAATGGTTAAAAAAACGATAAACTGCAATAAAAATGCATACGAGAATTTGGTTTGGGACCCTAGTGTGTGAAAATCATTTAAACGCCATAAAATTTAGGTCAAACATCAATGGCAACTACCATATGCAGTTATGGGAGGGTCCCAAGACCCGGCAGAAAAGTTTGGGATCCTAGTGTGTACATTTAATTCCTTTAATTGAGGAAAAAAGTTTGGCACAGCCACTCGCCCTTAAATAAATCACTCTGTCATACTTCTGTTTGGGTATAAATTTGTTTAGATAAATTGATATATATTTTTTTCCATTCAATCTCTACTCTGTAACTGTTAGGCATGGTGAACTGGTTGACTATAGCTGGCGCTGGCAATAGAGAAATAGAAGAAAGAAGGTAGTGGGAAAAGAAAATGCGGGCCTTGCTTCTTCTGTGAAAAGCTGCAGCGGAATAAAAGTCAAAAAAGTTACCACAATAAGCTGCATAAGGAAATAAGAAATTGTTCCCTTGCCCACTTGCTTCATTTTAAAATTGACTGATTTTAAGCTGGTAGACTAATTTTCACATGTGGGAACCCACATACACATAGTCGGCAACCCTTAAACAGATTTTGCTGAAAGATCGCAGGTCCTGCATGTACGCTGTTGAGTTTGAAAATATCGGTCAACCATAAGATATTGCAAAAGGTGGGTGACTTGTGATGTTGCAGATACTGAAATTACTTGGACTTTTCACATATGACGAGGAAAAAAACACAAAATGTGGGAACGTTTTGCTTTTACCTGGACCTCTTCACATGCCATACCTTTTAACAAAAAGAGGAAAAAGAATCAAGTTCAGAAATGCATCATACAAGTTTAGAAACGTAAAACAAAACAATGATAAAAAGTACCAAGTCACTAACAGCTGCTCGTTCTGAGAAAGAATGTTGGAACTACTCTAGTGGATTGGAAATTTCTGATGGGGCTTTGTATAGATCTTCAAATTAGTATTGTGAGTCAGTGTCACTACCAGATAATAATGAAAGCAATGATGGATGGTTCACCAGAATGAGAATTTCTTAAGTAATATGCTTCTCAAGATAACAAACGAAGCAATTTAACCACATTGTTCCAAGGGTTTGGCACTATTAACAAATGTTGCGCTTTTGTTGAACCCCTCAAGCAAAAGAATACGCACCGCTTCTACGCCATCTTGAAACGTAAAATTCAACTGAAAAGCAAGTCTAGTAGTTAGAATCCAGTATCAATCTAAGCATAAGTTACTCCAGAAGTTGCATCAGAAACTTAACAAACCTCTTCAAGTTCTTGTTTAGTAAAGGGACGAAGAACAAAGTTCACAGGATCCATTTTCCCAGGAGGCCGTCCAATGCCTACAGAAATTCTCCAATTCAATGACATAATAAATAACGTAATTTTTAAAATAGTATAGACAAACACTTTTAGTGCTCTAGGGAAAATACCGATTCTTAAACGAGGAAAATCTCGACTCCCTTTAAAGTGATCAATGACACTCCTCATCCTGCAAAAGAAAGTAAATGAAGGGAACCTGAATAATCACAAGGGCTTTCTATTTTTTTCAGTTATTCTACCATCTGACTGTTGATATACTTAAATAACATAAGCAATATTATATTCTGAGAATCATTAAGCCACAAGCAATCAGAATTTTTTCGCAATTGGCTTGATAAACCAAAGAAAAGATTTACATGCAACAAAACAGTCTTACTACAAGCAGGGAAAGAAAATCCACAAGTCACCACAGGTTCTTCCTAGTTTGAAATGTCACCGTGCAGCAAAAAATGTTTATAATCTTTATATTCATTCCGGAGGACAGGATGATCGTGGTTTGGGACAATGATATCATTTCTCATTGTGTCCAAGATAATACATATAGATATGGAATACAGAGAAAAAGTATTCGTTTGGGTATCTTGGGGATCTGACAGGGTCCTTTCAAACTACAGCTCTAGGATACAGTGGTAGAGTTGCTCATTTGAAATATATTTTCCTTAGACACCGAGTTAAATCTAACACAAACTAGTACATTAGCTACAACAGAAAAGTAACATGGCAATGTGCAATTACCCATTGTGTCCTCCATGTCCACCTTTTGGCAACAGCCGCAGTTTTGCAAAGGGGAGATCTAGATCATCAAAGATCTGAAAAAATATATATTTCAAGAAATTTGAACGTGGTAGAGAAACAGGACACTCTGACTCAGAAAACAAGAGGCAAAAAAGAAAGAGAAAGAGTAGAGATTAAGTCAAGCTAGGGAGAGAAACTGCACCACAAGTACTTGCTTCAATGGAATCTTGTAATACGAAACAATGGATCCAACCTTCAACAAAGGGTCCAAATATCAACCAATCATCTCAGAAACATATTAAAATATTAAGACAAATCCTGAGATAGCTTACTTACTGACTCACCGCTTTTATTCATGAAAGTTTGTGGTTTGGCAAATATAACCGGAACATCCCCAATAAGGCCTGGAATATGGGAACAAGCTCTATTTGGATTAAAGTTTGCCATAACAGTTGGGAATCTTGAAAACAAAGTGAAGGATTATTTATCGATAAGCTCGATAAATTCACAAACAAAATGAGATCGTAAATTGCAGAGACGTGTGAAAAAGATATATGCACAAAAATTATGCAAAAGTGAACACACACAATAAAGCAAAGTTAGCAAATTCAGTTGCTGGTTTGGTTCTGCAACCAATCAAACTATATTTCAAACGATCAACATGAGAGAGAAAGAATAAAGACAACAGAATTGGGTAGTTCCAGCATGTGCAGATAATCACACAAGTGGGGAAAATAAGCTCAACGTAAGCTTCAAGTGCAAATGGTGATCCATTACTCACTAACAAAACTTATCCACGAGATATGTTGTAAATTTGAAATAGTATTAAAATTCAAAGCAATTGAACCTTTTCCGACCAGGGCTTTGAAAGAAACACTGCTCAATGATATCCCTTCAGCTTCAGCTATAGCATCCACCATCTCAAAACCCACCTGAAAAGAACACCACCGCCATATATTATTGCAATTTGCAAGCTCCAGATTTCCATATAGCACAACATTAATCAGCTAGAGTTAAATCAAGAAGAAAACCAGGCAACATTCATATGATAGGAAAACTAGCGTCTAAAACAGCTATGAGGAGCAAAAGTGTGAACTTTGGGGTCAACTTGAATTTTCAAAAGCGAACTAAAAACACAAAGCTTTGAGGGGTCGTACGAACATTGTGGCGGGTGCTGTGGTATTTCTTTCCGGGGTTTCCAAGGCCGACGATGAGCCACGGCTGCTTGGGCGGCTTCTTGGATTCGACAGCCACCGTGTTCGAGCTCATTGGCGGCGCAGATGAGGCGGAGGGTGATGACGAGAATTGAGAAATTATCCGAAGCGACGAAGATGGAATTAGGGTTTTTGAGGAGCGAAAACAGCGGTGGCAATTGGGGAAGCGAACGGTGGCGATAGATGATAGAGAAGCAGCAACGTTCATATTTTTTGTTTTACTTATTTACACAAACCAATAATTAGCTGAGGGTTTGAGAAATAGATAGATAAACCCTACGGCTGAAACTCGGAGGAAGGTGAGGAAGAATGAATTTTCAATTTACAAGGGTGTTTGGCGTTAGGGAAAATGAATTTTCGATACCCAAAAAAAACAAAGGAGGTTAAACTCCTTCTTCCAAATTTTTTTAAAAAATGGTATAGCCGACCGGCTTTACTATTCTTGACACGTGACGCCTAGGCCCAAAGTGGGTCCTTTTTTAAATATAAAAAAAATCGTATAGCCGGGAGGCTATACCCGGTTTTTAAAGTATTTAAAGAGTAGAGCCGTGCGGCTATGCACAATTGTTTTTAAAAATAGTATAGCCGGTACTCTTTATAATATATATATATATATATCTCTTTTTTTCGTACAGCCGCACGGCTATACTGGGTTGTGTCCTTATTTTGTTTTTAAAATAGTATAGCCGCACGGCTATATAGTATTTTTTTATTATAGCCGCGCGGCGAAACCTTGTTCTGTTCTAATTTATTAAAAATAATATAGCCGCTCGGCTTTACTGATTCTGACACGTGGCTCCTAGGCGCTGTATGGTCTTTTTAAATATATATAAATAGTGTAGCCGTTCGGCGATACATGGTTTTTAATTTTTTTTAATATTATAGCCGAGCGGCTATACTTGGTTTTGTTAATGTTTCTACAAAAATAGTTTTTGAAGTCCTATGGTTTTTGTTCACCCTCTCTCTCTCTGAGTTCATTCTAATCAAGTTGCTTAGCTGTTGTTTTAAATCAATTAGCATATATCATGTTGTAGTTCATTTTTAGTTTCAATGGAGTAGAGATTTTACAAATTACAAACAAGTTTGCTTTGCACTTGATTCAAACCTCTCCATCACAGACGCTGCAATCGACTTCATCTGAATATATGCCAGATCTTTTACGAGACACATCCTCGGGCCGGCATGAAATATTGGAAACTGAAACGCAGTTCTTCCCCCATATCCCCTCCATCCTTCCCATGGCGTACGCGTGGTACGTCACGAACCACCCCTTCTTAAAAATCGTCCCATCTGGCATGACGTCGTCGTTTAGGCAAGCCTTTGTGTCGACCGGTACGCAGGGGCGGATCTATTAAGGCGCAAGGAGGTGCAGCTGCACCTCCCTTCGCCAGAAAAACCATTGTAGGTGCTTCAAATTGCCCTTTGCTCAACTGGTGTACAGATTACCTTATTTCCATTTTCAACATTTAAGTAAATGTCTTTGTCTTTTTACTTTTATTTATTTTTATATTACTCCATTTACTTAAGTTTACAATGTAAATAAGGAAGTACCCCCCATTTGGATTCAAATAAAAATACTAGAAAATCAAATTCCCACCAAATCAAAATATGAAAATTCGGTTTTAGTGCAAAATACGATTTAGGCTAAAAATGATGGCTCATTAAGTCAATATATACTTCATACTAAAATCCCATAAAATCAAGTTTTCTTATTTGATGCATAAGGAATAAAAGCCGCCAAAAATTATCTTGAGAAAATGATTATTTCGAAAAACCATTTTCATACTTAGTCAATATTGCACATCTGCTAAAAAATTTCTGGATCCGCCAGTGCCGGTACGGGAGGGTACAGCCTCATGGCCTCCGAAATGGCCGCGTGCAAATAGTGCATGTCTCGGAGCTCGTCGAAACTATACGTATCGCCGATACTTTTACCATTTCGTATCCGAATCGTTTCTAGCTCCTTTAAAATGGCGAGCTGGACGCGTGGCCTGGACGACAAGAGCCAAAAGAACCCAGTCAGAGCCGAAGATGTGGTGACATTTGTTTGAGAAACTGCTCTTTGCCTCTCCATTAGATGTGCAATATATAAGTTTAGTCCAATGACGTGTACTTGACTGAACATTATCTCTCAAAAATTACACAAGAACTGTGTGTGTCAGTTTAAGAAAGTATTGTGTAATTTGTTTCCTGGATTCAAGTGGGATTTCAAAAACCTCGAACAAGCATTTGAAGAGTGAGGAAAGCTGTATGGGATTGGATACTGAGCCTCAACAAGTCCCTTTGAGAGGCAAAATAATGGAAATGCATCTCATACATTGGGTGCCACCAACAAGTCCTCAACAAGTCCAGTTGCAATCATAAAATAAAACCACCAACAATTCACTTGTCTAGTTTCTTCTACAAAATGGTTAGTTAGAAATTAACACCAAGGCCAAACATAAACGGTCAACTTATTTCTTATCATTCATATATGAAATTTTCAGAGGAAATGGCCGAACATAAAACGTCAACTTATTTATGAATTTTTTACAGGAGACATGAATCAAGAATGTTGATGATCATATCATCAATCTATCACAACCAGCTTCTGATACTCTTCGCCGGAGATGGCTGCTTCCATGGTAAGATCCGGGCGAATTTCCCCATCACCATCCAAGAATATCTTCATCAAATTCTTGGAGAAGCCACTCAACAGCGCCACCCCTGGTTCTGTACTCGGTACTGGCGTAGACATAGAATGCCTCAGATTCCAAAACACGATCTGTGGCACTGCATTCTCGTACCCTTTCTCCTTATACTTCCTCTGTATTACCTCATAATCAGTCTCCCAACTATTGCTCGAAGCCTCATCGAACTCCATGTCGCTGAACACGAAGATCCTCTTGATCATATGCTCTGGCTTCAAATTCCCATTCACTGCCACTTGGAGAAGCAAATCAAACACCTTTTGGAAATCAGTGTTCATGCCCCAGTCCATCATCGTCACAAATTCACACTTGGACCTAAGATCATCCCCTTCTATCAAATGCAGCTGAGGGTTTTCACTGAAAGTGATGACCTTTCCCTTCCATGGCTCTTCACTCAGTTCGGACACCAACAATCCCAAAGCCACAGACACCTTCATTGGGGTTCCAGCCATGCTTCCTGAGACGTCACATACAGCCAAGCTATTCTTCAGCTTCCCTTCCTTTAGCATGTCATCCACCATTTTCTTCCACTGAAGCAAGGCCACTTGATCTTCCTTGTCATCGTCATTCTGGTCATCGTAAGAAGAAGACCACCTTATATTCTTCAGTTGGGCTATGATCTCATGCGGAAGCAAAGCACCCGCCGCAATTGTGGACTTGCCTGCTTTCACGTCCTCCAAATACTTGCTAAACCTCTCATTGTCGTGCTCCAAAAACTTACTTTTGTAAAGCTTCATGGCCACAGAGGCCACTCGATTGTACGGAATAGCACCCCATTGGTTGGCACCCATGTAAACCTCGGGCAACTGCAACTCCTTCCTCAGCGGCACCAACACCTCCTTCCTCAGCCGGTCTCTGACTCTGTAGGCGTAATGTGCTTCCTCCATACCTTCATATTCCGAGTCCGATTCTCGGGGAAACAACTTCCTCGCAATGGCTTCGCAGAGCAAAGTGGCGCGGTCGAAGGAGGAGTCAAGGGAAGGGCACCACTTGGCAGCCAGAGTTATCTTCTTATGCTTATCATCCGACTTGAAGGTTTCTATATCGGACTTCAAGCACTCTGCGAAAAGATCTGAAACCCTCTGGTGCAAGAACCGGTAATCCGGGTCACGCTGGTACCTGGCAATGGCCTTCTTGGCCATGGCTATCTTCTTTTCTTTCCTCTCAGCGCTCGCTGTTTCCTTTTCCATTTTTACCCTCTCCATCCCCTTCATTACCCGAACCTCTTTAGGCACACTCTTCCGGCTGCTGATGGCCGGAGTGACCGCCGCTTTGGTTTTCGATTTACCAATTTTATAACTCGGACGACGTCTCCGTGCCACTCGCCGAACCACTGGTCTCCTCTTGCTACCGCCCCATCTGCGTTTTCTCATTAACCACTGGTCCTTTTGGTTCTTCCTCACGTCTTGGCCTTCTAGAAGGCGGTACAGAATCTCGGGCATGTCTTTGAAGTAGCCGAACTCGGCGAAAGAGGCGAGGTTGCAGGCGAAGGTTTTGGGGTGGTTTTTGTGGAGCCAAAACGCCGCCGTGTAGAAGCTTTCCTTGTCGGACTTTCCGGTGCCACGGACGCCTCTGAGGTTGCAGATGAGTTTGAGAGTGGTGAGGGCGTCGTGGGCCCAGGCCAGCGGGAGCTGTTTGTTGATATAGGAGGCCGGAGAGTCCGGTACGACGTGGAAGAACAGATCGAGGCAGGGGTTTGAGGAGGTGAGGAAGGTGGCTGAGCCGTTCTCGGTGAGGGCCATTGGGGGTCTGGCTCTGTTTGATCCGTTCATCGAATCACCGAAGGCGGGTTCGGGTTGCGATGGTGGGGTGGGCTTGTTGATCTCTGGAGGACCAAGAATTACAAGACCAGTCGGTGGAGGAGCCATCGGCGTGATTTGTAAACAGAGGTTTGATTTGAGAATTGGGAATTTGGGAGAGGGTTTAATTTGCAGTGTTTTGATGGAATTGGGTTGGAGAGGCGTGAGTGAGATATGTGCCTCTTTTATATATAGGAGCTCGTTTACTTGGGGACCAAGGATTAATCTGTTAATTATGTTTTCCCAAAAAATAAAATTGAATTTTTTGTTACCATTAAATTTATTGAATATTGGTTATGGCATTGATTTCATTTTAAAGAAACATAGATGATAACAAATGGGAAAAATCAACAGAGATCGATAAAAAACATGAGATTTCATTTACAAGGAAAAAGGAACATAGTTAAACCAGATGATGATCATCAATCAAATTGATAGGCAATGAATATGCTGTAGTGTTGAGTCTATTTGTGATTTAACCCACAAGTCATCCACATTCCAAGAGGCATTTTAAAAAATAAAAATATAATTGGTATATTAGAATAATAATAAAAAATATTCAAATATATTTAAAAAAGGGCAATACTGTTTAAAATAAAAATATTATTTAAATATAATTGTCTACATAAAGGTGTACTCAATTAACTCGGATTAGGTCCGGTTACGTTGTACATTGAGATCAAAATCCTAATCGTAAAATGCTAGGTCAAGTTACGTGAGTATCCAAACCTAATCGAGTCACAAGTGCCCTATGATAGGCTTATGGTTAGGGTTCGAGACTTGAGAATGGTTTTGGAACAAGTTTAGAGAAATGAAAGCAACATAACCAGAATTAAGAGCTCACTCTCAGAAGTATCATTGACAGTCACAATAACAGAGCTCGTATTTGATTTCATTAGTGATAATCATGAAAGATTGTCCCCTAATGGATTCTGCAGTTCTTTTAGTTGATTATGTTTGATCTTTCAGAGCGGCAATATATTGAGTGTAGAAGTCCCTGCAAAAAATGTTCAAAAGAAAATGGAAAAATTGATAAAATTGAAGAACCATTCAACAGAAAACGAAAGTAATAAAACTGAACAAACAATGATTGCAGCAGCTTGGACCTTTACAAGCAATTAAAAGTTAACCGGTATGATCCAAATGCAGAAAAGATATGAAATTGCAGCAGCTGTAAATGAAGAATGTACAATCAACACTGAAAGTTGGATTATGTGCTACAACATCTTGTAAATCAAAACTTTGGTTATAGAACACACCTTCTCCCTCTCAAGACTAAGAAGCCATGGCCTGTTCAATTTTCATACATCAGAAGATTGACCTTATATTGTTTTGCTGCTGCCCCAACACAATCTTCATCTAAAATCATTAGACAAAACATGAGTAGTTTCTGCGTACTGTAAGAAAATTTTAATTTCTCAAGATTAGTCTTGCAACAATCAGTCTCTAATAAGGGAAACGAATGGTCATAAATCAAGATAGAAAATAAGATAGCATGAACATCAGTTCCATAACAATGCAGAGATCGAAATGCAGAATTGGCATATGACATCAGTTCCATAAAGAAACATAGAAAGTCGAATTGCAGTTGGACATAGGTATTGGAGCAAAAACATAGAAACCCAAATTGCAGAAACAATAATCAACAGAGACATTGGAGCAAAAACACCAGTAAATTTTCATTTCACTTCTTGTTTTTGCTACAAAATTGAACAATGGAAATCAACATCTAGGCCAAGCATGAAACCTTTTTTCTTTTTCTTTTTTTACATAGAAAAGAGGAAACAACTAAAACATAAGATGGTCATCAGATCAATCCAGCACAAGCAACTTCTGATATTCTTCGCCGGAGAGGGCTTGTTCCATGACACTGTCTGGGCGAACTTCTCCATCATTATCCAAGAACAACTTCATCAAATTCTTTGAATAGCCACTCAACAGCGCCACCCCTGGTTGTGTGCTAGGCACTGGCGTAGACAAAGAGTGCCTTAGATTCCAAAACACAATCTGCGGTATGGCATTCCCATATCCTTTCTCATTATACTTCCTCTGAATTGTCTGATAATCAGTCTCCCACCTATTGGTTGAAGCCTGATCAAACTCCATGTCGCTGAACACGAAGATCCTCTTTATCATATGCTCTGGCTTCAGTCTCCCCTTCACTGCCACTTGCAGAAGCAAATCAAACACCTTTTGAAAATTAGTGTTCCCGCCCCATTCCATCGTCCTCACAAACTCACACTTGGACATAAGATCATCGCCTTGTATCAAATGAAGCTCAGGTCTTGCACTGAAAGTGATGACCTTTCCCTTCCATGGCTCTTCACTCAGTTCAGACACCAACAGTCCCAAAGCCACCGACACCTCCATGGGTGTCCCATTCATGCTTCCAGAGACGTCACACACAGCCAAGCAGTTGTTCATCTTGCCTTGCTTCAGCATGTCATCCACCATTCTCTTCCATTGAAGCTCAGCCACTTGCCCGCCATCTCCATGATTCAGAGACTCTATGATCTCATGTGGAAGCAAAGCACCTGCTGCAATCGTGGACTTGCCAGCTTTGACGTCCTCCAAATACTTCTTAAACCTCTCTTCATCATGCTTAAGGAACTTCTCCTTGTAAAACTTCATGGCCACAGAGGCCACTCGGTTGTAAGGAATGGAACCCCATTGATTGGCACCTATATAAACCTCTGGCAACTCCAACACCTTCCTCAACGGCACCAACACATCCTTCCTCAGCCGGTCTCGGACTCTGTAGGCGTAATGGGCGTCCTCAACACCTTCATATTCTGGGTATGATTCTCGCGGGAAGACCTTCCTGGCGATGCTTTCACATAGCAAAGTGGCTCGGTCGAAGGATGAATCGATAGAAGGACACCACTTGGCAGCCAGGGTTATCTTCTTGTACTGATTGGAGTTGAAGTTTTCAATATCGGACTTCAAACACTCGGCGAAAAGATCTGAAACACGCTCGTACAGAAACCGAAAATCTGGGTCACGTTGGTACCTCCCAAGGGCTTTCTGGGCCATGCTGATCTTCTTCTCTCTTCTCAAAGAGCTCGCCTTTTCCTTCTCCAATTGTGCCCTTTCCATTGCCCTTTTTATCCGGGCCTCTCTAGAGTGCACATCCCCTTTCCGATTACTTGACCGGCGCCCCTTCACCGCACTGCTACTTGACTTGAGCCCGCCCCCAAAGGGTGGTCTCAGCCCATAGGGGCCACCTCCGTAGGGTGCTGGTGGTGCAAAGCCACCTCCGTAGTAGGGTGGTGATGGTGAAACGCCACCTCTGTAGGGTGGTCTCAGCCCATCGGGGCCACCTCCGTAGGGTGCTGGTGGTGCAAAGCCACCTCCGTAGTAGGGTGGTGATGGTGAAACGCCACCTCTGTAGGGTGGTCTCAGATGATTTAGCCCCCGCCTACCACGCCTACCAATCCTACACGCCCCGCCTTTTCTCATCGACCACTCGGCCTTTTGGGTCTTCCTCACGTCTTCGCCTTGTAGAAGGCGGTACAGGATCTCAGGCAGATCTTTGAAATACCCAAACTCGGCTAGAGACGCAACGTTGCAGGCGAGGGTTTTGGGATGGTGCTTGTGGAGCCAAAACGCCGCAGTGTAGAAGCCTTCCTTGTCGGACTTTCCAGTGCCGCGCACGCCTCTGAGGTTGCAGATGAGCTTGAGGGTGGTTAGGTCGTCGTGGGCCCAGGCGAGCGGGAGCTGTTGGTTGAAATAGGAGGCCGGCGTGGATGGCACAACATGGAAGAAGAAATCGACGCAGGGGTTGCCGGAGGCGAGAAACGTGGCAGAACGGTTCTCAGTGAAGCCCATTGGAGGTGCGATAATTGGAGCCTTGGCTGAGTCGTTGTAATTGGCAACCATGAGGTCAACGAAGGGGTCAGTCGATTGGGTTTGGGTTGCTGCTGCGATTGGCTTTGGCTTTGGGTTTCTGAACTCTGGGGGACCAAGAAGAAGACTTGGAGGAGCCATTGTTGTTTGTTGGTATGAGGGCTGTGGAGAATTGGGGATTATGGTTTTTGCAGTGGGGTTTTTGATAGATGGATTAGAAGAAGTGAGTTTTCTTTGGGGGAGGCGTGATACGCCCCTTTTGTAGGAGATCAATTCCTTGGGCTCCAAGGAGTTTCTGTTGAAAATCCTTTTCCAATTTGAATTTTTTTATCCAAACAGTATCTTTTGCTAATGGAAAAAAAATAAATTATTTAATATACTTATACAACTGGCAACCAGTCGACCGACTTTGGTTTTAATTTCTTGAAATTGTATTTACCATTTGCGTGAGAATCCTACTTAAAGAATTACCAATTCCTCCAACAACAAAAAAAGAAAGAATTACCAATTCCAACTTCAGTGACTTTTTATTTTATTTTCAGTGCATATTTATTTATTTAATGTGTAAGAATTTCTATATTTTCTACGTGTTGGGCAACAGGGCCTTAGCTTGTTTTGGGTTTTCACTGAAAAACATATTTTTCCAAGAACTTGGATTTTCACCAACAATAAGCTCAGCAGCAGCTGATTATTAATATGAACTCATTGTTTCGGTTCTTCTTATGCAGATGAATATATGCTATTGGCTGGGATGGTGAATATATGCAGATCACTTCTGCTTTTATTTCTTGAGCTGAAAACAAATCTGCCCAAGTTTTCTCTCACATTTTTCTCCTTTGAATTTATATGAAATTACAACGAAACGAAACGAAACACATCAAAAACGTACATTAGAAAGAATTTAAGAAGGCATCCATAATGACCTCTTCTGCCTATCCAAGTTAACTAGAAAGAAAACTGTAAAAGCTCACATGCATGATGCATCATCCCTACCCCTATTATATATAGAACTATAACACATAAAGAAAAACCTGAAATTATTCCAGAATCCAGATTGACTACTGAGACATTTCAAAAACTCTCACTTCCATTTACATCTCTGCGAAGCGTGTTTATTCCCAGATGACTGGGAACAACAAACATGAACAAGATTCCATTTTAAGCTAGGACTAGTCCTACGAGGAGTACATGTTTTCGTCAAAGGATCTGCCTACTCTTTCTTCCTGCCTTTCTGTCCTAATGTGTATATGTTTCATCAAAACTATCCTGTCAGTTTTTGTATATAAATATAATTGCCACCACTTGATGATCCCAAAAATCCAGCGAAAATGAAGAGAATGCCAAATAACACCACATGATGTTAGCTAAAGAACAACATTTCAAATTTATATGTAAGACTTACTTTAGAGAAACATAAAATAATGATAGAGAAAAATCATATCCTGTCATTTTCATTTCACTTTTCGTCCTCCTAGCAAGAAGTTAACTAGAATTATTCTTATTCAAGGACATTAATTAAAAGGAAACAATCTTCAAACAGGTAATGATCAACATCAATCTACTACAGTCAGACTCTGATACTCTTCGCCAGAGATGGCTATTTCCATGAAAAGTTCTGGGCAAATTTCCCCATCATGTTTGAAGAACATCTTCATCAAATTCTTGGAGAAGCCACTCAACATTGCCACCCCTGGTTGTGTCTCAGACACTGGTGTAGAACTCGAGTGCCTCAGATTCCAAAACACAATCTGTGGCACTGCATTCTCGTACCCTTTCTCCTTAAACTTCCTCTGTATTGCCTCATAATCAGTCTCCCAACTATTGCTCGAAGCCTGATCAAATTCCATGTCGCTGAACACGAATATCCTCTTGATCATGTGCTCTGGCTTCAAATTCCCATTCACGGCCACTTGGAGAAGCAAATCAAACACCTTTTGAAAATCAGTGTTTTTGCCCCACTCCATCCTCCTCACAAACTTGCACTTGGAACTAAGATCATCCCCTTTTATCAAATGCAGCTGAGGGTTTTCACTGAAAGTGATAACCTTTCCCTTCCATGGCTCTTCACTCAGTTCGGACACCAACAATCCCAAAGCCACGGACACCTCCATTGGGGTTCCTTCCATGCTTCCTGAGACATCACATACAGCCAAGCAGTTGTTCATATTGCCTTGCTTTAGCATGTCATCCACCATTCTCTTCCACTGAAGCTCAGCCACTTGATTATCAGCATCACCATTTTCGTTGGGTTCAGATTCAGAAGAATAATGATCGTAGAGCTCAATATTCAGTTGGGCAATGATCTCATGCGGAAGCAAAGCACCGGCGGCAATCTTGGACTTACCGGCTTTGACATCCTCCAAATACTTGCTAAACCTCTCTTTGTCGTGCTCCAAAAACTTTTCCTTGTAAAGCTTCATGGCCACAGAGGCCACTTTGTTGTACCGAATGGAACCCCACTGCTTGGTAGTCATATACACCTCGGGTAAGTCCATGGCCTTCCTCAACGGCATCAAAACCTCCTTCTTCAGCCTGTCACGAACTCTGTAGGCGTAATGTTCATCCTCAATGCCTTCATACTCCGGATACAATTCCCTCGGGAAAACCTTCCTTGCAATGCTTTCGCAGAGCAAAGTGGCGCGGTCGAAGGAGGAGTAGATGGAAGGGCACCACTTGGCCGCCAGCGTAATGTAGTTATTCCTCTTCAAACATTCCATATCCGACTTCAAGCACTCGGCAAAGAGATCCGAAATCTGGTCGTGTAAGAATTGATAATCCGAGTCACTCCGGTACCTGTCAAGGGCCTTCTTGGCCATGGCGACCATCTTCTCTGTCCTCAAGGCACTGGCCTTTTCCTTTTCCAATTTGTCCCTCTCCAATGACTTGTTGATCCGAACCTCTCTAGACTCCTCCTTAACCCTTTTCGCTTTAGATTTCGACTTGTCCCTCCTAGTTCCATCTGTCCTCATAATCCTCCCCCTCCTCCCCCTCTTCCCACTGCCTTTTATCCGTAGCCACTCGGCCTTTTCCTTCTCCCTCACGTCTTGGCCTTGTAGAACCCGGTACAGAATCTCGGGCAGGTCTCTAAAGCACCCGAATTGGGCAAAGGAGGCGAGGTTGCAGGCTAGGGTTTTGGGGTGGTTCTGGTGGAGCCAAAACGCGGCCGTGTAAAAGCCTTCCTTGTCGGACTTTCCAAAACCACGCACCCCGCGGAGGTTGCAGATGAGCTTGAGGGTGGTCAGAGAATCGTGGGCCCAAGCCAGGGGAAGCTGTTGGTGGAGGTAGGAAGGCGGAGTGTCTGGAACGACGTGGAAGAATAAATCAAGGCAGGGGTTGCCGGAGGAGAGGAAGGTGGGTGAATTGTTCTCAGTCATTCCCATTGGAAGTGATGACCTCATCTTTGTGAATGTGTCGTTGAAATTGGCAACCATGAGGTCCACGAAGGGGTCGCTGGGTTTGGGTTCGGTACATTGCGGCTGTGCTGGTTTGGGTTCGGTACATTGGGGCTGTGCTGGGTTGGGTCTGAGTTCTGGAGGACCAAGAAGAAGGGTTGCAATTGCAGGAGGCAGTCCTCTTGTGAGTTTTGAAACGGCCGCTTGGGTTTGTGTTTCTCTGATAACTGAGAGGATTCGCATCGTTTCACTATCAGTTTCATCAAAGGGATTAACTTGTGATTTATTGGAGCAGCTTACTTGGCGTCCAATATATATATTGACTTGTGCTTTCCCGAGTCAACTTAACAGCCAATAATATCCTTTAGGATATGCACGCACCGAATTAAATTTTCAATTATGGTTAACAATTTTGGCCGAGATGGGGATTTTATCAAGATCTTGGACCGTCTGAAAAAATATTTCAAGAGCCAATACTAATAAGGAAAATGTCACTAAAGTTCAAGAGACGGGATTCGAAATGAAAATATGAAATGTACTGCTCTAGGGTTGTCATCCTTGTTTTTATAGAACATGAAAGCTCATAATTTATGTTTGTTCTTCTCAGTGAGAATGCTAAGTAACACCAAAATGGAAAAGTAATGAAAATTAACTTGAAGGGCTAGCTGCTGCTGCTGGGTTTAGTAAGCTTTTGGTGGGGACGACGACTCTGATCTCTGGAGGACCAAGAAGAAGAGTTGGAGTTGGCGGAGGAGAGGCTCTTGTGAGTTGAGAAATGGCGGCTTGGGTTTGTTTTGCTCTGATAACTGACAGGATTCCCATCTTCAGTTTCACTTTGACTTTAATCAAAGGGAACGTATATTATATTACCCTAAAACCGATTATTTTGGGATATCAATTTGAGATCAATTTTGGGATCGCTTTACTTGCGCTCCAAGATATATATATATATATTTTATTTTTATTTTTATTTTTATTTAGTATTATACAGGTACCAAAGTTCAAGAGACAAACTTTAAAGTGAAATATATAAGAATAATTTTATTATTGTATGATATTCTTTAAACTTTGTAGCATTATCGTTTTGTATTTCAGTATCACAAGGAAATATTCAAATTCAAAAAACTTATTTATTTTACATAATTTGAAGTCAAATCAACTTATTTATCTTTTGAAAATTAGCAAAAACCAACGTTAGAGTTGCAAATTATTAATTTACATAATTGTGGCCTTTTCTTTTGGCAAACCATCAAGTTAACCGCTATTTGTTTATTTAGCACAAAACGCTCTTCCTTCTTTCGCTTACATGGATTAACGAATATCACATATAAGCAAAATAATAGGTCAACTGAGCCCTCCTTAACTATAGGGTTTAACGAATGAATAGGCAAATGACGTAACAATTTGTAACTTTAAATTTAAATGTGATATTTGCCCATTTTTGAAAGATACCAGCCAAAGCTATTACAAGTTCCAAAGCTTCGTGTTATGTGTGTGAATTTAGTGTGTTATTGCCCCTAACAATAGAGAGGTCCTCGAAAAATAAATAAATCTTATTTGGGCTTAAAATGATCAGTACGAAAAATGAGTGAATATAAATTTGAAGTCAAGTTCGACAACGTTACAAATCAAGTAATACCGTCGACTGATACATACATACATATATATATATATATGTATATAATTAAAAAAAAAAAGTAAACTTCACTTGCAGGTCGTCTGAGAAACTAATTAAAAACCAGAAAAACTCATGAACTGAAATAAATCAAATTACACTCTTGATTGATAGTAGAATGAAGAACAAAAGAACCAACACGGGAAGCGGGAAGTGTCTAACGAGACATGCCTGGCGTGATGTATGGAGGTGCAGGGTTTCCAGCTTGACCTTGGTTCATTCTCTGCGCATTGGCGATCCAACCTGCATTAAATTTTCATATTAATTCATCATGCAATTAATTAAGGCTATGAATTTTGTTAATTAATTATGTAGATAGGTAGGTACCTATGGAGGGGTCTTGTCCACGGTTTTTGAGCTCCCTGTACTCTTGACAAATAGCACAAGTGGGAAGCAAACAATGGACACAACAGTCTACACATGGATCTTCCGGCAATGAATATAGGCCTCTCAGTTTGGATCGATAGGGGAACGAGAACAAACAAGAACACCCCACATAGGAAAGAGCATGATAGATTAAACCCGCAAAAGCACAAGCTGCATGCAATATTATCAAGAATTTTTTAAAATTAAGTCGTATGCCATTGCGATGCATCAATAATTTATAGGGAGTTTCACTAAAACACCCAAAATGGGAGCTGAAATTATAAAAAAACCCAACACCCAAAACACTTTATAAACACACCCAAAACTCATCATTACACACACTCAAAACCCATTTATAAACACACCCAAAAAATATACAATTGTTGACTTTGGGGTTGATTTTGGGTGTGTTTCTATGTTTAAATAGTGTTTGGGTTTTTTTATAAATACATGTCTAGGATTGGGTTTATTTATAAATTTGTATAATTTATATTAATATTTGATTAATTAGCATGATTGATTCAATTCATGTATGTTCTTAATTTGTAACTGCGCCAAGGAAGTAAAAGGTTGACAAGTTATTGACTTACACGTTGTTCCCTTATCAATGATCTCAGCATTTTGGCCAAAGGTTACGCAGGGACAGCAGCAGGTCATCAAACCTAATAGAAAAGATTGGTTAGCGAAGATTGTTAATTTACCAGTTCATTATATATAATAGAAAAGGTTAGTTAATTACAAGGACTTACAATTGGAAGGATCTTCAAAGCAACCACATAGACCTGTCGTCCATTGAGGCGGCCCCTGTTGATAGCCATATGCTGCTGCTGCGTGTGGAGGTGCCGCCTGTTGTTGATAACCACCGTATGCTGCTGGTGCTGCCTGTTGCTGATAACCGGCATATGCTGCTGCTTGTGGAGCTTGTTTAGGATCACTATTGTTATTGGGATGCATTTTGGTCTTATTAATGCTCAAACTAAAGTAACAGAAGGTCCAAGTGAAATTAATTGAGAGAGCTGCTAGCTGCAACCCCTTATATGGACACTAGCTATAAGTTTGCTTTGATTTGTTGCAGCTAAGGTTTCAGTAGTAATACTTAAATAGCAAATTATTCTAGGTAGCAGGCAGCTACATCTGCAGGCTGACTTGACTGACTGCGAGATGTTTGTGATTAACGTTAGTGATTGGACAGCGTAACACAGGTGATTTTCTTAGTTCAATGATTAAGCAAGTTCATACAAGTAGTTGACTAATATTATTGACCTTTTCAAAATACAAACCTGGCATGGATTAAAAATTTTCCATCCCCTGTTTGAAGGGCAGAGCAGAGGTAGGTGTTTTGCTTTCTTCTGGGGGAACTAAGGAACTAAGAAGGAAATTGACTGGTTAATCAAAACAAAAGCCTCCTTGTTTCTTTTCCCTTTTTTTCAGAAGATCAAATGTAAACATATCAAGTGGCCAATTTAACAAAGTCAAACTAGGCTCCATCCTCCCTCCATTGACTTTGATTAGGATGTGTTTCCTGTTGAAGAGGGCCATGTGATGAAGTACATTGTCTCTGCCACTAATTTGCAGGCAGGCACGCATGGCGCTAGCTGCCAGAGTTTTTGCTGGTTTTGCAAAGAATCTAATGACATTCTGGTCAAAGTAAACTCTTTTCGCAATTCCTTGAGAACATTATTGTCTACCACACAGACTGTGATCACCACGACTTTCCCAAATCCCCCAAATTAATATCTAAGTCAAACAATTCCGCATTTGTTCCATCCCTCTTTCACACAAACTTTTTTTTTCTTTCTTTTTTGTTGTAAGTGAATTACGGTTCCATAGTTTGTATATACAGCTGTGTGTGTTTGACTTCAATATATCCAGACAGAACTCCCACTAGTGGATTTTGTTAATTATTGCTTGCTCAATTGTTTGCACAACAGATTCTTTTATTATAGTTGGTGGCATGTATGACATAATATTGTGTAGCATTGCACTATGATGTTTTCATCCACAGCTCTCTATCTCTGTCCATTTCTGTGAGATCAATCAACAAATTTAGAGTGGTACATAGCCTAATGGGAGACCCAGAAGCAGAATACCAGGGTGATGTTCATGACCAACCGTCTTCCAGCAGACACAACAGCCATCTCAGCCTCAGCCAATGCAGTTCCACCACTAGGTCCTCCACAACCAAACCCTTATCAGACTCAACCACAGCAATTCCCTCCTCAAAGCCCTCAGCATTTTCCTCCTCAGAGGTCACAGCAGTTTCCTCCTCAAAGTCCACAACAATTTCCTCCTCAAAGTCCACAACAGTGTCCTGCTCAAAGGCCACAGCAGTTCCCTCCTCAGAGCCCACACACAGCAGTTTCTGTTAGAGTTTTGAGAGAGAGAGAGAGTGAGAGCTTGAGAATGAAGCAAAACGAATTCTCATTTTAGTCACACACTCACTGTGCATATGTAAAACCGTTGGGAATAGCATATTCCCTCATTACATCATTCAAATCTAGCCATCCATTCATCTACCTATAAGATAGTGACATGTGGCATAACCTACAGCTTACTCTAAGATTATATCTTAGCTGCACACCTGGACTGTTATCCAAGGGCTGACATTTAAACTAAAATCAAACCTTATTTCAGCACAGACACTTATAAACTAACAGTTTCCTCCTCAAAGTCCACAGCAATTTCCTCCTCAAAGGCCACAGCAGTACCCACCACAAAGCCCGCAATTTCAAGCTCAACAACAACAGCAGCAGCAGGGCTATCAGCAGCCTCAAATGAACCCCCAGCCTGGGGCTGCTGCACAGTTCCCACCCCAGAATGTGCAATCCCATCCCAATCCCAATCCCATGTATGGAAATGGGGCTAACCAACCTGGGGCCTACCCACCACAAGCACCCCAACAATCTCCAACACAGTTTCCTACTGCAAGTCCAAGTACACCTCATCAGGTTCGTTACCAGCAGCAGCAGCCGCAACAAGCACAAGCAGGGTACATTAATGTTAGTGCAGGCAATGCCAATGCCATGCCTGATAATAATTATGCTGCTCAAGGGGTTCCAGTGCAGCAGCCTCATTACCAGCCGGGACCTCTTAATCATATCAACCTGCAGAATGTTGGCACTGAGGGCTGGAGTTCTGAATTATTTGATTGCATGGATGATCCAATGAATGGTACGTCTACATTTCTTCGTATACATGGAATTATATATCAATTAATGAATCTTAATCAAGTATGATGATAAGTGTTTCAACTGTTCTTGGTCGTAGACCCCAAAGAGAGATCAAAATGCCGATGGTAAGGAAATTGGTGTTTACTTTTATTAATTTAATTTGTCACTATGTCCCTTTTATTTATTGTTAATACAGAAATCATTGTCCAAAAAAACTGAAATCATTTTATTCAATTTTCACTGTTGGGTACATTTATTTAAGCCACTCCCTCTGAATAATTTTTTAGGGAATTTTACATATCAATAGCAAATGGATGTGGGTGTCTATTTAGCGTAGGCGGTAGATTGGGGTGACAAGCAAGTGTTTGGTCCTTGAAAGCGATAAGCCAAATGTCTCAGTCATGTCCACATCTTCAGGTTTCAGGCGAGGTCCCAGTTAAAGCAGTGGACCAAGTTTGCGAGAACCAGCCGGACTGTGGTTAGCCCTAATAGCATACCAGGGCACCCTCTTCGACCAGACCCAAATGGTAGGAGTTGGAAGTCATGTCCTCGAAGGTCAATATTGCCATCAATGAACCTTTCAGGGTAAAATTCTTCCACATTTTCTGACCAGACATTAGGATCTCTCCCAATAGCCCAAACGTTTATAAAGATTGTCGATTTCTTTGGTATGTCATGTCCTTCAACTGTAATGTCCTCCATGGATGCATGTGGAATGAGCAATGGTCCAACTGGGTGTAACCTAAAGCTCTCCTTGAGCACCATGTTCAAGTAACCCAACTTTGGCAAGTCACTCTCTTCCACCATTCGGTCCGTTCCAATCACACTCTAGAGCTCTTGCTGGAGATGCTTCATTACCCTCGGATGCCTCAGGAGTTCAGCGAGGGTCCAAACTATGGCGGTAGCTGACGTATCGAAGGCACCCGAAATCATGTCTAGTAAGATGGCCTTCACATTTGTGCGGTCAATCATGTAGACTTGCTCATCGTTGGGATTCAATGGTTGGTGCATTAACGAAAGCATCACGTCCACAAAGTCCTTGTGATGATGGCCTTGGTGTGCTTGCCCACTCTTAGAAACTTCTTGGTGTTCCCCAATTATCTTCTCTAAAAGTTGGTCGATTGTCTTGCTAAGTCTCTTCATGCGCTTGGTCAATCCCTATATTATATTAAGAGGAAGATACGGTTCAGATACATATATATTCCTTAGTTTAGGAATCAATCAACATGAAACAGTTCTAGTATGAGCATGTACAAAGACATGCATGATGCATAGGGTGAGACCCATACGCAGGGCCTCGCATGTGGGTCCCACTCAATGTGAGAGGGATGTTACCCAACTTTGAATGTCAAGCAATCTTAAAGTCTCACATGTAGCGATGCCCCCTAGTGTACGTATAAAATTAACAATTGGTTGAGAGCATCCACAATGATAAGGTGTATATGGAGGTGTATATCAAATATATACATATGGTTGCCGAAATGTTCTGCAATGAGAAGGTGTATACGGCTGTAAATGTACATTACAACCGTGAGATGAGAAAAAAGATGCAAATATAAATCTAATTTTACACTCAGTCAAGTGGGTCCCGTAACAAAAAAGCCAATAGAGAGGAGAGAGGAAAGCTACTTAAAATATAGGGAAGTTATTAAAATGATGGGCCCAAGGCGTGGCTGAGATTTAGTAAAATGATGCAAATGTACAAAGTTCTTCTCCAACAATTCTCTAATGTATGGCCATATTTCATTCAGATTGAATATATGAAACTAACAATTACACTGATCAATGGTGAAGAATAAATTCATATCAAAGTCGACGGTTCAGATTAATTTTATATTACATCATATTGAATGAAATTATATCTTATAGGAATTTTAAAATTTTTATGTTGATTTGTTTAGAAAAAATAATTAAACCTAACACACACAAAATTAACACAAAAATATTAACATAAAAAACGAATTAATACAAGAAAATCGGATTTACATCTTTAAATTTGCATCCAACTCATTTGAGCAAAAATGATATTTGCATCTCCCGGTAGTGTAAGGGAGATGTAAAAGTAGCTTTACACCTCCGAATTTACACATCCCTACCGTGGATGCTCTGAAAGCAATGCCAAGCTTGTTAATGAAGCCAACGGAAACAAATTAAATATTATAGACAGGAGGATACGGGCCAATCTTTCATTTGTATTAATTATTTATGAGTAGTTATGCATGATTAAGGACAAGGCAGTGAATGTCATGATTTTGTGAGAACTAGTACTACCGGTTGGCTGATAGATATAGATAGATCAGTGAGTGTTCCGACAATCAACATACCTGAAAATCGAATGGACTGAGGAAAGGCAAATAGTCACCAATGTTGACTGCCCCTAACAACAACATCATCTCCTCAATAATTCCCTTCACATCAAACGTATCATCATTTTTGCTCCCCAACACCATCCTATACGTTATGTCCTCAATCAGCTCACCGACCTCCTCACTAAGATCCACCACTTGGCCCTCCGCTACAGCTTTCTTCAGCGACTCAACCAACAAACCCACCTCTTCCCTCCTCAATGGAGCAAAAGTCTCAATCTTTGATGGATAAAGAAGTTGCAGCGTGCACAACTTCCTCATATGCCACCAGTACGGACCATATTCACTGAAAGCCATGTCCTTTGTGCAGTAAAACAAGTAGTCGGTGGATTGGACTTTGGGGCGGCTGGCAAAAATGCTGTCATGGGATTTCAAGAATAACTCTGCAGCTTCAGGGGATGAGACCACTATGGTGGTTTTGGTGCATAGACGCATGGACATTATGGGTCCATATTTTTTGGCCAAGTCTCGGAGGCTGCGGTGTGGGAGGTTGCCTAACATATGGAGATTACCAATGACTGGCAGCGCCCAAGGACCAGGAGGCTTCCGGTGTCTCGGCCTCTGTATGAGAGACCAGAGGAAGGTAAGAAAGATGAGGAGGATGGCTATAGCTGAAGCAGTCATTCTGGCTTTCTGTGGTGTGAGAGAGATTGTCGATGGGCGAGCATTTGCTCATAAGGAGGTGTCCTCCTCCCCCAAGTGTATTTGGGTTCAATTTACGTAGGAGATAATCTTGAGGCAACCCTATATAATACTTCCCAAGGCCAGTCTTGAGATTTTGAAGGTCCTGTGCGAAATTTAGCTAACACAAACTTACACTATTACGTAATGCCATACAATAAATGTTTTTTTCTTAAAATGACCAAAGTACCCCTACTCCCAAGGGCAAAATTGAAATTTCACAAAAGAATTAAATTGGATTAAATTGATTAAATTGGGTCAAGGATGTTATACCTTTTGAATAATCACCATGATTGTGACGATGAGTCTTTGTCATCATAGATCATATTTAGATATTAAATATTTTTTCACACCTAACTTATTTTGTATCAATATTCCTAGAACATCATTAATTGGATGCAATTTTTTTGGTTGAGTTAGTTGGATGCATTATTTTTTGCAAAATTGAATATCTGAGCATATATAAAAACAATCGTGTACCACTTTACTAACCACATTTTTAATTGAGGTGAGCCCTATATATGGAAGTCTCTATCTCTATGGGCAAAAAAAAAAAAAAAAAAAAAAAAAAAAAAAACAAAATGAGTAATTGAAGAGCTAGCGTCACGTCAATGGTGGGGATGTACGCACATTACAAGCAATGTCTGCACATAGGAACATAGATATTATTGGGGCAATTAGAATATTCTTGCTGAAGAATATATATATATATATATAGTGGCATGCATGCAGTTGAGAGATTCAGTGTCATCATTTGAGGAATGAGGTGCTTAGTTGTTGGATCTATTTCAATGAAATCATGTGGTTGAGATTGATTTAAGTGTTTAAACTTTTTTGTGTCTAATGACTTGCCAAAAACCCACATGTACGTACGCTTTACTGCGTCCACGTGTTATAATATGGATGGGCGATATGGTTAATATTTCCCACTTTTATGATATAATATCAATAAATATCCACTTGTATATTCTAACAAACGAGTTATATCATGTGACATACTCTCATACTATGTATACTATAATTACTTGCACTTAAAGCATCAACAATGGGGTCCTTAAACTACATCCTTAAACAAATTTTAGGGAGGAATTGAAAAAATACAACTCCAACCATGCTCCTTATTCACCTCATAAAATAAAGAGACCTCTAGGTCTAGGAACTCCTAAATATGAGGAGAGAGAAAATACTTCTAGTGACTCCTTATAATTTAATGTTGTTTCGTTTCATGCATAGTTTAAACTTTTAATTTTTTTTTTTTTTTTTTTTTTTTTTTTTTTTTTTTTATATATAGATGATAACCAATCATATTGAATTAAAAAATAACTATAGTATTTATGACTTTTGGGTATGATTGGAGTTCAAATTTTATAGAGTTCCAAAAATGACTTTTGTGTGGTGTTAGCTAAATTTTAAATAAATAATAGGGAGCATGACCTTTGCCTACATAATTACTGACTAATTCCTTGTGATCGGGTATTTATTATTTCAGTATGTGGTTGTGAAAGTAGCTGGGATATTGAATGTTGGTGTTGACATCGGACAAGCCTTTAAACAGTGGTTGCAACATTATGTAATTGACAGATAGCATATCAATTTTCATATTTCAACGAAAACAATTAGTTTCAAAAAAACAAACCAAAATTTTAATTTGACCCTTATTGTCATTATGGTGGTTTTGCTGCAGTTAGGTCACATTTGCATATGACTCTATTCTTTAAAGAAATTTTACTGGTCATGTACGTAATAAATTTTCAACTATAATTTTTATACTACTTTTTGCAATTTGATCTTTATTTTATTTTATTTTTGTCATTCGATAGGGAGGGAAATGGGGGAGTATTATATTGGGTTGCCTCAAGATTGGCTTTTACCAGGATTGGTCTTGAGATTTTGAAGGCCCTGTGCGAACCTTAAACTGGGGTCTCACATAAGCTAACACAAACTTACACCATTATGTAATGCCATACAATAAATGTTTTATTTTCCTTAAAGTAACCTAAGTACCCCTACTCCCAAGGGAAAAATTGAAATTTCATAAAAGAATTAAATTGGATTAAATCGATTAAATTAGGTCAGGGATGTTACACCGTTTGAATAATCACCATGATTGTGACGATGAGTCTTTGTCATCATAGATCATATTCAGATATTAAATATTTTTTAACACCTAATTTATTTTGTATCAATATTTCAGGAACATCATTAATTGGATGCAATTTTTTTGGTTGAGTTAGTTGGATGCATTATTTTTGCAAAATTGAATATCTGAGCATATATAAAAACAATCGTGTACCACTTTACGAATCACATTTTTAATCGAGGTGAGCACTATATATGGAAGATCAAATGTAAGCATATCAAGTGGCCAATTTAACAAGTCAAACTAAGCTCCATCCTCCCTCCATTGACTTTGATTAGGATGTGTTTCCTGTTGAAGAGGGCCATGTGATGAAGTACATTGTCTCTGCCACTAGTTTGCAGGCAGGCACACATGGCGCTAGCTGCCAGCGTTTTTGCTGGTTTTGCAAAGAATCTAATGACATTCTGGTCAAAGTAAACTCTTTCGCAATTCCATAGAACATTATTGTCTACCATACAGACTGAGATCACCACGACTTTCCCAAATCCCCCAAATTAATATCTAAGTCAAACAATTCCGCATTTGTTCCATCCCTCTTTCACACAAACTTTTTTTCTTTCTTTCTTTTTTGTTGTAAGTGAATTACGGTTCCATAGTTTGTATATACAGCTGTGTGTGTTTGACTTCAATATATCCAGACAGAACTCCCACTAGTGGATTTTGTTAATTATTGCTTGCTCAATTGTTTGCACAACAGATTCTTTTATTATAGTTGGTGGCATGTATGACATATATATTGTGTAGCATTGCACTATGATGTTTTCATCCACAGCTCTCTATCTCTGTCCATTTCTGTGAGATCAATCAACAAAGTTAGAGTGGTACATAGGCTAATGGGAGACCCAGAAGCAGAATACCAGGGTGATGTTCATGACCAACCTCAAATGGAGGTGGAGGAGGTGGAGTTTGAGTTACAAGATCAACAATTTGAGTATCAGCAAGTGCCTGACACTGGCGACGGTGCTCCTCCATTGAACTATGATGACCAAAACCAACAACAACAGCAACAACCACAGCCACAGCCACAGCCACCCAATCAAAATGATTATGACCCCCAACCGCAACCACAACCACAAGTCGTCTTTCAGCAGACACAACAGCCATCTCAGCCTCAGCCAATGCAGTTCCCACCACTAGGTCCTCCACAACCAAACCCTTATCAGACTCAACCACAGCAATTCCCTCCTCAAAGCCCTCAGCAGTTTCCTCCTCAGAGGCCACAGCAGTTTCCTCCTCAAAGTCCACAACAGTTCCCTCCTCAAAGGCCACAGCAGTTCCCTCCTCAAAACCCACAGCAGTTCCCTTCTCAGAGCCCACAGCAGTTTCCTCCTCAAAGTCCACAGAAATTTCCTCCTCAAAGGCCACAGCAGTACCCACCACAAAGCCCGCAATTTCAAGCTCAACAACAACAGCAGCAGCAGGGCTATCAGCAGCCTCAAATGAACCCCCAGCCTGGGGCTGCTGCACAGTTCCCACCCCAGAATGTGCAATCCCATCCCAATCCCAATCCCAATCCCATGTATGGAAATGGGGCTAACCAACCTGGGGCCTACCCACCACAAGCACCCCAACAATCTCCAACAAAGTTTCCTACTGCAAGTCCAAGTACACCTCATCAGGTTCGTTACCAGCAGCAGCAGCCGCAACAAGCACAAGCAGGGTACATTAATGTTAATGCAGGCAATGCCAATGCCATGCCTGATAATAATTATGCTGCTCAAGGGGTTCCAGTGCAGCCGCCTCATTACCAGCCGGGACCTCTTAATCATATCAACCTGCAGAATGTTGGCACTGAGGGCTGGAGTTCTGAATTATTTGATTGCATGGATGATCCAATGAATGGTACGTCTACATTTCGTCGTATACATGGAATTATATATCAATTAATGAATCTTAATCAAGTATGATGATAAGCGTACTATGACAATATTTCAGCTCTCACAACGGCTTTCGTTCCATGCTTGACGTTCGGGCAGATAGCAGAGATTGTAGATAACGGCACTACCTGTAAGTCATCCAAAACATATATATTTATCTTAGCTCGTGTACAATGATCTACGCTTAATTAACTGCCCGAGTAATTACTGCAGCATGTGCCATCAGCGGATTGTTCTACGGGTTGATTGCAAGTTTCCTTGGGGTACCATTCATAATGTCATGCACTTATCGCACAAAGCTGCGGAGCATGTTTGGGCTGGTGGAGGCCCCTGCACCCGATTGGGTCACTCATTTGTTTTGTGAACCCTGTGCTCTCTGCCAAGAATATAGGGAACTTCAGATCAGAGGGATAGATCCTTCCATAGGTACGTAACGCTACGTTCGGTACGTGATTTCATGTATGTACATTATATTATATAAAAATATAATATCCATCCTCCTTCCTTCTTCTATGCATCTTTGTAGGTTGGATAGGAAATTTGCAACGGAATCCCAACTTGCAGCAGCAGCTGCGAGCTAACATGATGGCGCCTCCACCACCCCAATATATGAATCATAATTGTCAATGACAAACAAATATGATATGATAATCGGTTTCATGAGAAATTGAAGCAAATTAATGTTTCTGATCTCATCATCTTTGTTTAAATCTCAACCGTTTGCAGACTTTTGCGTTTTCTGTCATCAAGGCCAACATTTTCTTTTTCTATGTTATTATTTTCTTGTTTAGTGATATTGTGGATGCTATGAATATGTATCGCTTTTCATTCTTGTAATATTGAACGAATTGTTCTTTTCATTCATTGACAAATAATCCGAGTACTTTTGTTTTGATGGAGTTTCGTTTATGGTGTATATATTCGTA